AACTCATCATTTTTTTGCACCCAGCTTTGCTTTCTTTCGTTCTAACAAAAGGTGTCCTTGAATCAAAGAGGAAAGCCGCCGAGTCTTTGTTTCGCACAAGCGTTGTTGACAGTTTACGAGTTGAGCTGCTTGAATGAGTCTGAATTCAGGTTCCCAAGTTTTTATCACATGCTGTGAAGGCACACCACCTTGAATTGACACGCCCCTCCAAATCAAGAGGGTTTATGAATCCTAGCCCTTTCCGTTGGGGCAGCTCTAAACAATTCCCATGGTTTGCCTGGGTAAATTCAAAAGCATGTAGTCTCTCTCGTGATTTCCGGTTCGGGGTGAGGTCTCTCTCTCTCTCTCGCACTCTCTTTTTGAGGAGACCCCGAAGAAGGGGTTGTGCTCCTTCAAAACAGCACGAAAGACGGCATCATGAGAGCCAACATAATTAGAACCGGATTGTTGGGGACTATAAACAAAATCACGTTCTCTCATGAGCCAAGAATGTTGTTTGTTGGCATCAGAAGGTGGATCTGGCACCATCAGCAACACCCCTCCCCTCCATTTGGGGGCAACACCACGGGAAATTCACACAAGAATCGGCGGGACACCACCAGATCGGTTCCCTAGGTGTTTCGGTTTTTAGTAGGTTTCGATGTCTATTCAACCCACTAAAAGTTAATCCTGTAGCAGGGGATCAGAAAACGGACAGCCCAGAATTGAATACCTTGTCGGATCGTACTTGTACTCCAGGCCTGATTCCTGGAATGATGACAGCTTTGTTTCTTTGGTAATTGTGGATGCTTAGGACGTCACCTGCTGGGTCCTATCAAAAGGACTTTCCTTTTGGTGGTGTGATGATGAACGGAGAAACAATCAGTAAGCTAGTTGTTTTTGTTCATGTTTTTGCTGCGTCTCTGGGCATCTTTCTTATCATGTATCTTGGTGGCCAGCCGTCCGGTTCCTTAGCTTTTTAGTTGCTTTCTAACCCACGAGAAAAGTGAGTCACTTTTCGCCGGGGGATCCGATCTGAGGGCAGCCCAGGTACGCGGCTGTGGTGGTCAAAACCGTTTTGGTTGATCCCATTTTGGTTGGTAGGTGAATTCACCACCCATTTTTGAACCTATTTTAGTGGTTGGATTGAATCGGATGTTTACTGGGGGCACGATTTGGATTTGACCCATGGCCATTGTTTTTTTTCAGCCGGGGCATCTCTTGGAGGCCTCTCCGGACGGCTTCGCCCAGCGCGCCGCCGAGTTCTTGCACGAGCGCCAGGCGATCCGCGGAGGGGGGGGGGTTGGGGGGCGATCCGGCGATGCGCCCGCCCGCCTGGTCTCGTGAAGTTGCTGGGTGCCTGGTTTCGTGAAGTTTGTAGTGTTGCTTAGAAGCACAAGCCATTGTCTACCCAGTTGCGCCAGTTGCATGGGTGCCTGTTTTGTTGGTGAACCAGTGCCTCTTGCCCTTGGCTGTGTCCTTGTTTTCTCTTTCGTTGCAGGCTTCCCTTTGACATCATGTCCATTGGGCAAGTAGGGCTTGGTACCCGAAAGTGCCCCGTGCAAAGAAACTTCCTTCCCCCCTGCAAAGGAACGTGCAAAGATGCTCAGTACCCAGTTCCAACTTCTTCCACGTCCAAAGTTTGTTGAATAAAGGGGACAAGGTCCCAGCCACGTGTGCCATGGTCAAAGACCGATTGCTTTCTTATGGCATCAACGGATGCTGATTAATCACTCACCAAGAGGGCTGGACAACCGTGGTCATTTGACGCCCTTGGAACAATTACAAGGAATCCTCTGAAGAAATCCACTTGAACTGGCTTCCTTCATGTCCTGGCAGTTTGGTCAAAACCGAACCATGGCCACAGCCCACAAAAGGAAACCTATTCCACTTTGGAGGCCGATCTCCAAGACCACCTAATCGGGGGTGGCGGGGGTGTTCTTCTCCCGGCACGCAACCCAACAGCTTTGACATCAACCTACAGAACGCGGGGGCAAGCGAAAGGCGGGGCAGAAGTTTGGCACCCCGGAACCAAGCCCATGGATGTTGCGAAGTCTCGTGTGATCCGAATGCACAAGATCTCTGGAACAATGGGACGGGAATGAATTTCCTTGTCCGATCCGAAGCAGGGGATCGCAGAAGGCCCATCAACCCATCCTGCTCTTTGTTGCTTTTATTTTGTTCAAGTTGTTGCTGGATGCTTATTCAGTTCAGTCGACTTCACCAAATACTGGCAGCTCGGCGTTCTAGCGTGGCCGCAGTGACAGGCTTCATGTCAGACGCACCAAAGTGATCTGACCCCCGATAGGGCCAAACCCTCACATAGAGGCCACAAGGAAGGGGATTCCCAGTTCAGCAGCACCCTTCAACTAAAGGGTCCTTCGTGGCACCCTTCAAGCCAAATCCTTTTTGTTCCCCATTTAGTTTTTGGAATCAATGCCAAAAGAGTTTGTCCCTTCTACACTTCGTCTCACTCGCGCTGCAACTGGGGATTGACCGGTGCCTTTGTCGCTTCCCAGGGGGGGATCTCAGCTGAGCTCATCGCTAGCTTGCGAGCTTCGGTGCGCGCATGAGGCCAGGCTTCGGTTGTCTCAATGAGACAGGGCAGTGGGTTTCCCTTGGAGTTCCCTATGCTCAAGAGAGCCCAAATGGCTGTGGTGGTCAAAACCAATGGTACCATTTTGGGGTAGGTGCACCACCCATTTTAGTCTATTTTGGTGGGGATTCGGACGCCCACTGGGGGTGACCCATGGCCAAATAAGCCTAAGGCCTTCGGGCTTGTTTGGGCCACTCCCCTCCCTCCCAGCCCCCATGATATGCAAACCCAAAAGGATATCAACCAGATATCACAAAAAAAATACCCTAAGTATGGTCAATTGGGGAGGGGCATGGGGGACTTACATTTCAATCACACGAGACAGGAGACAAACATTTTCCCAGGGCCATGAAAGCAAATATTTGTCCCTGGAACACAGAATAAGGCTGGCCCTGGAACACAGAATAAGGCTGGCGAGGGTAATTTGTTGTCCCTGGAACACAGAATAAGGCTGGCTCTCTAGGATTTCTGCCGGGGGTTTTGACACGCGCATCCTCTGACTAGTTCTATATATATATATATAGAGAGAGAGAGAATACACGGACAAGAATGTACATCAAGCTGGGATGCAGCTTCTGGTCCATGGTCTGTTGGAAGGCAATTTGGTTCTTATGGAGTCTGGGAAGCCCAGTTCGAACGGGTCCCCGCTGGCCTCGGGAAAAGGAAGCTATGGAGTTGCTTAATTATGGTGACACATTGTATATATAGAGATACTGTAAACATATATATATATATGTGTATGTATGTATGTATGTGATTGATATATTCCACATAATTAGAGTGGTTTTAGGGGTTGTACACTACTTTCTCATGACGGTACTGGTTCGGGGCAAGCCCTGGGCAACTGGTCATGAGCCTACTTCGGCATACACTGTACACACAGCGGCTGCATGCCATTGTGGTCTTGGGAGCACTTGGCCCCGGATTCGTGTCATGCGAGCTTGCTCAGTGTGATGCTCAAAACGACACGTCCATCCCGGGGTCCACCCAATTCAATTTCTTGATCCCTTCTTTTCCTTTGCAAGCTATCACTGAACGTATTCCGTCAGACACCTGCGGAGCTGAACCTTTCCATTGCAGAGCTGTCGGTTGGAGGCAGGGTCAACATGTCAGCTCCAGACACTAGATGGGCCGACGGAGCCACCCTGAAAGGGATTGCGACCTTTCTTTGATCCATCTGGCCAGGTTCTTGAATCCAAAGTAGACATCGATCCTGGAATCCATGTGTAGATGTATGTACACATACTACATGCACGTGCACCTTCATATAGACTCACTTCACATGTTGTTCTGTCATATGAATATTATCCTAATGATGTGTCTTGTAGGCAGTGATATACTTATATACTTATAGACATACATGTACACTCTACCCCGAGATGGACATGTTCAGCATCCATATGCCTTCTGCTTTCCTAAGCTGGCAGCAGGAGTTGTACATAGCCTTTCGGCCAATCAGCTCGGTGCAAAATGGGCGGCGAAATCTGCGGATTGCCTTTGGCTTTGCCCTGGCCTTTTGGCATGGGTTGTGGTTGAGCAGAAATGAATCAGCTGGTTTCACGTTAGTGGACCCTGTTCGGGTGCGACCCCTCGTAGTGGACTTTCTGTCAAAGAAGCCAGTTTGAGTGGTGAAAACCTGAATCCGGGTCAAAGGAAACTGGTGACAGTGTTACCTTGTTTGGGCGACTCCCCTTTTTTGGTTTCACAGCTTCACCGTTTTGGCGATCAAACCCGTCTTGCGGAGCCGGGTTCCTTCGTTTCGGGCAAACAAAGATCGATAGCCCTGACCCAGCTGCTCTCGGTGGGCACCACTGTTTTTTTTTGGATTTTCAGTTCGGAAGTTGGATCTGGTATGTGGAGGGAGGTACCACAAAATGGTATTGTTATTCTTGTTGGGCGCCTTTTTTTGTGTTGGCTCCAAACTAAACTGAAACCAAAGGGAAACCGCCGCTTAGGGGTGGGCTGTTGCCTATGTGGAGGTAGACCCTGTCACCTTCGGAGATTCTCACACCGCAACTTTGCTAGGCTGTGCTTCAGAAATCCGCGTGATGCTTGGGTTACGAAAGGTTTTGGCCCACTTTGATGTTTGCCAATTGCAATTCCAACAGCAGCACCTTTTTAGTGGTCTCCCACTTTAGGTCACATGCGTTTGGATAGGCTTGATCCGAAGTGGGCGCGTGATCTTGTTTGCTTGCAACCCACTCTTGCATTTCTGCATGATTTATGGCGAGCTTTGGGGGTAAAACAAGCTCGCCGGGCGTAAGCGAAAGCCACTTGAGCCAGAATCAAAAGCCGGGTAGATGAAGGTTAGTAAGGGGCAGTCCCAGCCGGAAATAGTTGCGGATATCCGCATTTCTATTTCTTTACATGGCCCATTTTTGTACCGGGTTTTGATTGCGACTCACTTGCAAGCCGGATGTCCGAGGCCAAGAACTACCTCTCCTTGGGGCTACACGATGAGGTGGAGGAGTCAGACGACGTGCCCTTCTCCGGCATGAAGCGCGGAAGCCCTGCTCGCTCCGGAAGGATAGGCTAGGGGGACATTCCTTCGTCTTAAGGTCGCGCTGCTCTTTTTCGGTCTCGGTCGAGTTTACGGGAGGGTGTCCCAAAACTGGTGGCCCGCAGCCGTCCGCTTAGCCTTTTAGCTTTTTGGTGTTTAGTTGTAGTTTCCATTTAATCCACTAAAAGTTAGACTTTTAGCCGGGGGATCTGAGGGCAGCCCAGTTTGGATTGTTTGACAGGGACACCAACCACCGGCCCATAGCTTGAGACAGGCCGGGGGGTGAAGCAGCAAGTGAAGCTGGGTGCAGTCGGGCAGGTTGTCAACATGAACCCCTTGTTGGATGATTTAAAGAAAAGTAGAAGGAAACCAAGCACCGGGAGGGGTCCCTTGTGAGAAGCTCCCACGGACTTAGATTCGATTCGGCTACTTGGAGGGGTTGATAGCTCGTGGGAAGGCCAGGTTGATTCAACAGGGTCTGCATCTTGACAAGGGCATGTGTTGCTGGACTTATGCGCGGTGTTCGTTGAACTGGTGCTTCGGCAGGCAGATTGACTTCTTGTCACTGCTTGGCTATTTATACAAACAACACATGTAAACTTAATATGGTTAGATCATCATTTCCCGTCGGCTTAGACTGGGGCGACCCCGTCGGGCTGTGTTTGTGGTCGTAAAGCAACAGTTTGTTCTGGCGTTCAAAACAAAGGAACGCTATATAGGCCCCCCAGCAGTGCCCTTTTACCCTTTGTTTGGGGAGGGTTCCCCTATATACCAAAATAGACTACAGAAAAGATACAGTACCCTTATTCTAACCTCTCTACTGGCGGGACAGTTTTGGGGTTGACAAAACCAAGGCGTCTTTGGTCGGTCGGCACTCCGTGTTTGGCCCCGCGCGGGCGAGCACGAGGCTGAAGCCTTACTTTCATCTCAAGAAGTCGGAGGTCTTGGATCAGGCGGGAAGCGCACATCGCCATGTCTTACTTCGGTTGAACCGAGCGAGCGCACCCGTTTGACCGTGTGGGACGGACGTTCCATACGATTTTGGGCTTCTTTAGCTTCCATTTACAGGCCATGCTGCTGGACAAGGTATGGTTAGGTATCGCAGCATATCGCAGCATGCGTCATCCATCAAACTGGCGCAGGACAAAGTCTCCATCCACCAAAGCTTGTCAGACGAGCCAAAGTCAAACTCTGGTATACAATTGCGTGAAGGCTCATGCTGGGCACCCCGCAGGAGCGCCACTTTCGGTCTTGATTGCCAAGGGTTTTGGAATCATTCCTTTGCTCGATTTCGGTCATTGCTTTTGACATGACCGAAGCAAAGTTTTGGCATGTAGCAAAGAGTGTAATTAGCTTTGTGCAGGGTGTCAAAACTAAAGACTAACTCTTGTTCTTTAGTGCAAGCGTACTCATGCCCGGAGTTGCCTAAATGTGGAATGTATTTTCGGTATGGGCACGGCGTGCCAAAGCAAGTAGAATTCTTCCGAGTGGTCATTCATATTGCTGGCTCAAGATGCTCCAGCCCTTCAATCACGCAGTGCGCCCATATATTACACCAACTTGCGTATGCAACGGCTTCGCTAGCTCATCGAGCATCTCTTAAGCGGTGTCCTTTCAAAGCTGTCCATCATGAGTGTTTCCTGCGCAGGGGTGTATCCCACCTCCGGGGGAGGGGGGATTGTGTTTGGTTTCCCTTTAAAACGGACCCGAAAAGGGTTAACATGCACACGTCACGCAGCCCCCCTCAGGATTTGAGACTTTGTCGTTTTCCTTCATACCGTGGTTGCGAAATCCATTTCGCACCTGAGAACCCTGGAATGAGTCGATTCCACTGTAAATACCAACACATGGCTTCCCACGGCTTCGAAGTGGTTCGAACGGATTTCGCAGCCATCCACGGTATGTATCTTGCGGTTTGCTAGTTCCAGTTTGAGGCTGGCGGCTGGTTGCGCGACCAAGCAAATCAGATGTCAAGGGCGACAGGGCATTCTTAGCATCGTGAGAAGACAAAGCACTTGGGCAGGCGTCAAACAAGGAATGTCGATTTACTTTCAGTTGTCAAACACGATTTGCATGTTTTTGTTTTTGCTTTACAGATTCCTACTTAGTGTTGACAGGAGTGACATCCCTCTTTTAGTTTTAATCTCAACATGTCGGTTCCAAGCAAGAAGGACCGCTCCAACTGGCGTATTGAATAGGACCGATGTGGGCAACATGAATCCGCGGCTCACTTCGACAGGTGAAGAAGATGGGCTTCGCCTCGGATTATCATCCGCAGCAGAAGGACAGAGTTCGCAAGAGCGGCTTGCGCTTGGGCACAGCGGCGGGGCCCGCAGCCACAGAAAAACGACGTGTTCGTCGAAGCGTCATAGAGGTGCGCAGAATCCAAGGGATTTGGGGAGAGGCCATAATCTGAAGGTCGCTTATCCGTTTGCATGATTGTTGCAGAATAAAACGATCACCCCTCAATGGCAACCAGTTTTCAAGGCTTACGAAAAAAGGGGACACCTTTCCATGAAAGCTTCTGTTACAGGACCCCCCTGGTCAGGTTCTGGGTTGACAGCTTGGGCTGGGCGCCTAAGCCGGCAGCTTTCCACGAAAGAACCACCCACACCCCAAACCAATAAATACCCCAATGGAAAAATGGGGCCTACATGTCTCGGTTATCCAAAGCAAGCCTACCTGACCTGGTTCGTCAATTCTCGCGGATTTTTTTTTATTGAGTTCCAAAGCTAATCACCTTTGTTGCCTCAGGGCAGGTTTGATAGCCCTTCTTTGATTGTTTGGGGTTGTGGAAACGGGTATCTACTTTGAAACGGTCTATACTGTGTTTTTGTTCAGCTTTGTTTTTCGGCTTGTGTAGTTTGGTCTGGATGAAGGACGGTGACCGGTTCAGGGACGGAGTCAGAACTCAAAGGCGTCTCAAAGGGTTTCAACGGGCTGTTTCGGACCCATTGTTCACACTGTCGAGTTCCTGCATGGTTTGAACCGTTCGGGTTATCACTTCACGCTGCAGTAAAGCGTAAAAACCTTAAACTGAGGGCTTTACAACCCTAGATCTAAACCGTAAACTGAGGGCTTGAGAGCAACTTAAGCCCTAAACCTAAACTGAAGGCTGAGGCTTCAATCCAAGTTAAACCTTCATCCCAAACCTCAACTAAAGAGGGTAGACCACGAGCCTGGACTCACCTCCCAGTGCGGCCCCATGATCCTCTTCCAACATGTGTGCCAGCTTCTGCCTACCTGTACATGTAAAAAGTGGAAAAGTAGAATATCAGCTAAACAGATGGCTTAAAGCCCTTGCCTTTGGCCACGTCAGTGTTTAGTATTTCGCTTTTCTTACTCCAATGGTGGTGATGGAAGACAGTCAAGCCTAGGTTGTGCAGTGAGCATTGAACCAGTTGGTGGCTTGCGCTTCCCGGAGTGCAAAGCCCAAGTTCTGCCACAAGGGTTCGACAGGAAGCTTGGACGGGGACTCGGACTCGAACGGTGGGCATGTTGCATGCCACCTGTGGAGCTTATTCTTGGCCGACCCTGGCATTTGCTTCTGCCTAAAGTCCCAGTCAAGGCCAGCTTTGGAAGGAGTAATTAGTCATAAGCTTTCCAATCATCATTCAATGGGCTCGTGGACTGATACTTAGGGGCCTGGATCTGACGAGCTCTTCACTTGAACCAGAAAGCCCAATGATGAAGCCTTTTTTCACAATTTGCTTATTCAGGTTTCGGACACTTGGCTTCAGAATGCTGTATTGTTTTGTTGTCGGGTGCGTTTGCCACTTGCACGCCGGCAGTACAACAAGCTCAGACAGTGGCAATTTGAGATTAGCGTTTGGATGGATTGACCCACAAAGGGACAAAGCGACCGGATGATTGCGCTCTGATTCGAGCACAGACGTGCATGTCCTTGATGCACATCATCTTATACACCGAACTCAAAGTGTTAGTTCTGAACCAGGCAGGCACTCTCGCTAAAACACACACACATGGATCTCATTTTTACGCGCACCAATTGCGCATCGCATGCCACAAGAAAAAAGCAAACACTCGGCTGTTTGCTTGGCAACGGGGACCGGCCAGCTTTGCGGGGGGTCTCACTTGGACCCAACTCAGCTCGCGAGGACTTTGAGAAGTATCCCTTAGAGGACATCCTTCTGCTCTTCGACCCCTCCCGGGTTGGAGCCCCGATCCCCGCTTGGTTTGGCCAGGACTTGCCATCATTGCGGGTGGTAAATAGACCATCATTTATCACATGTCCCGAAAGGGGAAAGCTAAAGGGGATGGGAAATGCCTGAATTCTTCCAGACCCCTTCTGTAGCCAAGGTCAAATTACCAAATATGATTGCCAGAATCTAAGCGTGCATTTGCACCGCAACACCATGTGCCGACCCTACAAATGTGTGGAAGAAACAGTCCCACAAGAGGCCGCAAGCTTGTTTCCAGTCCAGGTAGCGCGTTTGTTCATTTTTGCAAGATGATCCAACTGATTGTGAAACATTCGGATTGACCCTTGCCGAATACACATTCATGGCATGCCAGTAGCAACCATAACTCATAACCGTGTAATGCGCTCAAGGGATGCTTCGTGGAGAGTACTTGGCTTGGACATGTTGCTTTGGGCTGAAGCTGTCCACGCGGAATGACAAACAAGCAGGGACTGCGGAGCAAGGATGAGGAGATAAAATTTGGATCCCACTGGGGAAGATGTGGGCTGACTGTCATAGGAAGGTATCCTGACCCCGGTTCCTGTTCCTTCCCAGTCCCTGTTTGTTTCCCAACATCTTGGCCCCGGCTTGCTCCACGGAGTCTTGTGGAATCGGGATTGCAAGGGTGTGCCAGGGGGTACGCATACATAAACCTGCGCATGCCAGCTTACCACGAATGCATGTGGGGACTTCAGTTCAAGGCACAAGGAATGAATATTGACCGTGGCTTTCATCACTGATCAACGCACGGCACATGACAGCAGCGCATAAATCATGTCCGCACAGTCAGCTTTTTGGCGTCGCATCAAATTTGAAACTCCTAACTGTTTTGTTCTACGAAGGTGTGCTTCGTTTCAACTTACAAATTTGACCGAACACCCAAGTAGCATGGTGAATCGCAATGCGCGCACGAAATCTGATTGTTCGATCAGTGCCGCGTGGGTGCAGAAACTTGGAAGCCTCGGGAGTCTCGGTCCAAACCATGTATGCCCCTAATATGTGCCCTTCCAACATGCACCTATTGTATATTGGCCCTTGTGTTTGCGGCTGCCAAAGGTTCGTAGATGGAGGCCTTTGCCTAGTCGACACGGGTCGAAATCGTTCATCCCTTATTGCCCCCATTTGATTTGACTACACAATTCGTTCTTATGGTCCCAACCGCCTGCTGCGCTGCTGCTCGCTGGGGAACGGGCTGTTGGATGAACCTATCAAAAGTCCACGCGAGGCCTACGGCGAGAAGATCGTGTGGCCACTGGATCTCGGATTGGATCGGAGTTGTTGAAAGGCAGCTGGATTGGTTTTTGTTTCCGCAATTGCAACCCGCAGGGGTCCTTCAATATTTTTGTTTCTTTGGAGATGATGGTATTTGAGTTACATGTGCAGGAAGGTAGTTGATATTGAGTTGTTCCCTTGTGAAGGAAACACATCATCACTCAGGATTGGTAAACATATCTTTGAGTGACAATACATTTTGGCAAATTATTTCACCAATAGCAGTGTTCGGCTTGCGACCGGAATGCAATCCCACTAGCATCCAAGGTCGTCCTCATGTAGATCTAGTTCAGGTATTGGCGTACACCAGGAATTCTTCACACGGAGGGGGGCAATCTCCAGCTGAAGTCACGTCGATGTTTCTACCATCTAGATCATTGCCTTGCACACACCTTTTTGCCGACATTGACCTGTGTGTCTTAGAAAGTAGAATGCAATTACTGACAGTTTGTGCGTTGAAATCTTCCTTGCCGGTCCTTGCCCTTTTGCGGGATGCAACACTCTGACACGGTCTACCCTTGCCCACTGGGCCCAATGTGTACCTTTTGAGGTTTCCGCCAGACCTGATGTCACACGGAGTATTTTTGGGAAATTGGAAGTTGGAACCTTAAGGAAATGGGAATCCCGGATTAAGTTCTGGGAATGCTTCACTTTTGTGCATTTTGCTTGGATGTTAGGTTTCCATTAAACCACTAAAAAATACTAAAAGTTAAAATTTTCGCAGGGGAGCAGAAAGCAACCGAGTTAAGGTTTGGGAAGGGCTCCAACGGTGCTATCCCTTGGCTCGAGGTGCACAACGGAGGCCTCCTACAACCATCAGATGGAGCGGCTGAACGGGATCAGACAGGCCGCTTTTGGGCCGGATCTCGGAACGCATTGGTTCTGACCTCAGTTGAATTAAGCATTCCTTTGCCTTTCCCTTTTCTGCCATTTTTGCTTTCCTTGTCGTTTTCCCTTTAAACCAATCTCATACAGGGCAGTCGCGACAAAAGAGACACACCCTCATCAGAATCCCAGACCTGTGCGCCCTTTTGTCCTTTTTCGAGTCTCTTGAAGATCAGCTTCCAACGCTTCCAACGCCTTGGGCGTTCCTTTTGTTCCATGACCTCTGGAGGGTCTCGGCAAATTCTCGTGACCTCACAGGAGGTGTGCAACCTCACCTTTCCGGGAAGGATTCCTGAAGGGTCAACCTGTGTCGCCAGCGAAACTTGCACTTCCACCAAAACCGGGGGTAGTTTCGATCCTTCTTTCCCCTTGTCCACTCAACAAGGGCGGCGTCTTGTCCGGCAGAGCCAGCATCGGATTGAACCTGATCCGCCCAAGGCCGGTTGGATTTCTCCGATTTCGGGCCACGCCGAAAAGGAGACGCAGCGAACCTTGTCTAGCAACAGCTCGAGAGGCACCCAGGGCTTGAAACAGAGGTCTCTCAGGATTCTAGGGGTAACTTCCCCGTTCTTTCCAGGGATCCTTCTTTCTAGAAAACCATCACAAACCCTGGGGAAATGGCGATCGGTTTTTGAAAATAACGATGGCTGAAAAGAATGGGAAATCAACCCGTAGAAGGATACCCTTTTGGGTTTGGTTTGAAGTAGCCATTTGAGGTCTCGTCAATATATGTGTCTTTCTCAAAATTTGTGGACCCCTCCAGGTGGCTTCAAGTTTTCTTCCCGGGAAAACCACCCCAAAGGGGTCCCCTTAGCTGCCAGACCGGGCCGAGAGGCCGTGCTAGATGAGTTCGAGAAGGAGAATAGCCCAGAGGCGGCCGCTGGTGAAGAGGCTGCCGTTCAGGCGGGAGTCTGAAGTGGGCGCGTGGGCGGGGATCATTGACGGAATTAAGGTTATCTTACCTTCACTGTTCTTGGCATGTTTTTTGGTTTTTTAGTTGTTTGGTTCTGTTCGTGTTTACTGGGGGTCTGCAAAAAACAAAGTTTTTCGCTACCATACCAAGAGTAGAGATGTTACATTTGCTTAAGAGGATTGTTTCATTTCCCTGTTATTTGTTATCCTTAAAAATGGGCACCTGTGTTGGTCGCATTCCCCAAGAGGAGAGATGTAGGTGAAACAAAATGTTTTGTTTTTTTTTAGAACGGGGTCCGCTGAACAAAACATTGGAGCCCTCGAAGCAAAAATGAATGCAAACAGTGTGAAGCAGTTGTCAAGGACCCGCCAAACGAACCTGGAATTCCAGTTTGGACTGCGCCACTTGCCAGGGACTCAAGAGGAATGTTTTTCGCGACTTTTGGGCTGTAGTTGGGGATTGTCATAGCAATTTAGACAGCAACGGACATTGCTGATCTATGGTGGGGAGGAAGGGACTTTCCCATTTCCCTGCTCCCCACAAAAGTGGGAGGCCTAACGAACCACTGCCTTATTGTAATATACTTTGTTTCGCACAGGCGTTTGCGGATTTGCCTAACTTTTGGGCTGGAGCGACCACTAAAAACATATTTGCCTAGTTTCCCTCTATGATGCACAAGGGGTCCTAGTCCCAGGGATCAATTTGAGGTGGCGACAGGACGGCGTGTATGCCAAGAGAGGAACCAAAAGGATATACATGTGATTTTGCAGACCCATACATAGTGCATTCAGACAAGTGGTGAAAGACATTTGGACTTGGGTCTGTGTTCTTTTTCCCATGTTCCGGAAGGGAACCTGTCGCCCTTTGGCCCTGAGATGGTTTTTCGTTGCTCAACGCCATGCTGGCAATTGAAGGCATGCCGTTCACGCATTCCACTAAGAGGATTCACTCATGTGCCCTGTCTGGTTCACTCACTTACCAGGATTCAGGGCTAGCGGGATCCGATGACCGGCTAAAGATTAATCTTAGCGGCTGTCCGAGAAGAAAAGGAGAGGTCCATTTATTGGTTAGCAACTTGCGGATGAAACAAGTCGGAACGGTGGTAGACCCTCCTCAAACGAGCCCCTATCTTGTTGCTTGATCCATTTCCTCTGTTTCCGGACTTGAACACTTGTGGTGAAGTCAGTTGATCGGGAAACAAACTGCTCTGAGTTTGTGGTGCCAATGAATTGTTCTACTCAGAAAGTGATGTTTTTGCTGCGGCGGCTGCTGTCTGATAGGGACATATTGTTTTGTCACACTTAATATATTGCTGTTGTCGTCGGCATAACTTGATAGGCCTGCCAGGCCAGATGGGCGTGCCTGGCTAGGTGCAAGAATCTTCAGGTGCAGACAAGCAACAAGACAAGCAAACTTGGGCCACTTTGCACACAAGATGCAGTGGTACGTACTTCTGTGTTTTCTTCAGCTGCCAAAACAACGCAAAGATTTGCTATACTTGGTACATCCAGCATAGGAAAGCTTCCGGTCACAGTTTGTGCACGTAGCTTGGCCACAAGTAATCAATTGCCTTTCCCGTGGGAGTGCTCACCAGGGTCGCGGACTTGCCATCTAAAAGCGAAGATTGTTGCATGGATTACAACCACATGCCTGTACTGCTATTGGGTTGGTTCTTTAGACTTTAACGTTTTGGATTCTCCTCACATGTCCTTTTAACCAGCAAAAAGTTAAACTTTTTGCTGGGGGATCTACAGCACCCAAGATGCAGAACCCGTTGCAATAGATGTTCGCACGTTCATTTCCACCGTCACATGACCTGTCATGTCGCATCTGGGCCCTTGAAGTCAGCTACCTGTGCCAGAGCCCTGCGGCTAAGATGTTCTGCGCCCGTCTCTGGATGTGTTGATTGAGACAAAGGAAGATGTAGGGAGGGGCCCGGCGAAGTTGGGCCGCAGGATGAGCCGGACGTGAACGTTGTGGTGCGAGACGTGCCAAAGGAGACCTTCAAAGTGGAGTGAGCTGCACAAGTTATGAACATCCTCACCTAGGGGGGAAGTTAGCTTATCCATGATGCAGGTTCCTTCGATGCCGTAGTTTTACATTGTGAGTGGCAGTAATTTTGCGCAGATCCAAAGCTATGCAGAGGGATACCGTTCAAGTGGCGGTAGTTGTTGAATGTGGTGTGGCTTGTGCGTCGCACGTATACATGCAAACATCACGAAGTGGAATCCAACGTCAGACACTTGGACGTACATACTCACAGGACAGTTGAATACACGTGTTAAACAGCTTCTGTTGCAGTCGGCTTCACATGTGTGTTGTGTCAAAGGCACAACTCTGCGAACAATCGAAGAGTCATTAATTTCTTGCTGCTTCGTTGGTTTATGTGCTTTCTCAACAAGACTATCGGGCTTAACCAAGATGGTTGCTGTTGCTAAAAGTTTGACGTTTCGCCTTTCGGCTTTTGTTAATCGGGCATAGCCAAAAACGTTCAGCGTCCAGTATTGATGTTGGGTCTGTTCTAGGGCCTTTAGGGTCCGGACGTATGGCTGTTTGGCTTGGGATCTAGGGTTGAGGCTCTAACTAGAGTTTGGTTTACAAGTTAGTTGCGAAGATTGATGTAGTGTTGAGGGGTTGCATGGATCGGAGTCATTTTCAGATTCTCAGCTATGCTTGCAGGGTTCAGAGCTTAGAGGGTTTAGGGTTGGGCCACAGGCGGATTGACCAGGATTTGCACTCGGACTACGGGGAAACCCGAACGCGCAAAGCCCGAGCAGACGCGCACGCGTGTCGTAGCTGAGTTTTATAGTCTTGCTATTGCTTGTTTAATACGAGTCCTTAATCCTTAGTCCAGATGACACTGGAGACTCTGGTGATAGCAATGTCCCACTATGTATTGCGGATAAGCAGAAGTGGCCGTCGTCATGGCAATCCAAATGGCCGCCCTTTTGTTTCCTGGTCCTTTCTTCGTAGCCCAGAAGCTGATCATCTTTCTTGGTGGCTCCCAGCCATCCCCTCAGCTTCTTAGCTTTTTTGTGTTTAGTGGGGATTTTCATTCAACCCCAAACTCCAATCTGTTAGCGGGGGATCTGAGGACAGCCCAGCTTTGAGTTCCTGGTCCATTCGTTGGAGTCGCACCCGCCCAGGAGTGCTTCGAGTGGAAGTCGGAGACAGCAGAAAACACCCACGAGGAGGCGGCCTGCGCGCGACCGATCGGGGAAACCTGAGCCAAAGCAGAAGCCAGCTCCATGCCCCAAACTCGAAGGTGAACTGTCCAAAAGAGGACAAAAGGCCCTGGACTGAGCGGCATCCAGATGGATCAGTCAAACAGGTAGTGTGAGATGGAAATCATTACCCCAAAGGATCATTTTAGAGAGCTAGGTCTCCCAGCTAGGTGCCCTTTTATCGTTTCTTTTAGGGGGAGGGTTCCCCTACTAAAATAGACCACAGCAAAAAGGTGGTACCCTCATTCTAACCTCTGGAGGACCTAGGGCAAAGTCTCAAGTTCCACCCTTTGAGCCTTTACACCTTTGCAACTTTTGATTATGCAAGCATACAGTTCTCCAGCCCCCACTTACCACAGCCAATGTACTCTTTGGCTGCCTCAAGACCCGTTTGGAATAAGTTGTGACCCGGGCCTTTGGGAAACAGCGCACTGCCCACAAGTTTCAGCGCACTGCCCCATGGCTCGCCTCTTACATTGTCCATTGCACCGCAACAGGTATATATTGTCCCCCCAGTGATTATTTGCAGTTTTTGCTTTGCGCACATGATCAAATAGACAGTCAATTGCTGGCGGTTGCGCTCTTTGTGTTCTTGCCTGCTTCCGGGATTCGTGATCGCACCGTAGGGGTGTCGAGCTAATATGAGCAACAATCAGAATTAACCGTAGTCTACAGTCGATATATAGAGGGACCTAGGGGGACCTCACCAACTTCTCCACCATGCCGCATGGACCAAATTTGAGAGGTGGATACGCGTGACTCACATGTCATCCTGCACTTTGTGCTCTCTAGTTGGCTCTTTGGGGCGACTGACCTTTCGACCATTTGACCTTGTGCCCCATAGGGTGTCACAGCCATGTACGTTTTTGGTTTTTTGGATGTTCCTGTGTTTGCTCCATTCACATAGAAAGCTAGCAAGCACAGGACATGCTCATTGCATTTTGTGGCCCTTTCCAAGCTTCCGCTGGGCATAAGCATTTGTGCTGATGCGGAAGCTTTCATCAAAACGCTCATCAAATCCTAGACAGCACCTAGCCTTCCCCTGGAATCAACCAGTTGAGTAGCTGTTGTGCTAGATGTGGTGGCTTTTCTTTGGTGCATTTTTCTTGGATGTTAGGACTTTAACTTTTTGCCAACTAATGGGTTTTCCACTATCCGCTAAAAGTTGTTCACTTTTAGCAGGGGAGCAGATTTCGCAACCGAGGTTTGGTGTTTGCTAGGACCCGTGAGTGTGTCGATGCGGTCTGCGTGCATGCCTCTGCGCAGGTTCGAGCGTTCACAGTGCAGAACAGCCGGCCCTTGCTGCAGATGATGATCACAAGGCGGTCGTTTGAGAAGTTTGAGGTCAACCAGTTTGCCCGTCTCCCCCTGCCGCGCTCGCCTGTGCAAGGCGAATCAATCACATGTAGCCTGTTAGTTTTCCGGATTTGGTCCGTGATTTATTATTGTCCCAAAAAGATCAACCTCTGATTTCCAGCCAGTTGAGAAATGAGTTTGCGATTCATTTAAAGGCGATTCGTTGAGTGCTGAGTCCTTGCGCGTGACGGGAGTATGCTAGATTACATGTTGACGCGTGGGCAACTACGCCGATGCAACGAGACAGCTTCGAAACCAAGCCATGCCTTCAGACAATGGTTGTTTCTGGACTTTGAACAGTCGTGTAGCCTTACCAAAAATATTGCATGTCTTACCCTCAGTTTCCCATGTTTGTTCTTTATACTTGATAGGACAAGCGACTTTGTCGAACACCCCCAACTTGGAATTTACTGGGTCCAACTGCTCCTGCGGAGCATGCGGCCCGGCTGTTACCGAACTGTCAATCAACACCGCATGGTGCATGGAGTTGTCTCAGAGTGGGCGTGAATTGAAAAGGGATCAACATTACGCAGCTTGCTTGTGTCACCAGACATGAGTAAGGCACGGTATTGCCAGTGTACTGTGGGTCAGCGGAGCACATGGGGAATATGGTACGAGCCAGCATTTGAACGTTGGTTTTGCGTTCAATACACAGCAATCGACACTTGGCCTCGAACGGTCTCTAAAGGCCTTTCATTTGACTTGATTGGGTTGACCGCTTCGAATTGTTCAGTGTCACATTCATGGTTGTTTTAATTCATGGCACTGAACATGGCCAGCAATAGTAATAGGAAAGAGCGCTTGACGCTTTTCCCTCTGGTCACCGTTCAAAGCGAATCAACCTGTTGGCTTCCGTTCAATTTCAGACAGTTCCTTGGTTGACAGGAAAGTTACGGGAGGCCAGGTTGAAGTCTACACTCTGTTGTTGCTGGGCGACATGTCCAAGCCGTTTGGTCGATTTCCCCAGTGCAGCCACCCTCCGGGCATGATTCACTTGGACTTCAGACCCTGTAGATTCACAGCCCTCAAAGCAAATGTTCCTTTGTTTGCAGCAAAGGGTCCTTCGGTGTGCCGCTTGACCCTTGTAGTTGAGGGTCAAGCTGGGACTTGCGGGGTCTAACCAGAGGGCTTCTGCACTCACCTTTCGTGGTGACTCTGTTTCATTCTGTTCCGTGCCAAAAATGCCGGTGTCCCATGCCAGCACCGAGCCAGGGCCCGGGGCCAGTTCGGCAAGTCCACGAAGTTCAGCGATTCGGGCGGGGTCGGGCGCGGGCCGGCCGAAGCTTGGGCTGATGTGTGTGTGTGAGGAGGAGGGAAGGGGCCGTTTGTGGACCTAAGATATGGTTTTAGTTTGTGAGTTTTGTTGTTTATCCTGGGGTGTAACTCCATCTTGGGGATTGCTCAGGCTGGCTGGCTGGCTGGTGGGCTGGCTGGTGGGCTGGCTGGTGGGGTGGCTGGTTGATTGGCTGGTTGGATGATATTATGCTGCTGGTTGGTACGGGTGTTGTTACTTGGGGTTGGTGTGCAGCAAGTGCTCGTGTGGAGGTTTTTTGGGTGTGCAGTTTTGGGGTTCGTGCATGACATGGGGTTGGCTTTTTAGTGGACTTAGAGCTGCGTCTTGTCGCACTTGAGCCCGCCTAAGCAGTGGCTACAAGTTCGTTCAGAGAGCCCTTGATTAACAGCACAAAGTAACGGGTTTAGATTTCCTGAAGTTTCAGGCAGAAACAAAAAAAAAAGGCCCGAAAAACAGGATGTGCTGAAATGTCCTCGCCAAAAAAATAATTTAAACCACACGAGTTTGCCCAGGAACACCCGTTTGCGCGATCCCTCGTGAAGGGCCGCCAAGTTCTTGTTGTTGTGGTTGTTGCTGCTGCTGCGGCTGCGGCTGCTGCTGATGTGATTGGTTTGGTTATATATGGTTTCTTGTTGCATGTGGTATGGTTTTCATTTGTTGCCTGCCTGCCTGACTGCCTGCCTGCTTGATGGCTTGCTTGTTGGTGTTTTATGCTTGGTGCGTGTTTGTTTTGATGCGGTTGTTGCCAGCACCTGCATCACCTTGACACGCGGGAATGCATCAGCAGTGGGGGATCATAAGTAACGGTTGTTGCAGGAAACCAACAAGTCGGGGCATGTGGAGGGGCCCCTTTGATGGATTCCCACATTCTGAGTCTCATTGTGTTTGTCGCACAATGAACTTGTTATTTTCTTGTGCATTTGTTTGCATTAGGGATTTATCTAACGGTGTTGCTACAGTGCATTTGTTTTTTTAAATGAAACACATTGTCCCGTGATGCAGTGATGTGCGCACCTCTTCACCGTGGCCAGGTGAAAATAACCAGAACTGCAGACCGCAGAAGGCCCGGTTTTCCGTCGCTATTTGAGGCTAGATCCTCTATGCTTGGTTTCCTATGTCAGCCCCCACTCACGGTCAGCGTCAGAGCGTGTTTGCTTTGAACCTGTTTGTCTGGGACCAGTAGTGGCTTTTCTATGCCGCCTTTTCGGGAATAAATGCAGTTAACTGCCAGTGGGCAGAAGCAGAGTTCAAGTTAAACAGCTGTCTGGTGTTAGGAATCATCACTGTTTGGTTTTGCTTGATTCATAGGTGAGGTCATTAGCCATGTATTACTGATTATTACTGGCTGTTTTTAGTTTGCTTCGCGCGGCCAGCCCGACCCAGTTCTTGACTCGCACGCTTTTGCCCTCATTGTGTGGTGCGTTGCCCACTCAAAATGGTTAACCCCAAAAGGGGTCTTTTTTTCTAGCGAGCTCACTTTCAACCAGATGACTGTGAGAGGGTCCACCTGCGAATAAATCGCCAACAATCACAGAGCCTTCTGAGTTCGTCTGCAGATTTGAACGCCACTCCCGCTCGTGTGGAGCTTCGATCATGGCTCACATGGGTGAATGGGAGCCATGCAGCCATTTGTGGGAGGGATGTGGGCAAACTACAACGATCTGACAAGGGGTTGGTTGCAACCTAGCCCGTATTCAAACGACTCTTTTATAGGCCGGGGTTCTTGAGTTTCCCTTGCATGGATTATGGGACCTTGCAGTTTCATGGATGGCACAATCACAAACATACCATTCGGCAATGGTGTTTACTCACCAAAAAGTCATGACACTTAGGGGCACAACGGACATTGACCATGGTTCATGTGAGCAGCGGATAGCATGTCTTGGGTACCGGCCTCCATCGATTTGTTCCTTCTTGCTGGTCCTCCAGCGTTGCTTGTTTTGTGGGAAACCACCATTTACAAGGCAATATTCAGGTGTATAATGCAAGGATCCCTGTAATCCCTTTGAGGCATTCATTTGAGCCGACGCCAAGCGCCGTGTGCGGTCCCTGACCTTGGGCAGGACCACAACTTTGCGCCGCCCAAGCGGGAGCTTGAGATGGGGATCCAGGCGCAAGTCCGCAAACACGCTCTAGGGGATACACTGGTTCTTTTTGACGAACCTGCCAAAAAAAAAACTTCGGAGCTTCCTGTTTAATTCCAGGGAGTCTATATGTTCCATTGTTTTCAACCATCGTTCTTTTCGAAAACCGGCTCCGTTTCCCCTGGGCTTTTGGACGGTTTCCTACTGAACAGATCTGGATGCCCGGAAAGAATGGACGTGAAAGGTATCCCTAGACACGCGGGTTCGTCGCAAGAAGGTTGGCCAAACCGGAGTGGGGCCGCGCTAAAATTGGCTGATGCCCCGTTTGGCTATGTTTGGTGTCCTTTTGCAAGCCATTCGAAAAGGGGTGGCCATGGGGTGCGAAGTTTTCTCGAAACCTCCATCCAAAAGGGTGGGGTGGTCCGTGTCGTGGACTCTTAGGGTCTGTGTACGCAACCTTCTTTTAGGGTGCAAAAAAGACTAAGTGTCAGAGGAATGGGTGCTTGGAAACCACCAGTGGAAACTATGACCAGTCGTTCACCGTCGCAGGGTAAGCCACCTTTGGCGGGCGGCGGGGGGGGGGGGGGGCGGGGGGCGGTGGGTTTGAGGCTGGCGAAATCAAATGTCACTGGTTTCCTGCTGGCGGTTTACGTTGTTTGATCAGTTTTTTTTGTAGTTCACGGCTGGCCAAGTTTCTCGAGGCATGTTATTTGAGATGTGTGATTAGAAGGTAGGGGCTATTCCCAAACCGCAAGCTGAGGGAAGAAGTTGGCTTGACCATTCAAGAAAGATGCCAAGAATATTATTGCCTCCATCCTGCCCGACTGTTTTCTTGGTTGTTTTCCCAAACCCGGACCCACTCATGTCTACCCGAGGCATTCACAACTGCATGGAAATATTTGATGTATTTCAGCCCTGTTGTTTCCACCCCGGGACCGCTTGCTGCTAGACCAATTTTTCGCCCGAAGCCTGTGAGAGCACCGCAGCAAACAGCTGGTTACTGTTTTTCCTTCATCTCTCAAATAATCTTCGAATTGTAGGCCTGGATGGTGGTTTGGGGTTTTTAATTCCTGCCCTCTAGAACCCCCCTGAACTTTCAAGCACCAACCCAAGCCACCAATGAAAACCACCCACAATCAGGAGGAGAGACATTGCGGCGACTCTACCCCCAGAGAGGTTCCCAGACCCCCTCCAAGAGCCACTTCTAAGACAGTTTCTTCAGAATTTTCGTGCATGGCATTTTCCATCGGAGACAGCGCAGTTCCAGCATAACCTAATTCAACATGGTTATGTTCTCCCGTCTGTATAAAAGTGCTGTGAAATAGATGCATTGCGATTTCCCTCTTGCATGCATCTTGTTAGCAGTGCATGTTGTCCGTTTTCTTGTCAAATCCAGAGTGTTATGGGGCAAGCTTGGAGAGTTTGCTGCCGCACTGACGTATTGCATTGTTAGCAAGTGCTCGAAGGCTTGCGGTAAATCACATTCTCACTCGGTAGGCGACTAATATGTAAATTTTGTTGGCCGGAGTTAGCATGTCCTTCAACGATGCTCGTCGCAGTTCAGCGGAGAGCTTCCTAACTGCCTGTCCTACTTTGTTCCTCAGGGAACATGAGCACGGAAGATTTGTGTCCGTACCTTCCCATGGTTGTGGTTGAGTCACACCACCAGTTGCGCTTGCCATTCGGATGTGCGGGACTACATGTGGGCATTTCGATTAAAGTTCGAAGTCTCAAGCGTGACGTTGCTGTTGGGCTTTCTACTAAAGAGGCTACAATCTCCACATTTTTGGGCAGGCCAACCGAGTAAACCGTGTCACCCATTGAAGGGGCCCGTTTGTGGGATCCCGACCCTGCCTTGTTCCCCAGCAGCATTCTTTGGGTAAGGCGACACAAATAAGGGAGAGTCAACTACCTAGTTGCTCAGTGCACCCTGTTTGCCTCTATGTCCCCAGCTCTTTTGCCACTAAAGATCCACCAAACCTGGGCAAGCCCTGTCAAACCACTGGCTGCCTCTCAGCAGAATTGAGCTTAGTGCTTCACTTCACTCCACGCCAAATCGCTGCCTTGAGGCTGTGAAGGAGACGAGAACCACCTCGTGTCAGACGACTTGGCCACGGACCCAACAGAAGCATCAGCATCGCTTGTCTTTTGACAATCGCCGCAGACAGCAGTTGGGCTTACTCCTGGGGCAACGTTCATTTGGTCCAGGTGATTCTTCATTTCTCCCTTGAAGAGAACGTAGTGATGACCCGTGAACACCTGAAGCAACTTCAGGCAAACCCAGGCGGTCCTAAGAGGGGTTCATGATCGAGATCTTTTGCACGTTGTCTCAGACAAGAGCCTTTCAGCCCATTCAATTCATGTGCTCCAAGGCCCGGGTGTGAGGCGAAACCCTCAGGCAAAAGGGACCCTCCTTCGCATGGCTTCGAGAGAAGTTCCGGTACCTGGAATGTCAGTGACAGGGCCGCTGGTCAGCGGATTTCCTGCCATCAACTCATGGCTCCAGAAGCAACACCTGACCCACAATCAAAAGCTGGGAAGATGAAGATTAGACTCCTTCAGCGCCAGCTGTTCAAAGGGAAAGTTGTGCTGGACACGTTCAAAATTTACTTGCCGAAAGCCAACCTTCGGACCTCTGTTTCTAACCAGAGTTGTACGCTCATGCAACCATTCACGTTGCGTGATATCAATATCAAGCTCACCCAACATCCGGATTCAACACGTATGGGGGGGAACACACTTCTCTACAGTTCCCGTGTCCATGAATTTACAGGTAACACCGTGTGACGTAATATGTTGACCATGTCTCATGTGGATGTTGCAACAAGATCTCCAGAGTATGTTCGATGTCCTAGCCAGTTCAAGGAAATACAAGCAGCCCCTACTGTCGCGAAGGTTTCTTTATTCTGATTGAGGTCACTTTGTGGTCAAAAGGTACACTGTAAAGAACGATAGCTGACGTCCCATTGAGTGTCTTTTAAGGATGTCCGTGGTTCAATGGAATTCTGTAGAGGTCTAAAGGCGTGGAAAGCATCAAAGTGGGCTGGGCCTCCATGCGGTGTGGGACCCAAATGGCCCTTGATTCCCAAGATTCTTAGGGCGAATCAAGAACAGCCCTACTCAACGGCCAAGTGGCAGCTTGTGGATTGTGTAGATTCCCGCTGAGGTTCCGTCCAGTGAACAAGTCAACGCAGTACACGCTGAGACCTTGGAATGGGGAGGCTGAGGTCGGCGTGAGGGATGAAATTCTACACCTACCCTACCCTACCCCATCCCACCCCACCCCACCCACCCCATCCGACCCCATCCTGGTCCTGTCCCATCCCATCCCATCCCAGCAGCATGGATTGACCGACTAGCCACGTTTCTTGCACAAGGAAGTTTTAGGTCCTGGAACTGCCACTGGTACTGAAAAGGGCATGACCCGGCCCACACTCATCAAAAATACCCCACATGCCACTCGAACAAAGAGTTGCCTCACCAACATCCAATCTCAGTGGGGGGAATGGTTTCCATTTTCACGACTCTGATCTTCAGAGTGTGTCCAGTATTCCGCTGGTCAATTACAATGTTCTGCTGGTGTAAGGGTTGCCTAGCATCTCTGGCCAAAGGCAATCTCCAATGCTCAGCTTCGGCTGCTCTGCCCGTGTTTTGGCAAAGGTGACCTTCGAATGCTTGACTGGAGAGTTGCGACGCTCGCGCCTACAACATGGTACATGAGCAACGGTCTATATTTACTCTCATCTTCTGTAGTAAATGGGTGACATTGAGCGCAATCACCAATGAAATAGGACATGTGGCTCATTTACTTGCAACAATATCATGTCAAAGCTGGACACAAAATTAATATCGACTGTGACTTATATGTGACACAACAGCTCATATGATAGACTTAGATCTTTATCATGAAGCATAGGGCATGCGACTCGAACTTTTAGTTTTTGGCACTTGTATAAGAGGTTGCTGCACTACCCCACAGCCACCACCTCAGAGGGAACATCGGGTGAGCAGCACGTACATGGCAGGTATGATGTATATTGCCGCTGAATACACAAGAGACATGCCCCATACACTCCCTGGAATTAAACAGGAAGTCCGTGCTCTCAGAAGTCCCTCCAACATAGAAGTCCCTCAACCGTCTTTAAATGCCTGTCATTTCTTTTACTGGGAATGTACGACCACCTCCTAACATAGAAGTTACCCAGGGTACCCCTCGCCACGACAATCCCGGTTTTTTTTTCAGGAACCCTACGTAGACTCTTGAGAACTTGTTTCGAGCCTGCACTTCCATGTAAAAACAAAAACGTGAGTGAAAACGCAAGTTCTGACCCACAAAAGTGTCCTAACATAGCACCCGAGAATAGGCCCTACACTTCCATGCAAAAGGAGAACACGTGTGCTTAACATGTAAGTGCTGGCTCGTTGTTTGCCCTATTGTTGTTCGGGGGTCAATAGGAAAACTATGATTGTGTTAGGAGCAGTTTCGCATGTCCCTGAGAAAAGTCGTGAACTGGCATTTGCCTTGTACGCTTAAAATTACGGTTTGTCCGCCCGCTAATGCTAAAAATTGCAGCCGAGTCAATCAATCTCACCCCTACATGCTACCAGTCGTACGTCGTACCTATGTGTTGGGGGGGGGGGAGTAGGGAGCCGGTGCCCGAATCATCGTCGGAAGTCAGCTTCGTTCTGAAATGCGGAAGTCGACAAGAAACACCCCAGGGACTTCCATAGGGTTATCTAACCTGACCCTGGTCCAGGGTCAGGTTTTGAAGTCTAAATCCCTCTAATCTGAGAAGTTCTTGGCCATTGGGATGATTGCAAGTTTGGACATTTGCGATAAATGCGCCAACCACAAGGCAATGCATGTGCCTAGAAGAATTCCGCTCAAAGTGGCGAGTTGGCTCTGTAGCAAGTGACTAGTGAGCACAAGTTCCAGCAACCTCGCACATGTTTATCCCAAGGAAGAGGGCTACAGACAAAGTTGTCAACTACTTGCCCTGGAGAGGCATATCGCCATTTGTGAACCGCCTGTATCCCTGAATGGTGTCTAGAGCCATGTGTGAACCACTTGGCAAGCGCACTGGTGAGTTGCCAAGTCACCGGCTTGAGATTATAATGCCAACATGTACCATCACAGGCCCCCCCCCAGGTATTCTGCGGGCCCCTTCGTTTTGGTGGCTCTTTTACCTTCAACTTTTTACCTCCTCGGAGCCGCGGCGCCTTTGTCCTCAGGCCCAGCGACTTTCTCCAGCGCGGGGCGGATTTGGGCTATGCCAAGGTGCGCCGTGCGCTGTGCGTGACGTGACCTTCGGTGGGTTGTGCCTGTTTTGTTTTCTTTGGGGGGGGGGAAGGGGGGGGGGAAGGGGGGGCAGAGGGAGAGGGGCAGGGGGTTTCTTTCAAAGCTCTACCAAAAAGGGGGTCCGCTTGCCCATAGCCCCTTGAAGTTTGGGGCTTGGGAAGTGGTCATGCTGACAACCAAAACCCGAGTGGGTCACAGTTCGGTGTGTTTCCTTTGAGAAGCTTTGCGCTTTTGGCGCTGGATTTGCCCTTTCCTTGAAACGGCTGTACAGGGGATTTCTGTTTTGAGAAGCACCCATACAACCCCTATATGACTATATACTGCCCTCAGACCTCTATTAAGCACCACTTCGAAAAGGCAAGCCTGAAAAACTTTTAGCAGGGGATCCGAAAACGGGCAGCCCAGGCAACAGGTAAGGACTGGAAGCTTTGGAAGATGTAGTGGAAATTGCGCTGGAATGTTCCGGAGGTGCCTGGAGGTTCAGCCGTTTCGCAAGTATTCTGGGAGAGCACACAGGCTCCAGGGCACCTGGAGAGTCCGGAGCCATTTGGCCTCTCCCAAGGGTCACTGCTCATCCAACTGGGTGAATTAGAACGACCTCACACGACCGAACTCACCCCCAAATGGTGGTTGTGTGGGGAATAGCCCAACCACCTCATTTCAGGTGGGTGAAATATGATACTTCACCCAGATCCAACTCTTGAAATGAGACGCGCATCCAGAACGCGCCGATGTTGTCTCAGCCGAGCGCGCACAGGTGGACGAGCTGTCCGCCTTCCTGTCCAACGTCAGCCTATCGCCCAGTTGTTGCAAATCGAGCCTTGGGGTACACTACAAGAGGAACTACCTTTTGAGATTGCACAACTTAGTGTTGCTACGCTGCGGGGGTCTCTGCGAAGGCGAACTTGCACGTTCCAGTTGTTTTTTGTTTAATGGGATGTGAATCAACTGACAGCGTTCCACAACATTTGTCACGCTTGACCACGTTTGCCGACAAATATGCTCGCCAGTGGTCAAAACCCACTTGTCAGACCCGGTCTGGGGCTGTCTGATTTTAGGGCGAGTGTGAGGTGAGCTGGTGAGGCATGAAACATGACTCCTGGCTGTTTGCTCGGCCGGAGCAACTGCTTCAAGCTACTGATCCGAGGTATGGAGGAATCAAGAGAATGTTTGCAGCATTCCCTGCAACAGCTGCATGTCACAATGATGCTTTCGAGTAAGAATGGGTCGGTTAGAGAGAATGGGGATGAACCGTTAGAGTGAGGGCGAGGCTGAAGGGCAAAAGCTGACAAGTGCCATGACAAATCACTTGCCTGCAAGGAGACAGATATTGACTCGATCAATCTCTTCATTAAGAGGCTAGTTTGCTAAAAGGAGTTCGCGCTTGGTTGCTAGTAACATATTCCGAGAATGGATGCCCCGTGAAAAAAACAAATTCCTTACCTTTGGGAATCTCTAGCCCAGTTCTTCCAGTTGCCGTGGTGGGTAACCCTCCGGCTTCCTTGCCAGGTTTTGCCATGGGTTTTTCCTGGTTACGCATGGCACCAGCTGGAAGCGCAGGGTTGAGAGCAGAAACTGTCCGAAGGCCCAAGGCAAGTCCGGGGCAAGCTTAGCCGCCGGGCGTTGCCAGAGGTACCCTAAGGCTCCTCTGAGAGAGGCAACGAGCAAGTAGCGCATTCTCCGGGAGGTGTCCCTCCCTGAAAAACATCCTGACAAGTAAGAAGGGCTGCAAGGTGGGAACGGTACCGGCAAATCCACTTCAAGGAGTTTCCTTTGTTTTGTTTGGCGGCAGGGCGGAAAAAGGGGGGATGCTACCCTGTTCGGGCCAACGTTGATCACATCTTTCATCGTTACCCTGTCCTAAACTGATGATATTCACATTTTGACATCAACATCCGCATCCAGGGTTGAACATAGGCCAAGGACAGAGATCACCCTGAAAGATGAGGTTGGCCCACTCGACTTGAAATCCCATGCGTTGTTCTAGGGGTTGATTCCTTTCCCATTATTTTCAACCAACGTTCTTTCCAAACTCCGGATCCGTTTTCCCTGGGTTTGCAGAGGTTTTCTAGAAAGATCCGGATCCCTGGAAAGAATGGCTGGAAGGGGAAGTCCTTAATGTTGAACCCACATTAGTCAAGGGGGCTAGTTTTGGGCCCCTCCAAAAGTGGTCTGATTCCTGGAAAGAATGGTTGGAAGGTAGCTCTGGGCGTATCTCTCCCTTGAAATGCTTGACATGGGTCCTGATCTATCCCGGCCAACACAAGTTGATTTCCACCGCAGTCCGCGTCCCAACAGGGAACCAAGAGCGTACCTCTAGAGTTCTTCTCTGCTTCCACGTGCGCGTACCTCTGAGTGAACTTCTCGAGGCGTGGGCGTAGAGGAGGCGCTGCAGACCAACGAGACGGTAGACATCTTCCAAGAAGAGCCGGGGGCCGTGGACCATCGCCCCGCCGATTTTTCGGATCTTGGGGCCCATTTCTCGGGGCTGCCTTGGGCTTTGGGCCACCTGGAAGGGGCCCTGAGTGCCAGAGTTTGAGGAACCCATCGAACTTTGGTGGTTTCTTGAAAGGATTTCCTTTCAGAACTTTGCCAGAACAAAGGACACACCCCGTTCAGGGACTCCTTGGGTGAATCGCCTGCTGCTGACGTGGGGCCGAGGGCTACTGTACTATCAGTTCAGGTCTCACTCGCACCCTGCTTGATCTTCATTTCCCTTGGTATAGGGTGATTTCCGAGGGGATGTTCAAGTGGCCCGTTTCGTTTCGCGGGGGATCCATATCGTACAGGTGTCGATTTTGACTTTGGTTGTGATTGTGACTTTTCTGAACTTTCGCGTGGAGACCCAGTTTCAACGCCTAAAAGCCGCCGGGGGCGCAGGATCAAACCGATGTGATTTGCGCTGCGACGGTGGGATCGAATCGGATTCCAATTGAGCGTCCAGACCAATATTGCCGACTTGACGTGGTTGATTATACTGCGCTGGTCCCATGGGGATGGTAAGGCCTGTGTAAAGCTTAACCATCGTCACCCAGAGTCGATCATTTTTGGGCGCTGCTGAATTGGAGCCACGTTGTTGGGAGTAGAAGCAACAGCAAGATGTCATTGTGCGACAACCCGGGAGGGGCGAACCAGCATTCTGTGTCTTGAAAGTGTTCACCTTTGGATCTTTCAGGTGAAATATAGAGACCTTCTCCAGCAGGGTTTCCACATTTTCAGGGGCTTCCTTTACAATACAGGGGATCGAATGATACATTACGCCCAGAGCTAGTTGCACTCCCTTGAACTTCCCTCAAACAACCCAAGAAAAGGGTACCCTCAGCTGCTGGACTATTGGATTGCTTGGATTGCTCGGGACAACTATTTTAGTGGCAACCAACAAGTTTACACTTGTCTTACCCATCCGCGCAGGACATTGTGTTTGCAGAAAGTTACAAACGCAACGTATTTGTGTGAATTTTGTTTTGGAAAGAAACGGCGCTTTCCCCCCCCCCCCCGGTTCAGCCGCGTTGTTTTTTCTGTATGGAGCAGTGGCCTCTTTGCTGGGGAGTTTTCGATGCGAGGTTCTCGCACCTGGGGGAGGAGGAGGCGGGAGCCATCACCAAGACCCACTCCAAGCTGAAGGCAGGGCTTCTCACGAGTGCTGAGCGCTACTAGGTCCCCCAGTAGTGCCCTTTTACCTTTTTTTCGGGGAGGGTTCCCCTACTAAAGACTACAGAAAAAGGGTATCCATATTCTAACCTCTCTACTGGAGGACCTAGGCTAGATGGGTATGTGATTCGTATCACGTAGATAGCCTTTGCCAGACCTTTTCTGTTCGGCCCGTTGGGGAAAGGCCGAACAAGTTTGAGTTGGTTGGGGCAACGCCGGCAGGTCATTCAAGAACATCTAGGGTAGGCTGTTTGGGAGTGGTGGGGCGGAGGATGCAAACATTGAAGCACATGTACAACTTGGTTTTAGGAGCTTGGGAGCTCATCCCGTTGGTTCTGCCGCTAGGCTTTTGGTTTTCTTCAGGTGTTTCGAAGTCAGAGTTGCCCAAGCCACTTTTGACGTGGGTGGCTCTGAGAATGGGAATGCAGCATGTTTTAGCCTTGGATTTGCACTACGAATAGCTCGCCCGGGGACCAATCGTACCAACCCCACCCGCCATGCTCACCTCCGGACTTCAGCTTTTGGCCACTTGTTTCCACTGATGAGATCAGTTGCGTGCTTTTTCGCTATATGGCCATGGGTCAAAATCCCGTACCCCCAGTGAACATCCCAATCCCCACTAAAAAGACTAAAATGCACCTGCCCCAAAGTGGTACCATTGGTTTTGACCCAGCAACACGTGCTGGTTGATGTTCAGGCCGCCCTTGGGCAACTGCGGTTTCCTTGAACATGACCCACAACTGCGACCACCTGAGACTGACTTCCACATGGAGCCGAAACCACAAGTGCGTGAGTTTCAACTTTTCCATTAAGTAGTTTGCACAGGGGGCAGCCCAAATTTCCACAAACACCAGGGTGCAACCCAGTTTGTGCATGTTCTTTTGGGCCAGCAAGTGGTTTTATTCGCGGTTCGTATGTGCTTTGCCTTGCCCGAGCGATGTGTAAAGACCTAGTTTGTTTTACGAGATGACTTCGGTCCGCCAAAGCAAAGTGAAACGGAGTTCCGAGGCGCTTAGGTCGGAGACAGATGCAGAACGAATAGGCAGATGTGCTATTGACTGGAGACTTCTCAGCGTGGTGTTTCATTTGTGTGCTATCAAGCAATCACTCCGCGTTTGGAGAGTCGTCACTGCAGAATTCAGGCAATGCTAAAACAAAGAAGAAACATCAGAACCGAGCAAATGCACGTGGAAACAAAACAGGACAGCGAGGGCCGCACGCCGCACGTCGAATCCTCTTTCGGCTTTGTGAGATCCCACACGTGAGCGACTGCTTCTATCCAAACGGGTACAGGGTTGGAGAACGAGGCGGGAAGACCCGACCATTCAATCATGCAGCAAACAGCTGCCCTACTTGTAGCTCACGTAAAAAGCGGCGCGCGCAAACCCTTTTGGCACCAGGGACGACCTCGCAAAAGCGCTGCACAACCAAAGACCCATTACAAACTCTTGCAAATGCTTGTGGACGCTCACGGCCGCAACGACGCATTGTGCGATCACCATGATCACCTTCTGTTCCGCGGACACGCTTCCAGAAAGCAGATCCTTTGTATTCGCGGAACAATTGCGATAAACATTGCAAGTGAAAAACACGCAGAAAGCGCATTGCATTCGAGGACACACCTTTGTTGGGTTGAGCATAGAGAGCACAGATATGTGCACAAGGTGGCAGCTGCAGAACCTTCAGACGCTTTGTTACAGACGATAGTTTGTCGGCCGGTCATCCGGAGATCCGGCACAGGAGCACCCGAACTTCCACGATGTCACCTACACCAAGGGCAAGCGCATCGTGGGGCAGCCCGGCTTTCGGAATGGATGTCAAGGGAGGATCCCCTTTCCCAATGGGCGAGTGATGAATACGTGTAGACATCGCTGGGTGTATCATGTTGTGGGTTGGAACATGGGACCGACCAACTTTCCCAATCCATTGTTGCCAAACGTAGGTTCGAGAAATATTTAATATTCCCAACGGGAAGAAGCTTTGTGAGTTCTAACACTTTTCAGTTCAGCCCAGTCGCTTTGTGCAGACCAAAGATCCTCAAAAGAACATGACCCAACTTGGAGCGGTTCGGTGGGAAACATGACATGAGGGTTGGGCTTCTTGGGGTTGCTTTTGCCGATTGCTGGTTAATTTTTGCACGTCCTTGATGTTGGCTGATGTTCTATGATCCCAATCCGCACCTTCCACTGGTTGCTGGCCTCCAAGTTGAAGGTGCACATTCCGGGCAAGACTTCAAATAACAGATGGCAGTTTCCATTTCGGGCTTCTCTTGAAGCTCAGCATGTAGGCATTGGATAGCCAACTTCTTCATTTTGCCCCGGCGCCGTAAGAGCCACGCGCCGGCCGAGCGTGTCGCTTGGTGCGAGGAGTGGGTGGAGTGGGTGCCCAACTCCTCGGAGATGGTGGTCTCGTCCTGCTGCGAGCCAGCGGCTCAGATTTCGTGGCCTTAAACATCCATTTTGGTTTGAACAATTTCCTTTGAACAACAAGTCAAAAGATCAATTGACAAAAGTAGTAAATGAAATTAATGATTCACTAGCAATTGGTGCAAAGCCAATGCCTGGTGTAATTGATACGATGGTTTGTCAAGAATTCGGCTTACCCCATACGGCCATTGAGCTGCCTGAAAGGTGGGGTGATGTGCTAAGGGGAACTTAGGGGATGGATTTCCTGTCATTGCCAGACTTCAGCTTTTCCTTGCAGACCAACTGTTTCAATGGCCAGACTTAATTAATCGTTTGGCGCCTAAAGGCCCTTGTGGGTGTTGCTTCGTTTCCCTTCCAACCAGCAAACTGTTCGGTCTTTGCAGGCGTCCATACAAGGCTGGCAATGCCCTGAATTGCGGTCTTGCAACCATTTTTTTTGTCGTGGTGGATTGAAGGCACTTCTGTTTGCTCCAACATCGTGCTTGGACACAAGATGTATTCAACAAGTGACGGGTGTTGCACTGTTTGTTTTGTCTAAAACCAACAGGGACCCCGGGAAGATTGTAAAGCGCCTCAAGCCAGCGAACACAACATCATGCCAACATAAGGAAATCACAGATTTTGGACAGTGGATTCACCCAGTCTTGATAAAGCCAAGCGCACTGGTGCATTATGATATTTGTTGGCGTTTGTTGGTGGCACCTTGAGCAAGTCGCAGGGCGCAAGGCTGTGCCACAAGGTTGAGATGTTTTGTGGCTGTGCACGCCTCAAAACGGCTTCCGAAAGTTCAGGGAGCTTGTTCGAATGTGAACTAGGGATTTTTCAGAGGTTGCCGCCGGCAGAATCTAGGAGTAGAATGAGCTCACTGATTCTGGGCAAGCCGGGCTCATCCATGATGTAGCTCCTTCACCTGGAGCTACTTGTTTCAAACTTGTGAAGTATGGCCCCGGCAATGGAAACTGGTAGGGGTAGGTTTGGTTTATGTTTGCCCATCAGAGTCGCAATCTAGCCTGACCAACAAGCCTGGGGGAAGGGTTGATGAAACAGCAGGTTTTTCTGCATTTCTGGATGGCTTCCTTTCAGGCAAACCTTAGGTTCTCCTTGTCCCTCTGGAATCGTTCTCCCTTGCGGGCTTGGCCCATGTTCACCAGTGTCTCCCTTTCCACAACTCGACCATCTCAACCAGCAAAATATTCCGGTCCCCCGCAGACTGTGTTTTTTGTCATGTTTATAACACCCCAAGTACTTTCTAAAAGCCCTTATATAAGGGTTGGTGTGATGTTGTTTTTGCGGGCGCTGGGTGGTGCTTGCATGCAGTGTTGTCCTTTGATGACCTTGGAAAATGAATCCTAACATTGGAAGGGTTTTATTCCTTGGTTCCGTGGAAAGTGAGCTTTCCTTCCAAAACTGCATCATAATGCTTGAAGCTATGCCGATTCCGAACAAAAATAGCGACAGTTCTGGCTTCCCGATATTTGCAAGTGTCGGACGGTGCCGTGGACAGCAAAGGCTCAAAGTGACACGGCTTCCATGCTAGCCGTGTCAAGGATTTCTTACAGACCCCTAGACCAGACCCCACAGTAGGACTATGTCACTTCAGCCTTCTTTAGACTCCATTTAAGCCTCCATTGCTTCTTGGTTTCTCCTGATTTGCAGTTTCCACGTTTTTGGGATTGAGCCATATCAGCAAGCATCTCCCATGTGTGTTTCCGTAGCCTTTTCACTTCATGGTGTGCTGTTCTTTTTGGGGGGTCATGAAGCTTCCTTGACACACTTTACCCACGCCCTTTTTTTGCTGGCCCCTATGAAGCATCCCTTTTGGTGTCGCGCAAGTGGAGTCCCTTCCGATTTATTCAAAGCCACATGGTGATTCCCCGAAAAACATCAAGTTTACTTGTGTGTTATCCCTTTTCGGATTTATCAAGAACCCCCCGCTGTCAGTCTTTGGCAATGATGATGGTGGATGAACATCTCGCTGACTGCGTCTGGCCTGGCATTGAGAACAAGAGCAAGCAGATGTACGGCGCTCGCAATTCGAATATCTTCGCGTGAGTTGTTCGACAGAAGGCGCTATGGGCTACTTGAAGGGTATGGACTGGCAGCCGAGGGGAGACTCTGGTGACTCCCATGGGCTGCTGATGATTTACTGTCAACACCCCCCACCCACCCCAACGAAAAGTTTTTCTGAGCCCTCATGCGCACTGTGTGTTTTGCTCTTGGATTTTCGGTTTTCAGGAACCAGCCCTTCACCGACCGGCTGGAGAACTCCGGCAAGGCCTCGGTGACGGCCTCAATCCGCGCCAAGCCGCTTCCAGCAGGGGGTGTCAAGAGAACACGTTGTTGACTAGGTCCCCCAGCTAGGTGCCCTTCTCTCGCCTTTTTTGGGGGAGGGTTCCCCTACTACAATAAACTGCAGAAAAAAAGAAAGAAACAAAAACAGTAGTGCCCTTTCTCTCCCCTTTTTTGGTTGGGAGGGTTCCCCTACTAAAATAGACTGCAGCAAAAGTTGGTACCCCTGTTCTAATTCTAACCTGTCTACTAGAGTGTTGATGTTGGACAAGACGAACGTATTGAAGCAGTCTACATCTATGTGTGGCAAGCATGTGGTTTGAATGTATGTAATCAGTCAGCAGTTGTCTTGCATTTCGCCTAAATGTCCAAGCACCCCGCACTTCAGATCGCTGTTTTGCTTGACTGGTTTGTTGCCTCAGCTACCCACACTCGGGCGACAATACTGCCAAGTCATGCCAACAAACCTAGATGCGTTGTTGATCCCTGAGGTTTCTGAAAAGCCCATTCCCGACTGGGGCGCGTGCTATTTAAGTAGTGGAAAACGCATGGGCGATGCGTGTATATGTTGATTCTTGACATGGCCAGACAATCTAGTACCATAGAAGTCTCCCAAACATGTAGTCCCGCAAAGTAATTGCAAGAACAAGCTATACTATAATATGTGCATGAGGACGCTCTTTGTGTGCTTGGAGGGAAGCTGCCACGTCCGAGCTGAGCGTGGATTTGGCGATAACTGACTGTGCACCAGTGAACGTTTGCAGGAAGAACCAGTGTTGCTGATAAGTCTGTTGCAGATATTTTTTGTGAGAGCTTAGAACCATCTAAGTTGTGACAGCGTTAGTGCACCTCTGTTCATGGCACCCAAATGGTTGACGTTGCACTAGTGGGAAGTTGATCCGACCTGACAAAGGGGATTTGGCGTGAATCCGTATAATGTTGCTAAACTTGTTTGTTACTAGCTTGCCTTAGGAGTCCGCTTCAAGTGCGTATTTGCTGAGTTGGCAAACTCGAAACACTTGTTAGCATCTTTCCTACACCAAACCACCAACTCAGGGTTGCCGGACTTCTTCTGGGCATAAACAGTTTCGTGGTGGCCCCACAGCCGTCCCCTTTGCTTTTAGGCTTTCAGGGTTTAGTGGTAGTTTCCATTTGACCCACCGAAAGTTAACCTTTTAGCAGGGGATCCAAAAACGGGCAGCCCAGATTTGAGCTTGCTCGTGAACTCGGAGTGCACTGAGGTGAGCACGGTGCTGGTGTGGTCCTTTGCGGATTCCCTGTCGCCCCATGCCATCCTGGAGTCGCCCTGGGAGGATGGGATTTCCGGGATTCGGATGCGGGCGAGCGAGTGGGATTCGGAGTCAACCCGCAAGTTTGGACGCAGTCCCGGTCCAAAAACTGTCTGAAACGCTTGGACCCCGGAAACAACCCAAGGTTTTTGTTTATAGAAACTTCTTAGAAGGAGATCTTGGAAGGGGATCTTGGGGTAAGGAGCCTTTTGGTGGGTAGGGGCGTCCGGCAGCCCTAGCTTTCACTGTGAGCATGAGCAGCGATGCATTCATTCAAATCTTCTCGATCATCAATATGACCCCGCCCCACGTGCATCGCTGGCCGCTAGCAGGCCTTGGATTTGTGCAGCGTTGGAATATCTAGACGTGTCGCGCACTGGGAAGCCGAAACAAGGCACACGCGCTCACTCACGTTCCAAACTGACCGGTGCCTGGTGCGTTTGGAAGGGCTCCTGAATTCATTGGTCCCGCAGTGCGTTTGAGGTGCGGGTCACCCGGCCCAGAACGGACCCCTCATCTGGTGAAAGAATAGTTGCCAAGAAAGGTGTCCAAGGTGTAAGGACTGAAGCGGCTAGTGATAGCTAAGAAGCCTAAGTTGGCAACAAGGCGAGTAAGGTGCAGAGTCAAGAGATTGGGGCAAACTGAAGCACAATGAAGGGGCCTTTCACGGGTGTTTTGACAGGGCTTGGAGTTGGTGGAATCAACACGCAGTTCACAGATCCTTCTTCCGGAAATGTTAGCATGTTTTTTGTGAGTCGTCATGCTTCAACTGCAGCGTGCGGGGATCATGAAGGAGCCTCATTTTGGAAAATGTTGTGTATTATATATACATGAAATGAAAACAACTGCAGCCATAAATCGCTGAGTCCGTAAGCTAGGCAGACTACTCTCAGTTGGCAAACTTCCTGAGCTGTGAAATGTCTTGTGTTGTCATGGCTTAGTAGTGCTTGGTTGCCCAAGCTGCTTTCGCAAGCCCGGGGCTTGGAACAAGTTTGCGGGGGAGGAGTAGGCAGATTTGAGGCGTTGCCTGGCCAGGTCACGGTGTTTAAATTCTACCCCAGTGATCCGACTTACCTCATCGGCGGTCGGGGCCACAGTCGGAGGGGATTGGTTTCCCAGAAGAAGCTTCCTCACGGCGAGCTGACGAACATCTGAATGGTTCTATCTAAAAATGGTTGCTGTTGGACCTCTGAATTTGGGGAAGTAATTGTAATTCCTGGAGCAGCCTTCGTTACCTAAATTTCGGTCGTTACCAAAATATGGTAGACGTACACTTTTTCCTGCTTCGAGCGTTTTTCCCAAAACCGGGCTGGTCGGTCCTCCAAGATGATCAGTCATTGAATTTCCGAAAGGAGCGAGCAAAAATCAAAGTGCAAAACGAGCGCACATATCCGCAAAACGAGCGCACATATCCGCAAACGAGTGCAAATTTGAAACACGTAACAATGCCCGCCTTCCTCTGGATGGAAGAAGGGGATTTGGTCGAGCATTTTTCGGGGGGCGAGCGTTTTTTTGGGGGTCGAGCAGAAATCGGTAATTCGAGCGTTATTTTCTCGTACCTAAAAAAAGGCATGTTGGGTGCCTCAGGTTGGAGAAGCAATGTTTGAGAAAAAGTCGGGTCATTCATGGGTTGATTCTTTCAATGTTAGAGACTTGTATTGCCCCAAGAAATATTGTTTAGACTTACGGGTTCTGCTTCATTTTGCTGGCCCTTCCATGTTCACCATCTTGAATTGCCAATGACCAGCCAAAGACCCGTGAGACTTTTGCGTCAGGCACTGCCTTCCAACGCTGCCTCTTTTCGGTTGAACATCGACTTGGACTGCTGCAGGAAGGATGTCAGCATTATTGTTTTTGAGGAAACAACCTCAAGGTGCACAAAGTTCAGTGACTTCCAGCCAAACCAGCATTATTGTTTTTTTGTGGGTTTTGTGTCTGAAGGTTTTGAGGCACCGCGAGCCAGTCAAAGGGAGGAATTCCTTCAACCATCAACTTATGACCAGCCTGAAGCACATAGGCCAGACCAAGGTGTGAATACACGATGTGTTCAACGAGCCTCCCTTTGCCCATTACCACTGTCTACCACATGAGGGCCATGAAAGTGAAAGCTTAGTGATCTCAGTGCTTTCACTTATCCTTCTAGTGGAAGCAACTCTGGATACTTCTTACTACAGAGGCAACTGGAAGCACTGGGTAAGGCTTGGCATAGGATAATAGGCTTGACCAGTGATGATTTGCGCAACGCTATGCTGGCAGAACCTAGTTGGAGTCATTGGAAGGTGGGTGCCATTGTTCTGCTTCAGCCTGATCTTTCCGGCCATGGGTCTTGGGCAATATGTGGGGTGACCCAAATGGGAAACATGTTCTTTCCCCATCCCTGATCTTTCAACCAGTATAACAGCTCTTTGATTGTTTGGATGCGCAACAAGCCGACTAAGTCTTCTCTTGCAGCTTCCCCTGAAGACAATCACAAGGAATTTGTGTTGAGTCGCGCTTCTTTGGTATTCCTTGGTCGCGCAGGCAAGTGATCGAACGTAGCCTAGCGGAGGCCACTTGCGGCAGCTGTCGACAACATCTTGCGCAAGCGAAGCTGCACGCGCTGAGTGAAAAGCCTTGCAAACGCAAAGAGTTGGAACTGAGCAGTTTGGGGGCTTAAGTTTGAAGTTGTTGGTAATCGGTTTATCACATTTCTGGTCTGGCCGAGCCAAGTTCCATGTAAACTCAGAGCCGTTTGCCGACGTGCATGCCTCCAAAGCCACTGACGCGCTACTACACAATTACTACAATTACTACTATCGCAACAACCACTTCATCATCATCATCATCACCACCATCATCAACAACAACAACAACGACAACTATCCTTTGGGAACTTGTTCTTCTGCTGGTTATTCGGACCACTTGCCGTGAGTATGAGACATACCGCAAACCGATGGGAGACTACCTAAAACCGATAGGCGTTGTCAGTTTGACCGTTTCTCCAAGGCCTTGCCAATGGCCAGGTGGCCGCGGGGCGTCCTAGAGCAGAACTGAAGGCACCGCAAGGACGGTTGTCTGAACCTACTTTGAAACACCAAATGACTTGTTTACCCTTCAAGGTGCCGATCCCTAGTCTACATGAAAAGGGCAAAATGCAAATGGTCAGACTGTGGTTTGTTAATCCGTCTGCAGTTCTACAGCGCTCTTGATGCATCGCTTCGCTGGTTGGTTGGGCTCAACTGAGATGGCCCCAAGGTTCGTCCGCGCTCATGGCTTGGCATCGCCAGATGGCCAATACTTTCTGCACAGGATCCGACCCACTGACCATGAGTGGTAATGACATTTGTCAGTCGCGCCCGATGTTGCTGCCACAGGAGACCAGTCATTGCACTTCCAGATTAATGGCATGCCTTTTTGTTGATGTTTGTTTGGGTTTCCAGTGGCGTCACGCTGCCTGAGTCACTGATGCATGAGGCAAGAGAGTTACGACCTTGCGCGGTATTGCGGGCGCACCCTGTGAGGGTCCCTGACCCGTGGACTCCTGGTTTTAGTTTGTGAATGGTAACTTGGTTTCGGCTGAAGCCAGAACCAAGAAGAGAGAACACCTGAAAGTCGAACAGTTTGAACATGTCATGTTCGACAAGTCGGTCCATGGGCCAAACTGCACGAATCATCGCATTGACAACATTGTTGTTCTCAACTCCATGAAATATGGTAGACCTGATTCTGACTTATCACGTCCTGTTTGTTTCCTGGTTTCACCCCAGGCTTGCTTTACTGGAGAATCTCCCTATTTTTTGTCCAACGCAAACACCTAACTTCCTGGGAACCCTCGTGCAAACCAATCCCTTTCATCGTGGGAGCAACCCTACTCGGCACGCTGAGGTGTGGAAACTCTCGACCACCGACCTAGGCCGGGCAGGAAGCAAGGATTGCCCCAGCCGTTTCCCAGCGGATTCCAACTGTTCTGTTGTTTGGTTGAGTTCTTTGAAGCAAATCAAGAAGTCGATTCAAAGGGAGCTTGAGGTGATGTGAGGGGGAATGCAAGGGTTGCCAGTACAGTAATTTGAACTGCTGATTCAAGTATTGGTTTGATTTCATCGGTCCTTGTCTGATAGGAACAAAGGCTTGACGTGTGTGTACAATTTTGATTGAGATGATTTGAAGGAGAAGTTGGATGGATCCCCAAAGCATTCTGGCCATTTTTACTGGTACCTCCTCCTTTCTCCGTTAAACATCTAATCGACTGAGCCCCCGCAAGGCCTAGGACTCCGAGCCCAAAACTTCATACTTCAGACCCTGGTCGGACGGGCCCGCCAACTTTGCAAGGATTTGGGCACGCGCGCTTTCATTCCAGCCAACAAGGCGCCCATAGGGTTTGGAACATGTAGAAGCGATGGTCATTTGGCGGTGGCGCATGCGGGTAATATTTGCCAATGTGTTCCTGGTCCAGGTTTTGGTTAGGCGCGAGACGTCTGGTGGTTCTTGGCTTGTTTTGCTGGGGCACCCTGGGCTTCTTGGTTGGTCTCATGGGGGACCAGAATGCTTTCCTCGTTGGCTGCTGTTTTTTTAGCAACGCCAGAAAGGGTTATACCAAGTCCAAAACCAGTGACATCAATGCTCGACTGGCTCATACTCTTATTTCGCGCACTGTATCTCGCTGTTTCGATCGTCTTGGCGTGTGAAAGAGTCATCGGAATCTTGCCGCACCGGGTTCTGCAAACCGAGGAAAACGAACTCCCCCCCCCCCAATAGTTGGTTTCCTTGTGGTCCCCACGGAAACAGAAACAAACAAAAAAACAACGCGAGGACGTTCCAAAACACGACACACCCAAAGATCGGGGGCTGAGACTCTGCGGACTGCCGGATGGTGGCTCTGAAGCCAGGCTTCGCCACCAAATCCCAGAACTCCAGGCCTGGCATGGAGGCGGGCAACGGCAGATGGGTGATTTCGCCGGTTTCTACGGAGCACCACCCCAGCTTTTGGGGATGAAATGGCCGGAGGCCTTCTTTTGGGACCAAGAGCTGGTATTCACACTATGTCCGCGGTGGCCCATAGAGAATTTGTTGGCTGTCGTTGTGCCGAATTTCCTTACCACTTGGGCTGATCAGGGAAGCCTCAAGGAGAGAGCCCGGGATCCCTGCGGGCTGCGCCAAGTTCCTGCCGGTGTGAAGCGGTGTTGTTTTGACATGGTTGTTTGGGACATAGGATGCATTTTACATCTGACACGGTTTTATGCCCACGGATAAAACCGTTTCTGTGTATGCGTATGCGTGTGCGTGTGCGTGTGCGTGTGCGTGTGCGTGTGCGTGTGCGTGTGCGTGTGCGTGTGCGTGTGCGTGTGCGTGTGCGTGCGTGTGCGTGCGTGCGTGCGTGCGTGCGTGCGTGCGTGCGTGCGTGCGTGCGTGCGTGCGTGCGTGCGTGCGTGCGTGCGTGCGTGCGTGCGTGCGTGCGTGCGTGCGTGTGTGTGTGTGTGTGTGTGTGATTTAAGCACATACGTTTGCGTGTATGCACGATCTTGAGCTTTCAGTGATGCTGTCAGCTAGGCAGTTGTCCCTGGCTTAGTGGCAGTGGGTGACGTGATCTGGAGCGCAGGAGGAGAAGCACTCGACGATCCCCACAGCCAGGGTCTCGGGTTTTGCCCGCAGCGAGTTGTGCAAACATGCAAACCGGGTAGGGGGATCCCCCAAAAATCATGAGTTGGTTTTCCGTTGAACTCCACAAAAAGGGTCCCCTCAAAAAGCACATCGAAATACTGTTACAGAGCCACTCCAAGAAAGCATGAGGACCTCGGCGCGAGTGAATGATCGTGAATGTTAGCCTGGAACCCTGGAAGCCATGCTCTCCGGATCATGTGAAAGACGTTTGGTGAGCGATGGATGTAATTTTTACAGCTTGCTGGCAATACCATTGACGCCGAAATACTCAACGCACTCCAGTGCTGGGCCTCACCGGTTTGGATATAAGTTCCATGGCCATGATTTCTCAACGAGAATAGCCACGGGCTTCTTTGGCATGGAGAAGTCATGTGTTGTTGGGCCGCACTTGGCTGCGGGTTTTCACGTTTTCACCCGGCGTATCAGGGCCCACAGCCCCAAAGTTCCCAAAAGTGGAGAGAGATGCTAGAAGGCGACCGAGATTCGCAGGGGGGGGTCCCTCTTGTCTTTTTCGGGGTGAGATGCTTGACAACAATAGGACTTGTCCACATACGTTAATGGGATACAGGATTTCGCCCTCTCCCACTCCCTTGATCCCCTGCCGAACCTGGCTAGAAATCGTGTTGCGCTCATTTGTTTCCACTGCCACCGGTTTGACAGAGGATGCTGGGTTTATGGTGGTTATGGCAAGGCTCCTTTTGTGACCATCTTGGTAGAACCAGCAGTCACTGCAGCACTAAGTCACTGGGTTTCGGACGCCTTGAGCTGAGGTGGTGCATCGTCAGATCTCCATGATCGATGAGTCCCACCGCAAAGCCGTTGTGGCCATCGAGTTCATGCCTGCCACGCTCGAGGTCAGACCATCTCTGGCGAGAGTCAGTTCAAGTGATCAAGTCACAAGAGCTAACTCGTGTTTGTGTTGCTTTGAAGGGGCGTTTTCGAGTATACCTGTTTTCCAAGGGTGAATATGGCTTTGGTTGCCTGTGGCTTGCTTCCCTTGGTCAAATGTCTACCTGGTGACTCGATCCTACAGACCTAGACCCGGGTCTTTGGCAGGCTGGGTCCCTGAATGACGGAAGCTATCAAGGAAATGTCTAGGACGTGGAAAGGCGCCGGGACCCAGTTACAGGTCCCAGCCACCCCGGCATGATAGGAGTCTTATGAGAGGGATTGTCTGTCTGGAGGGCATCTTATGATTTCCTGCACAGAATCAAGTTTGTTTGGTTGGGGTGCTTGAATGCCAATCCCTGGATAGACTTTTCGGATCAATTGGGAAAGTTCCACCTACTTGGTGGGTTTTCCCACGTGTTGTTTTCAGGATGCCCTTTTCACCTTTGTTGGAACGGACACCAAACAGGTCCATCCAAACACATACCTGTGTTTAGGGTGCCCGTTTCACCTTTGTTTGAATGGAAACCAAAGGGAAGACCAACTTGTTTGGGGATTTGGGGTCAAGTCCATCTAAAAACTCGGGGGGCCTTTTTGCAATGGGGGCCGTCTGCAACTATTGGACCCCCACTTAAAGGGGCAGGGTACCTGGTAAGCGGTTAGTAAGCCAGGTTACAACCCACTGAACAGCAACTTGTAACCATGGTAAACGGGTTATAACCAGGCTTACTACCCACTTACCAAGTACCCCGCCCCTTTAAGTGGGGGTCCAACATTTGCAGACGGCCCATCCATTGCAAAAAGGCACCCATGTGAGCAAGATGGACTTGACCCCAAGATCCCCATTTACGTGGCTCTAGACCAATTTAATACCGGGTTTTGATTGTGAGTGAGGAGGCTCACGACATGTCCGGTCCAAGCCTCGCGCCGATCGAACGATCTGCCCTGCTGCAGATCGAGCGACGGGGCCGGGGTGCCAGCGAGAAGAACCCGGCGGATGCGCCCATGAAGTGCCCAAGCGAGGGATCGATGAGACGGCTCGGCGTGTCGCCGGGGTCCTTATATGTGTTTCTCGTAATAGGAGACCCCTAAACTTAGGAAACCACCTACCTGAAAAATTCCCCAATCTTGAGCAACGCCCACATGTGTTTCTTCTTCTCTTTGTTTTTTTTTGGGGGGGGTAAACTTTTAAACATCGGTTGGTTGGCATTTTTTCGAGAGTGCCCCTCTCTGGGTGGTTGATGCTCGAGGGGGGGGGGGGGGGCAAAAAGGACTACCAGCTAAAGAAATTTTGACAGGAAGTTCGCCAATGTGTATTTGGCCGGCATTTGGCTAGCTTCTTGTCGAAGTTCCGGGAGCTGGTTACTTCGAGTTTGTCGCACACTAGCCCCGACCAAACAAAAGCAACGAGGACGTCGTTTTCAACTCTGCCCCACAGATCATTTGTAGACAACTTCCAAAAAGATCCAAAAAGGAGGTTTGCCTCAAAATAGGGGAAGCCCTCAAGTGAGTGTGTTTCTTGTGGTTTCCCTTCAGAACTTCAGACAAGCCCAAAAAGGCCCTCAAAGAAGGACACTGCCACTTGCAGCAAAACAGGTGATTTATGTGCCAATGCACCATGTAGATGCCGCCTCCATCTCTTGATATATAGGGAGAGGCTTCGGTTATGCTTACTTGCCCAAGGCAAATGGACCTTCCGATCTTTTTATCCCCTGTGTTCTTGGATGTATACTTATATAAGGGGTATACCAGTTTGTATATTTGAAACGCCGGATTAATGCACGTACATGTTGCAAATGGTGCCATTGCTTAACAATTATATGTGCCTTCGAAACCGTAGATGGACATGCCCTTGAATCTCGAAAGCTTGCCCAAAGCGATTGGACCGGCTGTGCCGCCTGCGAACGCTGGCAACCATTTCAATCCATGGCAAGAGGCGACTCGCTGGAGTGATACGGATTCCCAAGGGCCCACGAAAGGGGACGCCATTTTTTGGGGGATAAAGTTGCGGTGTTCAGAAGAGCAGGCCTGTCATATGTTTCGGTTTCTTTGGGCCAGCGAGCCAAGCATATTCCTTTCTCTGTGCGTCTGTGCGGCGTTTGGTTGGATTTTCAGGTACCCCCAACTATCCCATCTTTTTTCGATGAATTGGTTCGACCTTTATATCGTTGGACCTTTGAATGAATCGCGGTATCTGTGTTTGTCAGCGGCCAAAAACCCGCCCGCTTTGCGTAAGTCTGGAGCTTTGGGGTTCGGTAACTTTGTACCTGATTTTTTTTGAGCTGGAAGAGTCCCATGCAAGAGGTTTTTAAGCTAGGGTTGGTACCCAGAGGGCAACCGTCCCTGGCGTTAGTATCAAATATGACACCGAGAGGGGAGCTTGCCTAGAAGAGCTATCTAAAGGAATCCATTTGACTATAAATTCTGTGCTGATGATTTTGAGCTTGTGCAACCCATGTTTGAAGAGAAGCACAGCACTTGCGTGCGGGAGTTACATCCCCAATTTGTTTGCCAATTCGGTGAATCAGGGGTAACCATTTCATTGCATTGTGGTGTGTGCGGGTTTAGTAAAGATTATCTCCTTGATAGTGAGATGGCCAATACAATGCTTCTAAGGAGCCGATACTACCTGGAATTCCAATGTCTACTGAGCAAGTGGGCAAGTCCTAGCTACCGCTCCGTGTGTTTGTGTGCGTGTCAGCGTGTGTGTGTGTGTGTGTGTGTGTGTGTGTGTGTGTGTGTGTGTGTGTGTGTGTGTGTGTGTGTGTGTGTGTGTGTGTGTGTGTGTGTGCGTGTGTGCGTGTGTGCGTGGTTGCGTTCGTGCGTGCGTGCGTGCGTGCGTGCGTGCGTGCGTGTGCGCGTGCATGTGTGTGTGTGTAAGTATGTTTGTGTTCTATGTTCATGCCATATGATGTTTCTATGTCCTTTATTTTTGGGGTAACTGGGCTCAGCTAATCCCAGGGATAGGGCCACCTCGAGCTCTCAACAAAGCCAAGCGACCACCGCAGATCTGTGGTTGCTTGCAAATTGGACATCGAGGTCTGCGGAGAGAAGCAAACGTGCAGAGTGCAAACAAACAGCTTGCTGAGTTTGCCAAAAAGGCAGCAACATGTTTGATTATGTTGTTTCGCTTCGGCGTTTTTGTTGTTTTTGTTTTTTTTGGGGGGTCCTGCGATAACAGGTCATACAATATGCCAGGCTGAACCAACAAGAAGTAAACCTTAGCGCAAGTGGCTTATTGCCCCGGAAGAAGAGCAGCAAAAGGTAGCAAGGCTTGCAACCTTTGGCGCACCTTCCGTGCCACGCATAGTTGCCAGCTGATCAATGGACTGCTGCTGCCTGTCTGGACCAAAAAGAAAGTATGGGTCAAAATTAAACCACCAGGGGACCACAGGTTTTAGTCATTGTTTCCATTTACCAGGGTGCCATTTTGGGTACGTATTTTTGACCCACAGCCACATGAACGAGCCATGCTGCAGTTGAAGAGACAGACGGAGGTGAGTCATGTGATGGTCTCGTTGCCAGGTACTTCTTGACCGTTGCTGGGGATGGCCAGGCGCGGGCCTCGGCAAAACTCCCCGCAGCACATGCCCCTCATGCCAAATGTCCCAGTTCCTAGTGTAGTGGGCAACCAGGGGAAAACAGCATGCAAAATCAAGTCAGAGGCAAGGAACTCGGGGTACCTACCACAGTGGTAACTGGAAGGAAGCACTGGGTAAGCCTTTTTGAGGAGTTTGGGCCCGTTTGGGGCCATGTAGGGCCTCTATGTAGGCCTTCGCAGTTTGAGGGGGTTGGAGAGCCCATTAGGGCCCCGGATTTCGAACTAACGTTGTCATGTGCACAGGAATATTGTGGGATGTATACTTCATCCTCACTCGGGGTTGGGGGTGGGGGTGGGGGCAGGGCAGCACAGATTTGGATTGGGCGGGTTGGCTAATCTCCAAGACGGACATCAACATCTTATGCGAGCTTGTGTCAAATTACCATCGGCCACTGTTGGATGCGCTAGAAACGCTCAATGTTCAATATTCACTGTCAGCTTAGCAAGGGCATGGCGTGGGGCAGGTTTATTAAATCACGATCATTAAATCACCATAGTGCCTGGCTGGTGACCGATCCACTTCTCAATATCCAACCCAAAGATGTTGAGCTTGGGGAACAAGTAGTATTCGAGCAACTGCGTATGAGTTGTTGGTATGGGCCCGCCCTTCACTTCTTTGTCTCTTGCCAGAGTCTATCCGTTCAGTCTGGCAAATTCTTGCCATTTGATCTCCACATTGCGGGCAGTCAGCTGTTTGACTTGAAGTCTCATCAAACACTTGGCGTGCCAAACAAGGAAGCCGAGCAGCAAAAAACTGGGAAGACACGGTGGGAATCCAAATCATCACCAACATCCTTTCGACCTTGACAAATGCCCGATCCGGGTTCAAGCATGCATGCTGCAACAGTGTCCTTCAATATTGTCAGTTGCCAAAGGCCCACCTTTTGACCTTTTATGCTTGCAACGATGAACAATTCCACTTGCGTTGACCACTGATACAGGGCCGTCGCACGCCTTCAGTGAGTCAGGCTTTTTATGTTCGGCTCCAAAGCCAACTATTGCAAGCCGCAGCTTTCATCTCGCTGCTTTTACAGACCGAGTTTCTTTTCTAGCAAAGTGATGTTGAAGGAAGATGCTACCCTGTCTAAGGCCATCGCGAACTTCCACGATTGGAACACGGGTAGGTGTGTTTCCCTCCTCATGTCTTGGTTGCTCCTTGGTGTGGCCTTATTTTGTTTGATCTTATTTTCTGCAAACCAGCAGGTTTCACTTGATGCACGGGAGGCGCTTGGCCAACCCAGATCGGCTTTCCTACCGCAGGTTATGATCTGGGACTTCCAGGCGTTCGGTCGGTGAAGGGCAGCACGGGCTGTACCAGCCCCTTTGTCTTTTGGTGGCTCCCAGCCATCCCCTTATATATATATATGTTATATTTAGCCTTTGAGTGCTTAGTGGTGGTTTCCATTTAACACACTAAAAGTTAAACTTTTAGCGGGGGATCTGAGGGCAGCCCACGAGTCTATAGGAAGTTCTTGGTAGTTCTTACATCTTGGCCGGCCAAAATGAGTTTGTCAGGGGTTTTGCAAATTGTGATCTCGCATTTTGCAGAGCTGAGATGTAGGATCTGCAAGAGTTTTGACGAGCTTGATTTGGGGCTAGATGGAGCTGACACATCATGAGGGATCTTTACTTCAGGACCCCAAACCGCTACAACCAGGCAACGAGTAGTTTACCGTTTACTGACTTCCCCAGTTTCTAGAATAGCGGTAAGCAACAAGAGTGGACTTTGTCTGACCAGTCCACTCCTGACTCCCGCACGTCCAATTGGTGAATCGGCATCAGAGGCATGGCGCAGCAAGATTCTGAGGGAGAAACTTCAAACCCATTGTTGACGAATGTCATTTTCCAGGCTGAATCTTCAGACGGACCAGCATCTCTGAATGTGCACGCTGATTCTGAATGATGTGGATAGCTTTTGTCCGGCTCTAGAGGTCGATTCTTCTGAAAGTCAAATCCCTGTGAGGGTTTCCATGATTGACCTTGTCCAAAGCCAAATGCTCACACTGGTCAGAGTTCACTTGTTGACTTTCTTCCGTGGAGGCTGGAACCAACACAGACGCTGACACTTATTTTTGAAAACAACTTAGCTGCTAAACACCCAGATTAAACTCGCCTGCAGAAAAATATGGAACCCGAAAAGGGGGTCCTTCGAAAGGAGTAATGATGACGCAGGTTGCTTGATTTGCTTTGCTTTGCTTGCTTACGCAGGTCAGGGTACTTGTTGCGAAAGCCTCAACGAGAGCCTTGTGACCCTCCCCTCCGTCTAAGCAACAGACCCAAGAGAAAGTCTCCATTATTTTAAAGTTGATGGGAAGCAGACAGAAGGCGTTTCAAAGACTTGCCATTTTCTTAAGATGGCTCCTGTCCACTTTTGTGATCCTTGGAAACGGGATACTTAGAAACAAGTCTTCAACCCGCTTTATGTCTCACATCTAATTTGGAGGATTTCCCCTGTAAAGCATGTGTTTTTTGGTTTTTGTTCTGGATGTATCGTTTAAAAGACCCCGTTAAAGCCCCCCTCCCCGTATGGCTCAGCCCCCCTCAGGCCCTGCTTTTTGACAAAGAAGCGGTCGCCTTGGTTCGAGTTCGAACTCAAAGTTTGGCCAACTTTGCCAAAACTACCACTGCCTGGCCTAAAGAAGGAACACATCAAAGGGATGGTGTGTCAACAAAACAGGTGTTGCCTAAATCGCCACTACCTGGCCTCATAACAAAACCGATTCATTCAACCAACCAACCCGGAAAGACATTCGGTCTTGGTCACGGTCATTTCCCAGCTACCTCTGGCACCAGAAAGAGTCAAAACCCTTTAAGGGAAATTCTCCAAAGCCTCGCCACTTCCAGGCCTCGTAACAAAAAAAGCGGTGAGGCCATGTTTTGCCTTCTGTGCTGAGAGAAAGCCCCGGCGAGGCCATGTTGGACGCCATCAACGACAACGACTTCCTGTGGCGCCCCGTGCACCGGGTGCAACTGCAGCGCCAGGAGCCTTTCCCCGCCACTCCAGAATGGACGTTCAACGGGCGGAGGTCAGCTTTCTTCCCCAGAATTAATGCCCCTTTTTGGATTTGTTTCGTTTTTTTAGGGGGGTTCCTTTTTGTTTTCCCCCAACCAGGCAAAACATAATAATATGTTTTTGCTATGGCTATGGTCCTAATTCCAACCAAGCTTTGTGGTATTTTGGGGTGTCCGCTTTTCGAAAGGGGACTGCAGAATTTCAGAATGAGTGCCCTGTTTCCAACAGTCATGGTCACCCAAAAGGAAAGTAGTCTGCCAAAACCCTCCTGTCAGCCTCCATGATTACCTGGCAGAAATGGCACGCTATTCGCGGCTAGATTTGTCATACATGCAAGCAGAACGATTATCGCATGAGTGGGCCTAGATCCCAGCCTCGAAAGGTTTTGCCAAGCTGGGCTGTGTCTACTACCAAGCCAAGCCTGCCTCACTCAAACTCGCGGGCATTTCTGAGCCAACAGTCGCAGTGGTAGAAAAAGTAAGCTAGGATTATATAGCGCAGTGTTTATTCAACACGTGAAACTGGCCATACAAACAGGGCTTTGGATGTTATGGGTTTTTGCACTGTTGGAACCAAGTCACCGAAGCTCGCCTTTTCTCGTGCTCCGCAGCAAATCGGCATTTCACCGGTGGGTGTTTGCTGCTTTGGTCATGGCGCAAAGATGGTGTTTCGGCCAAAGCCGACCTTTTGACCTGTGTGTGATGGAGTCCTAGCCATGGTCCCGAAAGGATAACCTTCTGTTTCTTGATTTTTTGGACAATCCAGGATGCTTGCAAGCTGGGTTGGAAATCTAGAAGTAAACATAAGGAGCCGAAGCATTTGTGCGCCACGATCATGAGGTCACTTGAACTGACCAGTACCCACAGGCCCCATTCTACTTTAGGCGGCGGCGATAGCCTGGGATGCGATCCCAGGACAGTGGCACTGAGATGGGCCTTTGCCACATCCTGCACTGCCGCAGGCTTAGCGACTGGCGCATTTTGCCAAGGGATGTTAGGACTTTAACTTTTTGCCAACCAATGATGATTTTCCACTAAACCACTAATAGTCAAACTTTTAGCAGGGTCAGGCGCGTCTCAAGGCTTTGTTTGTGGATGTCATGTGAGCAGCTGTAAAAACCCTTTGCAGGCCAAGCAAGAGTTGCCTAAACACAAGGACAAGAGCTATCGCACAGCAGATTCAGCAAAACCAAGGGGTCCAGGAGTGCAAGCAAGCGTAAGCCTGCGCGTAAGGTTTACCCAAGCTCGCCCAGCAGCTGCCCGCTCGGCCGAACCTCCAAATCAAAATGAAAACCCTAGTTTGACCAAACACACGAGCATCTGGGATTGTCCAAACTTCCTGGTGTCGACAGCCTTTTCCAACATCTTCAACCTCAGGGATGCTTGTTGGGCATTGCTCGGCGTTTGAACTTGGGGTGGAAAGCAGGTCATTCGGGGTCACGCTGGCTTAGGCTCCTCTGATTGTTTCTGGGAGACTATGGAGCGACCATAGGAGCTGGGGATTGAATGCCGACAACAGGTGCAAGTGGCTGGAGAAGAGAAGCTCAAGGGAATTTTCAATTGAGCGTTGCAAATTCGAAAAAGGTCACCGAACATTTTGCACGACTCAATCGACTTGATCCTTTTGCATATTCTCCACATCTTTCTCGGATACTACTCTCAGTTGAAAAGACAGCAATATTTGCATATCTTGTTAGTTTCCCTTGGGCGTTTGTTTCAAAACAACCCACATGGATCGACCGCAAAGTAGGGTTGGGCAACATGGGTCCAATCAGACCCCAAAGATATATCTGAAAACCGCCGAGGGAGGTTGCCTGTAGATAAAATGGATGAACGCCAAATGAGTCCCCGTAGCTGTCGTGGAAGCTTGCCCTCGCTCTGGCTAGCGCTTTGCTTGCGAGACCCATGTTTAGCTTAAGCGTCGGCGTTTTGAGCATATGCCCTCAAGAATGGCTCCTTTTTCTATCCAGCCGCCAGTGTTCAAGATAACGGTGATGACTGAGAGGAGGAAGTTGATGAAGAATTGCTCTCAGGCGGACCAACTTGGGGCTGTTGTTCTTGTCAGGGTCTTCGCTTTGCAGCCCTCTTGCTGAGCACTTTGAACTTTGCCGACAACTTTGCCTCCAGAGCTTGTGCTAGAACAAGGAACGGTTTTTGTGGCATCATGGCATGGGCTCGTCCAGATAAGGTTGCTTGATCAGCTTTCGACATTGCTATGACCCAGTTGTGCAGAGAGTTCTTTCAGAGTTGCATTGGACGGGATGGAATTGCCTTCACCGTCAGAAAAGCATGGTGTCCATATTTATGTGTTTGCTGGTTGGGAATTATTTGAACAACAAACGACAACGGTTGCCACGCTTTTGTTTCTGGTGGATGGATTTCACATAGGATGGGTTTCCCTGGAACTTCAAGAAGCAAGGTTAGCACCCATGGAGCTAGTTTCGTCGCATGGTGTGTCCTTGATTAATGAAGCTTGGTCGCACCCATGTTTCTTGGTTTGTTGGGCTCGTCTCCGCTTGAACATGTATTCAGGGGTTGTCCATTTTCTATGCATACGTCGCTAGTTGCAAGTACCCTCCTCCAGGTCCATTTTGAGGGTCTCCCACTCCTCCGTGAGCTGTGAACCAAAGCTGGTCAGTAGGGTACTAAACTTACCCACTGTGCTTCAGAGGCAGGGATGGAGGCAAGCTTTGGGAGCAGCAAGGAAGACTTGGGGATGACTTAAGGCCACAACAAGAACCTGCCCCATCGCTGCTCTTGCCTTGTCCCTGCTTTGCCTGCCCCGTGGACGGACATTTCCCTAGGCCACGATCGCTTTGATGACAAAGGCACAAAGGCGCAGACGGGCCGGCGAGCGGTGAGTGGAGAAATCAACCGTAAGCGGCTTACATGGCCCTCCCAGAGGGGCTATGGGGTGCCCCTTCCCAAGCAAGGGCAATGTGGGCACACAGTTTCCTTGGAGCACCACGCGCTGATCTTCTTTGGGGGAAGCGCGACGCCCTTGAGACCGAAGTTGGCCCAAGCTGTACAGAAGATGTTCCCTTAGAAGCAAGGGCTTAAAACATTGGAATGGGGTTGATACTTTCTGAGCCCCTGGTATTGTCCATCCAAACGGGAGGGTTGGATAGTCTATTGGAAAAGGATGCCTTCTGTGGCTTCTGCCGTCAGGGAAGTGTCAGGGATATGTTGTTTGATGTTGCCATTCTTGTCGCTAGCAACCTCTGCCTACAAACTGGGCTAGTGACACCGGCTACAGTCACTCATTACGACTGTTATTAGTTTAGAACTGCCGACTTGCGCTGAATGAGCCAAAAATAAACCTGGCGGGCTGCAGGTCATAGCAGTGGCGTTAAGTTGACTCCATTCGTCTCTTTACTTCCGAGTTTTGGCGCCGTGACTCACAGATCGCGTGGACGTTCGAGGGCTTGGATGGGTTCTCAGGTTCAAGAGCTGAAGCAATGGATGGCAACCGCTTTCGTTTCGGCGTAAGATGTAGGTCCAGTATATATTGTTCGACTTTTCCGAACTGGACACCCACAGAGGAAACAGGTATTGCTTCATTTGTTTGTTTTAGCAGAACACTCTGAGCAGAGCCCGAAGCCAGAATGACGCGTTTCTCCGTTTCGCCGCTCGGTGTGGGTATGTTTTCTTGTTTTTTCTTCAGACGCCGCCACATTTCGGCGCGTGTGGTCATTGGGGCAGTTGCTGACCAACTTCTACGCCACCACGGAAGAGGGCGAGCTGATCCTCGGGGATTGGGCCGCTCGCGGGGAGGAGGCGCGCCAGGGCGTGAGGTGCTGGAACCAACCGAGGGCTTGGTGCCCACTTGGGTGTGGTCGTTTTTTTATGGGGGTTGTTTTCCTTTACAACCCTCCCCCCCGCCCAAAAAAAAAAGCAAAATGAAGGTACCCTAAGAAGCAAAGGCCGCCCCGACTGTGTTACCCTCATTGTGACCAGGCAACCTTCATTTGAATGCAGAGCTAGTTGTTGGAAGGAGTCGGTTGATATCAGATTATCACAGAAATGCTGACTTTCAATCCTGCAGTACCCTCCTACCCACCAACATGGGACCCACCAGCAAAACAGGAAAACTGCCTTTCAGCGGTCGTGCTTTTTTGGAAGCTCGCCGGGAAGGGGGGGGGTAAACAAGCTCACAGTTTTCACTGGTCCTTCGCACAATGTTTGCTTCCAAGGCGGGCGTGACTGGAGTTCACGGCAATTTGCGAACCATGAACGTTTTCCAAAGATCATCCAGGGTACAACCAGAGGCCTTGGTGGGTGATGTGCAGTGATCTTGACCATCTAGACGATTCTTTGCAGATTGACTGCAGAGATGTAGGTGATGACGGTTAAACTGGTCTCGTTTAATTGGCCTTGGTGGTTATGGCCATGAACTAAAAAGGCAATTTAGAAAACCAATGTAAGAAGTTTCTGCTAAGGGTACAATGGCCATGGCCGACAGACGGGTGTGTGTTTCTCATGGCACACATGTTGGTGGGTTGCCTCCGTGAAGCCATCACAATGGTGGTGTCTGAAGCACTTAGATACGTACTTTAGTGCACCTGCAAAAGCAATGAGCTGTCAACCAGTTAATCAAGGGGTACTGAACATCAACCAGTTGAAGGGGTCCATCTGATTTAATCATGTTGCAATGCTCAGTCGGGTGACCAATGGGCGTGCGAAGGAAGCTTGAGGACCCCAGAGCGTCCCCGAGTCCCGCAATGGCAGGACAGGAAGGCTGATGTCGTCAAGAAGCCTCGGCCCCAGAGGGCAGATGTCAAGAAGTACCCCTGTGTCCCGGCACAACCTCATGGGACAAAAAATATGCGAAATTATCTAGAAGAGTAAGACTCATCTTCCGTGTGGTCTTTTTGGTGCCCCTTCCCCTGACTTGCCGGCTTCCAACTGAAAAGACACGCGGCTGTGGGTCAAAACCGTACCATTTTAGGGTAGGTGCACCACCCATTCTAGTCTATTTTGGGGATTGGGATGTCCACTGGGGGTACGATTTGGCTTTTGACCCATGGCCACATGCACGACTGCCAACGGATATATGTTTTTCTCGCGCAGCACGTCACCGCGCCCGCGGGTCTGGCAGTGAGGATGTACAGCAGCTGCAAAACCTTCCGCCCCATGCAGTCCTTAGAGCCCGGGCTCTCAGATCTCCGCGAAGTCGCTAGATGCAGCTGAAATGGCTGTGGTTGTCAAAAACCGATACCCGAAATGGAACTTGAATTTTGACCCATACCCAAATATGTTGCGTTAATGTGGAGTGAGGGCCAAGAGCCAACGGGTACAAAATAAGCTCAGGTGACATCCCCAGCAGGCGGTGCTCTTAGTGCTCGCACCCCGCAACCCTCGCAGAACCTCGTGGAACCCTGGTGGAACCCTGGTGGAATGTTCGTGGAACCTTACTACCTCAGGGCCGCCCCGGACCACCCCGGAGCCTATCTGGGCTGAGACCCCAAAGCTTTCAGCTGTTGGGGAAAAACTCTTCGCCCTTTTGAGAGAGCTTTGTTGTATCCTGGAGTAGGTGTCTCGCTTTATCATATTGCACAAGCTTCAAACTTACTCATGTGACTTGACTTGGCAAGCAAAATGAATGGCAATGCAGCACTCCCTTTCAGAGAACTGCAATGACTCCAGCCACAAGTAAAAGCAACTCATACATGTATTCAATATGTAAATCTGTATATCCCGATGTCTTTGTCTATGTGTATAGAATACACAGCAATATATGTATGTATACTCATATAGGTATACGTGTCAGAATCCAGATATGACTGGAGTGAGTCAGCGCAAGTCCACCACCCCAAACTCCGTCGCCGAGGCGCTCGCCCTTCTTCCCTGACATCCTCTTGGGTGTCACCGCCGGGAGCCCCGAGCCGGCGCGGGTCAGGCGAACCACGTGCTGTGGATGGACGAAATGCGAGACCGCACCACCTTGAACTCATTCCGTTGGGTTTGTTAGGTGGTGCAGGAATTCATTTATTTGCACAATATTGTATCGTTTAAACTGCCTACTTTATGTGCTCCTTCGTGGTTGTTTACCTGCCGGCGTCAACAAGAACTTCCGATTGCCATCGACTTGTGGCGGGAACAAGGCTTTAATCCACTCTCTACTCTCGCCATTCTTGTAAAAGCTATCACCTTGGGATAACTGATGCCACCACATTTTGGTGGAGGCAATCTCGTAGACCGCCCCTCCCGATGTACTCTTTGACTTTCTCCAAAGCTGGGCATATATACCCTGCTTGAGCCCTTTGAAGACCCCTCTATCGCCCTTTTTGATGAGTTAAAGCACCTTTCCTTGCTCAAAGTCAAAGGGAGTTTCCTTCAATGGGGCGATGCTTGAGGAGAAATTCTGGATCACTGCCAAAGGCTCGAGGGTTTCGATTTCGTGCTCGAGGGTTTCCGGCCCCGAGTGGCCCATCTCCACTTGGAACTCGCTGGCGTCGCCTGTTGTGCTTCGCAGTGGATGCAGAGCTTCATGCTGATCCAGCAGGAACCGGGCAAAACTAAAGCTAGAAGTACCGAGCCAGGATGCAAATGCAGAAAACAGAGAATTGTATATGCTGGTGTATGATTTTGAGCCGACAATCTGAAAGGGACTGGAGGCCACCAACAACGTGCATGATCAGTATCGGCAGATGTTTACATCATTGAACTTATATCATAGAGCTGCAGTATGTATCACGAGCACCAAGTCAATCGCACAGTCACACACTCACTCACTCACTCACTCACTCACTCACTCACTCACTCACTCACTCACTCACTCACTCACTCACTCACTCACTCACTCACTCACTCACTCACTCACTCACTCACTCACTCACTCACTCACTCACTCACTCACTCACTCACTCACTCACTCACTCACTCACTCACTCACTCACTCACTCACTCACTCACTCACTCACTCACTCACTCACTCACTCACTCACACTCACTCACTCACTCACTCACTCACTCACTCACTCACTGACTCACTCACTCACTCACTCACTCACTCACTCACTCACTCACTCACTCACTCACTGACTCACTGACTCACTGACTCACTGACTCTGACTCACTGACTCACTGACTCACTGACTCACTGACTCACTGACTCACTGACTCACTGACTCACTGACTCACTGACTCACTGACTCACTGACTCACTGACTCACTGACTCACTGACTCACTGACTCACTGACTCACTGACTCACTGACTCACTGACTCACTGACTCACTGACTCACTGACTCACTGACTCACTGACTCACTGACTCACTGACTCACTGACTCACTGACTCACTGACTCACTGACTCACTGACTCACTGACTCACTGACTCACTCACTCACTGACTCACTGACTCACTGACTCACTGACTCACTGACTCACTGACTCACTGACTCACTGACTCACTGACTCACTGACTCACTGACTCACTGACTCACTGACTCACTGACTCACTGACTCACTGACTCACTGACTCACTGACTCACTGACTCACTGACTCACTGACTCACTGACTCACTGACTCACTGACTCACTGACTCACTGACTCACTGACTCACTGACTCACTGACTCACTGACTCACTGACTCACTGACTCACTGACTCACTGACTCACTGACTCACTGACTCACTGACTCACTGACTCACTGACTCACTGACTCACTGACTCACTGACTCACTGACTCACTGACTCACTGACTCACTGACTCACTGACTCACTGACTCACTCACTGACTCACTGACTCACTGACTCACTGACTCACTGACTCACTGACTCACTGACTCACTGACTCACTGACTCGCTGACTCGCTGACTCACTGACTCACTACTACTGACTCACTGACTCACTCACTCACTCACTCACTCACTCACTCACTCACTCACTCACTCACTCACTCACTCACTCACTCACTCACTCACTCACTCACTCACTCACTCACTCACTCACTCACTCACTCACTCACTCACTCATTCACACACTCACACACTCACACACTCACACACTCACACACTCACACTCACACTCTCACTCACACTCACACTCACACTCACACTCACACACACAACAAAAACACAACACACAACACAGACACAACACACAACAAACACACAACAAACACACAACACACAACAACAACACAACACACAACAAAAAACACAACACACAACAAAAACACAACACACAACAAAAACACAACACACACACAACACACACACACACATACACCACACAGCCACCATATATATATATATATATATATATATATTATTATATACAACACACACACACACACATTGAGTTCCCCTGAGCGCTTGGGTTCTGCGGATGATTTGTATGCATTGCTGAGGACTGGGCATTTTATCTCTTCAAGGCTTGGCCGGGACACTTCTCGGTCCAACGTACCAAAGGGACGGCGATACTGGCGGATTCATTTGCAAAAAGCCATGAGAGTGATGCCGAAGATTGTTTCGGGTTCAACATATAGAGGATCACAGGTGCGCCGTGCTTCCCAGATGCTTGTATGGCTTACTTCATTGTCTGCTGGACGGTTCCCACATTCCAGGGCCTAAATTCAATGAAGGGGTGGATCTTTGGGAAAGCCCAGGATGAGCCCTTGAATCAGGAGCCTGTTGCACGAGCAGTTGCGTCACCCTGACTTTAAGAAAATACGCAGGTCTTGTATCTCTGCTTTGTTTGAGCAAGCGTCCGTGAAGCTATCGTGTTGACCTTGACCGAGAAGTGACAGTGTTGAATCAGGGAAGGGGTCCCCTGTGCCTGTGCATGTCCAGGTTTCGGCATTTTGAGAGAAGCGTAGGTTGTCAGTTTGTTTGGCTCCTTGACAATATTTGCCAATCATTTGTCACTATTCATCAACCCATCCATTTTGGGTGTCCAAGCAATGTGAACCCTCTTTTAGCAGGAAAACCACAAGAATGCCAACCAGACTGGGGTCTAAATTCTGCTTTAGGACATACACCATTTCGACGAAAACATGAAAGCGAAACCTTCACATGAAAGCCTTTGACTCCCCTCACTTCCCCCGCTTCGTTTCAGGCAACCATCAAGTTCCCTACATAGTATAGAACTTGTGCAAAGCAGTCCCTCTTCCCTAAGGGCTTCATCATACTTCATTAGACAAGCCCTGCAGTAGAGGATTACCTGCTGAGGCCGCGATAGTTCCACGTGTCGCCGACTCGACATGAGCAATCTCCCCATGTCCAGGTTCCAAAGGCGCGCTTGCACCAAAGCAAGATACCCTTGGTGAGAGGAACACAATGATCCCTAGCATTGATCTGCCTGTTTCCCGAAAGAGCAATCCAAACGGGCTCCCGGTCGATTCGTAAACCTCTGGCTTGGTTTTGTTTTGCGGGGTGCAACCCCATTTCAGTGGAGGCGTTAGGTCTCTTTCTGGAGAACCTCCTCACGATTTTAACCCGAGTTTGCCAACAAAAAGTTGTGGACGTTTCTCAAATACAGGTCCCGTAAAAGAGTCCGTTTCCTTTTGGTTCCCTTTGACTACCAACCAAAAGGGGGTCCACCATTTTGAGAGACCCCTATGTTCCCAGATTTTAGCCCTTGTGTGGGGCCCATCGAAAATCCGAGCTGCTTCAACCAACAAGTAAAAGTCCAAAGATCCGTTTCCAAATAGTCATATAGTAATGGTCACTGATTTGAGTGGTTTGCCAAAGTGGATGTGGAACTTGAAACGGGTTCCCTTGCACCGGCAGGATGGGCTCTCCGAGCACCTCTTTATGTCTTCCTACACCTCCACTTACTACACCCGAGGCTCGGTTCGAGAGCTTGCCCGAAACCAAAGGTCTCAGATCTCAAGACCTTTCTACCATCGAATCCCTCCAAGAAAGGTCCAACCTGAGAGGGCTTGCTGGGAAATTGAGAGTAGAACACCTCTCCGAAAGATCCAGTTGTGTGCAACCGAAGGACACCAAAGCCTCGCCGTACCACACGAAACGAGTTCCCGGATGAGTGGGAGCTCGCAATTGGCCCTCAGGCCAATTACAACAAATGAGGGGCGGCCAGTATTGCTTATATCCTCTGACATGGTCAGACACCTCACCATTTCCTTGTCCTTGTCCGAGTGCACCCAGTGTCATCACTTGTACTACAGTGAACTGCGGATGGACAAACTCCTGCACCTGTTGGAAGGCGATTTATCCAAGCATTCGCAGCAGGTTAATAGTCAACGGTTGTCGCTTTTCTTTGCACAGCTGCATCCGTATTCGGTCACAGACGAGAGGCTTCCCACCCAAAGAGAGCGTGTAATTCAGGAGACCACTTCAAGGAGTAACCTGAGCTACTGCAGGTGTATGGATCTTTCCTACCAAGGATTATCAGGCCCTTTGTCGTTCCATATGAAGCATAGGGGAAAGCAAAAAGGCCTCAACACGAGACGGGTCAAGACGGGGTCAACTTTGGGTTGGCGTTTTTGGAATCGGCCGTCACGATTCCAGGTCCTGGGACTATGTGATATTCCCTTGGGCATCTGTGGCTACCCCCCCGAGCTGTAAACGCCCAGCAGAACAAGCGTAAACAAAATGCAGGTCGGAGAAGGATGCAGCATGATACCCTTGCTGGCACCACTGCAAAGCCATTTCAGGGATAACAAAGTGGTTTGCGAATCCACTCAGGAAGTGAAACGTATACACGCATACATTTCTACATATCTACATACACACTATCATGCCTATATGCGTATATGCATACATGTATATATATAATATATATATATAGTATACACAAGCACAGAATGTCATAAGACATAGCGTACACATGCACGCACTCATGTACATACAACATACACATGTACACACCGAGACATGTACACGCTCGCAACGCACATGAGGTCGTAAGTAGTACATACTACAGACGGCCACCAATGCGTGCATACATACATGCATACATATATGCTTACCGGCATTGATACATGTAGTCACATACACATACACAAGAATGCACATATACATTTTCGTATACATGTTCATATACACGTACATATACAACCATATCACAATGTATAGAATACTATATATGATAGCCCTTAGGAAAATAAATCAACACAAGAACACTTATCGAGCAACATACTGTCGCTGCTTTGTATCCAACTGCTTTATGTGTATGTACAATTGCGTTTGCGTTTTTACGTATATTCACACACATGGAACTGTTGCATGCACCCCATATCATGTATGCCAATGTATGCATCTATGTGCATATGTGTGTATGTGTGCGTTGCAGGTGTATGTGCAGTTTTGCGTGTATGCAAACCCATCATCCTCCCATACATAGAAACACACAGATACCTAGTTGTCACATAGTATCAGCGATATTTTTGTGTAGGTGTGCAGGTTGTTGTTGCTGGGAGCCACTTCACCTTTTTGCTTATTGTGATTTCGTGGGAAATCACCACTTAACTGCTAAAAGGTTTAAATTTTGCTCCCCTTCCAACAGAAATGCTGGTTTATATGGGGAATATCCCCCCCACTTAACTGCTAAACAATTTGAATTTTGCTCCCCTTCCAACTCTACTGCTATTGGGTTGGATCTTTAGACTTTAACTTTTTGGATTCCCCTCATATTTCCTTCTAACCAGCAAAAAGTTAAACTTTTTGCTCGGGGATCTACAGCACCCAAGCCAACGTCAGCCAAGTGAAGCTCTGGGGCTCTTCGAATTCTTGGGGTTTCGCCAGGCGTGTGGAGTCCCACGCGGCCCTCGGTGATCTTCCTGGGGCTTGTCAGCGGGGGGCCGCTCGACTTGAAATTCGAGCCGCGTTCGGTTTCAACCCACCGGTGGTTTGATTTAGCCTCTGATTGCGTTGGTTTACGGAAATAGGGTTTTTAGGGGTTATGTGGGTTTTATTTCTGCATTGTGTAGAAGTGGCTAAAGCCGTTTAGTAAAGTTTAGTATTTCTACTTACTGCTTTCGTATCTTTCAGAATGGGCAGTGGAACGCCCGTTTCTCAATTATACACCCTCCGGTAAACTATATAGCCGGGCTCTTCTCAACAAGGCTTAGACAAATAATTTCAACTGGGGGACACAGACACACATGTATTGAGCACTTTTGTTTGTATGGGTGACTGAAAATGCTGTGGAGAACTTATTTGCATTTGGTATCAATTGTTAATGAACCGCGCACCCACATTAAACTAGATTGACATCCTACATTTTGCATCGTATATGTTGATTTGGTGAAATCTTCTTTGCCCTTGAGTAAGATGACAAGACTTCTTCAACATCCTGGTTTAAGGGTTGTACATTGACCACGCCAAGTTGGTTACTCTTGAGAGGGGTGCCCCCGTTTGTACCCCTCTATCCCCAAGTCCCGAGTCTACTTGGAAGTGGGTGCGAACCCCCTTGTCAAAGGGACGGTTCCTTGACCATGTGTTTTCTTTCAGGATGCAAGAGAAAAAGTGCATGGAGGGTGCCCCCCTCATTTTTCCTGATGGGGGCAGTTCGGGAAAACACGGGTTTTGGGCAGGGTCACGCTCACCCCCCTCAAACATGTTTGACCACCATTGGTTGAACATGCTTGTTTAAGCTTTTCTTTAAAGGCTACCAGGGTCTGCTTGTTTCAGCAGGCTTTTACCAACTCTGAATTTGGACCTTTGAGCTGCTGGATGTGATTTGCCTTCTTTCGACTTGATATCCATCCACCCGCAAACGGCAAGCACCACGGGTGCACAGTGGCGACGATTTGTTTGGCCGAGTTCTCCTCGCAAAAGCACCCCTGCATATTCAATGCTTTTTTTGTTGGTCGTGTTGTCGATGGTCGCTCATGCAGGTGATGTGCAAGTGATGTTGCCGGACGTGGTTTTTGTGGGATCCTTGCATGCGGACCCTTAATGAATATGTGTTCAGCGAACTTATGAGTGCCAAAATATTGTTTTTAGAACTCGTTTTATATTATCTTTATAGAAGAGACACCTTATATATTGTACACTGAAGTGGAGGTTCCCACTAGGGCCGTAGTTTCCTGACCCCATTGCGGGGTTTCCTTTGCTGGTTTGGCATGCCAGAGTTGTTTGCACGCTGGCAAGGATCGACATCTGGGACTTTAGCGATCAGTCCCACAAGGCCGGGCCCTTGACATGGGGGGTGATCAAGATTCCCTTCGGCCCCTAAGTGACCACGGGTAACTTTTTCCCATGTGGGAAATATATCATCCTTGTTGTGATTTTCCCCAATGGACATCCCATGTAAAGGCAACTCCCGCATGTGTATACATACTTCTCAGTGAGGGCAGCAAGGGGAGCCATGTGAAGTGTTTACGGCCCCCAGTTGCAATCGCCTTCTTAAAAATCCAAATGCACCACTCGTTTTAACCAACGACTGCTGTTTCAAGCATCGAATCATCTGAAAGGGTATGCATGCTTGTGGCACTGTACTTGCGAGTTGACTATGGCTGAAAGATGCTGGGGAGGGCACTACAAATTGGCGAAGTGCTGCGGCTGGGAGTTCCCTGAAATATGGGAAAGGCTGTATATAGATATAATAGTACAAACCCGCAAACTTGAATATGTATGCATATATATATATGTACACATGCATACAGTAGGCTGATTCAGGTGCCTTACTGCAATCATGCCACCCCTTTTGTATGTCCTGTTACTGGAGAGCTGGGGCAGGTAATCGAGCAGCCCAAGCATTTGTACTTTTGAATGACAGCTTCAAATCCAATGGTCCACGCCTGGCCCTCCTTTGGTTGCCTGGAGTTTTGGTCCGCAAAGCTGGTTGCTCCAAAGCCCGAAAGGACTCCAGGCGATGTTTGTTGTTTTTTTTCCCCAGACCTTGGTTCAGCACCCAGAAAAGAACAACGTTGCCAAGAGAGCAGGGACTCGCCTGCAGGCAAGGCAAGCAGCACAGCATCCAACGCCTAGCGTTTGACATGTTTGCCATACATAGGTCCCTGTCTTCCCATTGGAAGAACCAAGCATTGCAGTTTCACGGTCATGTTATTAAAGGATTTTCCCTGAGATGCTGCAATGCTCGGGTGGGACCATGTCTTAGAAGGCGGAAATCCGCGTAGTGTAGCCGTCTCGAAGGTTCATGGTTTTGCCAGCTCGCCAGGCATCCCTGTCCGACACTGGCGCCTCAGTTGCTATCACCTCGATGATGTTCTGCTACCATGGCCGAGCTGGCGTTGTTTTTGTTCTCGCACGAGCTGTGGGGTGGGACGTACGCCGACATTGATGGTTGAATCCGAGGCACCTTGGCGAAAGTGATCTTCTCAGATGGTTTCATGAGTTTCTGGGAGCCTGACGTTTCGCCAGGAGGCAAAGCCCTGTAGGATCCCAGCCTGCTAGGATATATCTGGTGGACACAAAAAGGAGGTCTAGGAAGTAGCATTTGGCATACACCGACGCAAGAGGGCTGCCAGAATGACCTTTCCCTGGCGCGACTTTGTTTTTGGTTGTAACCAGTGCATCAAGCCATTTTTTCCGCGTGCTAGATAATTCAGAGTTGTTCCTTTTCCCAGAGTAAACCACCAGAAACAAAAGGGAATTGTACTCTGCAAAGAGGTCTGACATGCTATTTACCACAACTTGTTTGTTTATTAGGCCCCTCATTGCCTGCTTGGGAACGCCATGATGACGAAATGGGAGTGCATGGTTTTCAATCATCTGGGAGCCTTTTCTAGATGATTGAAAGGGAATCGAGACCAGCCAGCTTTGGGCATCGTCTTCTATTTGGAGACACCTCCCTCTCGTTTTGCTTACTGTCTCGTTTCGCTGTCGGTTCTGGGACTCGAAAGGTTCATACATTCCCTTTTCCCAGTGCTTCCATTCGCATAGTTCCATGGTGAGACCTTGAAGAACAAAAAACCTAGATACCTACTATGGATAATGATAACCCCGGATCAATAAACCCCTGGTTGATTAATAGGGGGTGTCCCCTTTTGTCGGGATTCATCACTGTTGGAGGGAACACCCCCCTAATAATGGGACGAGTTTATAGATCCTGGGTTACCATTACTCAGTGGCTTTCCTGGCACCGAAATTTCTGTTGCGGCGTGCTCAAGCCAGGCGACATCAAAGAGGGCCAGAAGCTGGCGGTGGGGGATGCGCAGGGCCACTTGCACATCCAGAACATCCCCAAGCGCTTCGACGCAATTTGGTCGAGCCGAAACCCGGACGCGAGCACGGAACCCCCCTGGCGCGCCACTGGTTTTGCCATCAACTTGACCATGAATCCCAGGACTGTAAGGTTGTTTTGCTGGAACATTGAGTCAGTTATTCACGCGAGATTGAGGCTGATTGTGTTGTTTGGAAACACAAGGGCAGCTTTCGGAAAACGGATGCCAGGTCACAACCGTTGAGAAGTGGCTGATGGCAAGTGCCATACAACTTGTCATCTTCAGACCTGTTAAGGGTACTGCTGCAAGTTTGATTGGGATCTACAGCAAGGGGAGTGGGAAGGTCATGACTATTACATGGTCCCCAATGGTGAGTAAGGGTCACTCATGGTCGCTATAGAGCTGCTATGGCGCCCATTGATACGGCTTCTGATTTCAAGGACTGGGCGTGAATGGTTCATTTTTATGTTTTTTTCTTCGCCGAGCTTGCCTGGGGATTCAACGTGCTCTTTCATGATAAGTGTCCTTTGCCGTAGGGTCCCGTCTTTCCAGTTTGGGAACTATAGTAATTGAACACACCCCTGGTATGTCCCTCTACTTAACGGGTATCTATGAGTCAAAATACCATTTGTTGCTTCCAGCCACCGCAAGCTGCTTTCAGATAACTTTATCTTATTTGTGCGAACTAGCACGTTCATGCGCTCGCTTCGCTCGGAGGACTCGCATATGCCTTGTGCAGAACTGGAGCGTTGGTCTCCCTCTCTGAAATGGGGTTTTGCCTAGTCTTCGTCAGGAACATGGAAGTACAGAATGGAATTCTAGGGTGTGTTGTGCCTTCTCTGAAGCCCTTGAGGTGAACCGAGATGGTTTCCCGCTCCAAGTGAAATGCCTTGTTTCAAGGTTAATTACCTGACTAGTACGTCGTTCTATTCTGAACACCGACATTACCCACACTGCACTCTTTCACGGTGAGCCAAGCAGGAAATGCACATTTTTGAAAATCAGTTGATTTGGAAGTGTCGCTACGCATGAACCTGTGCCACTGAGCATTGGCAACGTATTTTGTGGGACCTATATCGGTGCGTCTTTTTGAGGGTACCTTTTGTTGGTGGTTTCAATGGGAAACCAAAAGGAAAACCACCATTTTGGCATCCTTAGCGTCCCGGTTTGCTGCTTCAATTTAGACAGCGCGTGCGCCCTGTTGGTCACTGTCGCATGGATGTGCAAACCGCCAATAAATTCGCCCTGAGGAACTTGATCAAGCCTGGCGGGAGAGAGAAAGAGAACATGAGGCGGGAGGTCCTTTGAGTGTGCGTGCTTGAAGGTTGACTCCCGTATTCTTCCGGAGAGTTTGCTTTGTTGGGGTCGGGCAGGTGGGGGGGGTGCTCTTCTTGAGCACCGGTCAGCATTCACCATCATCTACCATTTGTTATGGGATGACATGGATCACGCTGAGCACACTCACCAAGCTACCATTGGTAAAAAACCGGGTCCAGTGAGTCTGTTCAAAACCGCCCGAACAAGGGTTCCCTATTTGTTTTAGAGACCCCCAAGGCATCACCTGAAATAATATCTCCGGCTTTCTGCGAAGCTAACATGGAACGTAAGACCCAATGTGTGGACTAGGTTTACTTAGGGAGACACCTTCTAGTACCATGGCCAGAACAACTCATTGTAGAGCTTAGCGAATTTCTGGGAATGCAAGCGGTTGGTTTCAGGATACGCACAAGTCCTCTCCCAAGCAACAATATAGCACACATGGTCAGCCAACAGACATGGTAGTGCCATACAAAGCCAAGGAACCGCTTGGAGACCAAGGCGCTGTTTGAGCTTGCAATGAGTGAGCACCGTGTAATTGCTTTGATGGCCTTATGGCCTTGGCAGCTCTGAACCTTGAAACATGCATCGGCGGCTTTGGTATTGAGCTATCAGGAAACTAAACGCCAATCGTTTGAACCTCGCTATTTCAAAGTCTAAGGGCACGGCAACAAAGGAAACCTTGCTTGGGCAGTCTCAGCGGGTTAATCATGGAGTTCAGTCCAAGACTGGCAAGCATGTCAGTTTTTGTTCACCAATAAATACTGCCCCAAAACCGTGGCTGCCGACCTGTGAGTCCTATGTAAACTGGATGTGGGCAGCTCACATAAACTTGTTCCTAGTAGCTGCTGGTGCTGTAAGCCGTGCTGAACATGTTCAATCGCAGGACTCCGCCCCCCCAAAACACAGAGTCGTGCGGGGGGAGCTCCCATTGATCTGTCCCCAGCACCCTGGAAGATTCTGGGAAAGCGCCAGGAAGTTCCTAGACCGCGAGGAGAAGCGTGCGGGACCTGTTGAACCCCAGTCGCTTGTATGGCCGAAATACTTCTAGCTGTTATATTCCCTTCTGTGGGTGGACAAAATCCTGCACCACTTTCAAAACCATGGGAAACCATGGTTCATTGGTATTTGCAGGGGAATCATCATTCCAGGGTTTCTTAGGTGGTGCAGGATTTCGTCCATCCACAGTATTGCTGGAGAATGGCCGTGTTTTTCATACTACTCAACCCTCCCAAAATCTGCGCTGTCCAAGAAACAACTGGATCCGGGAGAAACGGGTGAGGCGAATGGGGTTCAAGCCTTTTGTTCTGGGTTTCAAGAATTATATTATTAGTTGCACCCCTTTGATCCTCCGTCCAACATGGACCATGGACTTAGACAAAAGGTCGATTTTAGGTGCTAGTCGTCCCAACAGTTTGCGCAGCCCACAAACCCGCTTTCCAACATGGAAGTGGACCTATTTCGGTTTTTTGTGGTAGTCGTCCCAAGCCCTTTTGCATTCCATGGTTGGACGGAGGGCGTTGCTCGTTCGTTGGGCCAACTGATTTCTTTTGAAATGCTGTGAAAATTGCGTCCATGCGGGCTTGATGCTGTATTCCAAACAAGACGGCTTGGAAAAAGTTAGCTATTCAGTCAGCAAGGGCTGGCTGTTTTGGACGTCGGTCAGCGTCGTGTTGACGTCGGCTTTTGCGTCGTTCAGGATGCCCTGTTCGCCCTCGGTGTTTTTCCGTGGCAGAGTGCATGTGTACAAGCCTCGTTTTGCATGAAGCTTCTCATGTTGCCTTAAAGCATCGCTTTGGAGGAAGCTTCTCATATGTGTCCAGCTTGCCTGTATAGCTTTTTCCTAATTTCTCAGACCTCAGTGGGAGTTGCGTCGCCATTGTGACCATTGTGATGTGCACCTTCTGGTGGCCCCAAAGCAATGGGCTGAGGCTGAGTTCCATGCCGAGTACGCAACAACTGGCGTACTGGGTGCTTCCCCGTGGCATACCAATTCAACTTTTCACTCTTTGCAGGGGTTGGTTCCACCAATCGTGCCGAAGTCTGTTGAACACGCCAAAAACCAGAGTACAGATTCTTTGTTTTTTCCCATTCCCATTCCCGGGCGACTCTTGCATATATGGGTGTGTCTTTCGGGGGACCCCCAAAACCGTGGTTTACCTCTGGGTTTACCTTTCAGACCACCAACAAAAAGATGCCCTCAAAACAGACACCCATAGGGATCATTTAGAAACAGCTCCGATTCCCCGGGGCCTAGGTGTAACCCACAAGATCCCCCGAGAGCCGAGACCTGGTGGACATCTCGACTTTCTGTCCATGTGCAGTCAGGTTGTCCCAAGTATGAATGGCTTTTTGGACCCCCGACACGGATGGAGAGGGTCCTTTGCCCCAAGCAAGTCGTAAGCTTTTGACCTTCTCATTTCGCTGTGCTTCATATTCATAATTGGAACAGGTGGGCTTGTTTGGGTTTCCCATGGGTTTCCCATCGGTTTCCAAGCGGTTTTTCCCGGGGATTTCCTTAGCTGGCTCCTTTCGGCCAGCTTTCGACAGATGCTTGGCATGCCTGGCGCATGTGGTTGCCGAAGCCACCAGCCATCGTTTTGGCAGCACCAATCTTAATATCCTTTTTTTTTTCCGCAGAGATCCACCCCTTATATCCAAAGGTATGAAAGGAAGCCATAAGTTGGTGTCACTTTCCTTATGATAGCGTGGGCTTCGGAGCTTCAAATGCTTTGTTCTTGGGAGCTGACTCGAGCAGTTTGGGGAAACTCACCCAGAAGCTTCTTTCTGCCAGCTAAGAGGAGACGTATCAAACCCTTGGGAGACAAGGGACACATTTGCTGAGATGAGCCAAGGTGTCAGATACTTCCAGGAGCCGTCGAAGTCGGACGTCGGGAAAAATCGTTGTGTGAATCGGACACGCTTGTCATGTTTGTTGGGATGTCCATCCTTTGCCCGTACTTTGCCCAAGGCAAATCGACTATTTATTGACCCATGTCTAACCTATGTCTAACCTATGTCAACCTTTCGTTTGGACTTTGGAAAAGTGAGCATACCCCAACAAGCGCTAGAGTGCTTGCAGGGCAAGCGTTTGGGCAAACGCAGACCTGGGTTTTTCTGGGTCTGGTTTCATGGGGCCTTGTCTTGTTGGGTATTGCTTGTGTTTCCTTTCAGTGGGTTCCCCACAAACCAGGCCCAAAATGGGGTTCCCCTTTCTTACTGGAGTCATTGGTCAGCGGGTTGTCAGCAATTGTATTGCGTGTTGATCCTCGCTGGCTGCATTGTCCAAATCGCTGGTACGCAGGTGATGATTGCGAGAGCGTCCCCGCAAAAGTGACCCTGAAGACAAGCGTTCATGAGCTGCTGTACAAGATCCGTGGAGTATGTGCTTTCAACGATATGTTGATCTTCCGACGGCCGGTGCCAAGCGGCAGTGCCGGGGTGCAAACACGCCAATCAAAGCGCTTTCAAAGTTCAGGGACGCTACAAACCAGCCCAAGAGGTTTTGGGTTTACAAGCCTTATTATACAGGCCGTTTCAACCATCGAAGACATCCCACATTACTGGGCGTTGAACATCATTTTTGTGATGAACAAAAGCTCGGGCTCCCGGAAAGAGCCGTGCGAGTTTTGGCATGCCTATCCTTTGTAGTGCTAGTCCGCAGCTTTGGCTCCCCCAAAGCTGTTCTTTCTCGGTCTGGAAAGTGGACACGAGACCATCCCGAAGGAAGTCTAGCCCATCATTTCATTTCATTTGAGTTGGCAGAGTGCAAAGCAAGGTTCGGGCCGCTTAAATGTGATTTGGTGTCTTTGAAGCATTCGTATTAGGCACCGAGTTTTGGCAAACACTTTGTACCCCGGACCACAAATGCCGTGGATGAGTCTTGACTTACTGGTTCTTGCTTCACTTCTTAGAGCTCACTTTCGCGGTGAAGGCACATCTGGGCCAGCAAATTCGTTTCTGAGACCAGCCCCCCCCCCCCCCCCCCGGCATGCCAATCCTCGAAAGGTGGCAGAAGGAAGAGTCTGGGACAGTCCATGGACCCCTGAAGGAGGGTAGCACGATGGTTCGGTTTCCTTTAAGGACCAAACTGCTGCACATGTGCTGATCTTTGCGGATGGGAGCAAAGACCTGTTCAACTGATAGATATGTGTAACCCCTGTGCTTGACCATGTCTTGTTCAAACTAGTCGAGAAAGATGTGATAGAAACTTTGTTTGAGTTCGCTATTTGTGCCACTGCTATTTGTGTTATATACTGCTACATGTCATACACACACACACACACCAAAAACGACAAACATCCGCCTGAGCGAAACAATAGTTACGCAACTATCAACATATTTTTGCACAACAGACATATTTGTATACACGCATCAATATATATATATATATATACACATAAACTACACCTACGTGTGTATACATATATATTTGTATGTATACTCGCTATCTACATGGTATTTGCCTCTGGTTTTACCTTGAGCCACCTCAGTCAGTTCCGACGCTTTCAGGAGCGGCAGCAGGAGCTTAGGGAGCTCAAGGAGCAGATGGAGAAGGTCGAATGGTCAGTTGGCTCCCCGAGACGCCCGTTGCCTTCCAAATAAGGAAGCTGAGGCTTTCCCTATGCTTTCCTTATTCTTTCCTTATTCTTTCCTTATTCTTTCCTTATTCTTTCCTTATTCTTTCCTTATGGTTTCCTTCTGGTTTCCTCATGGTTTCCTTGTGCTTTCCTTATGGTTTCCTTATGGTTTCCTTATGGTTTCCTTATGGTTTCCTTATGGTGTCCTTCTGGTTTCCTTTGGTGCCTTCCTTCTGGTTTCCTTGGTTCTCTTTTGGTTCCCTTTCCCCGAGAAAGGGGGTTACCCTCCACGAAGGTTGGGGAAGAACCAACGTGTGGGCCAAAGTTGAACTCAAATCTGGATTGGCGCTTGAAGGTCATTCTCAACCGGGGTTGCCCCTTGCTTCAACATGCTTATGTTTAAACCCCTGTCGTTTCAACAGTATCATTTTGGTTTTCTTTGGCAGGAAGGTTTGGGGAGGAGGCATGTGGCTTCCAATAACTGGGCATAAACATCAAATATTGAGTCAAAGCTGCGAGTACCAAACCATCAGAGTCTATTTACCTGTTTGTGCAAGTCAAATTGTGACCTAAGATAGGTTTTGGCTTGATCATAACGTCTCAAATTGAGGTCACTTGTTTCAGCTTGACGAGTTGCTTAAGATTACTGAATGTACAACAATATTGAACGGGTTTGCCTGTGCACACCTGAACATTGCACAGACCTAAACAGCCTCGTTGGAAGTTTTGGTGTTACACCTATTTTTGTCCAAAGGGGTCCCTTCAAGGATGTGACAGCAGCTCCCTTTTTTTGTACATGCCATACACGCACCGATAGATACATGGCTGTGGGTCAAAATTAAACCACCAGGGGACAGGTTTTAGTCTTTGGTTTTATTTAACAGGCTTCCCAAAACGAGTACCTATTTTTGGACCCACGGCCACATGATATCTGAGCCGAAGGCCAGCCTCTGTCAGCCTGTCAGGCGGCCATGGCGCAGGACGAGACGGCCAAGGAATCCGCTAAGAGCGAGAGACGTCCGAGTTAGGATATTTTTAGGTACTAGGTCCCCCAGCAATTGGTGCCAACTCTTACCGTAACTTTTTTGGTTTGGAGGGTTCCCCTACTCAAATAGAATACAGAAAACAGGGTACCCGTATTCTAAACTCTCTACTGGAGGACCTAGGGTATGTATTCTTCAGGATTGTTTGTTGTTTGTGTAGGGTTGTTGTTGACACACACACACACACCATTTTCTTTGTGTTGACTTGGCGTTTCATGTTTGTCCCTGGTCCTCCAAGAAGACCTAGTTGTGACCGGTATGATTGTTGTTTATATTTAGCAAGGCCGAAAGCGAGCAGGTCCTTTTCGTTGTGTTTCCCAATTACTTTGTACCCACCCCCATTCCGTGTTGTTTTCTCTTGCTGGGTTCTAAATCGCCAGTTCTTGCTTGCGACTCGACGGTTGTGGATACACTCTTTTTCCTGCTATTTGTTGAGCTCGGCATTGTCAACTTTGAAGTCACTTGGGGGAATCACTAAAGCAGCCACAGGAAACAGCAGGGGTTCACACATTTGATCATGTGCATTACGGGTAACAACACTGCTTGCTCGGGATCAACGCTTGGTGCGAGCATGACATGAGCGCGCTAGGACAAGACAGAGGATCTTGACAAGGAGGATGCAGCCCCACGCTTAGAAAGGTTTTGCGGCGACCAAGACACCGTGAACAGATCAGATGAGAATGGGTAGTATGTAGGCAAGTGCTTACGACTTGTTCATTGGCTGTCGTACATTGTTTGTGCGACTTGTTAATTGGCATGTCGTGCACTGTGCGTTAAGTGGGTGCAGGCATAAACGTCCCGTGTGTATAAATGGGTGTAGGTATAGCCGTGAGTATAAATAGGTGTAGGTATAAACGTCTGTATAAATAGGTGTAGGTATAAACGTGTGTATAAATAGGTGTAGGTATAGACGTGTGTATGTATACATTTATCATTTTAGCATACAATACATGAATGCATATCCATGTTCCAGGTACCAGGGTCACTAGACACCCCCCACCCAGCGTTCTCATCCCGCTCAGCATCCCACGGGCCCAGCACCCCTCAACCACACACTCCACAGGCTGGGGCGGGGGTACCATGACCATCCGTGGGGAGTGGGGGGGACCTAGAACCTGCAGCAACCTGTATATATATATATATACACATGTGCGTACACATGTAGGTGTAAACATGTCCTTCTCATGGACAAGCCAAGTGTTCCAAGTTCTGAGGTCCAGCTTTCACATTGCCAATCGTTTCCTGGGGGGTCGAAGCAGAGTATGGCTCACAGTGAACCTTTTAGCTCTCGCGGAAAGAGTTTTTTCCCACTTCAAAAGAAACACATCTACACCATCACCCAGCAACATTCTTATAGTTTCCAAGGTTTCGGGGGGGAGGGGGGGCAAAGGTAGGCCCTACAAGTTACAACGGGCATTCGGGCGAGGCGGAGTCCCACCTTTGTTTGCTTCCATCCACTAGGCGAACAAAGCAAACTGTGCCAAACACCGAGTGGCGCAATCCCAACATGGATCTTCGGACCGGCCACTGGTAGGATTCCTTTGGGTTTTCCTTCAAATCAACCGAGACGAGTGCCATCAACAACAAGCAGACACACGCACACGCACACGCGCGCACACACACGCACACACACACACACACCTTGACCAACTTCTTGGTGGGTTCTGAGGATGTTGCTGCATTGCGTGGAAGTTGATGTATCCAACCCTGTCCTCGGCCCAGCCCCAATCAATCAGGGAGAGGGTTTCACTTTTTGTTCAATTCCCGTTGTTTCAGCTCCATGCATGTGTTTTGTTTTTTAAGGCACCCTTGTCACCTTGGAAAGGGAAGCCAACAGGAGAACCGCCATTTTCTGGCGCCCTTTCGCCACATCCCGGGCCCAGATTGCCGAAGCCTCGTACCAGAAGCTGGAGGCCGAGGTGAAGGAGCAGCTGCGGGGGCCTTGAGAGAGAACCAAAACCGGAGAGCGCCCGAAACCGGAGACCGCCTTTTGGCTGTCAATTCAAGGAAGGACTTCAAGCACGAGGCCCAAGAAGTCCCACGAAATCTACCCAACGCCACCTCGAAAGATTTGAACTTACGCGACTGAAACTGTCAGAGTGCAAGTAGCAAGTACTTTCTCAAGACAAAAGTTTCAATCCGAAACTAGCTAGCTCTTTGCATGAGCCGTTTCTACCTCTTCCCAAGCTTGCAGTAAACCACTTTTTATCCTGGACGCAACTTGGAATATTGACAATGATTGATCTAGCGCTGGGTGGAAATTTGGCCCGCCGCAAATTGCCTGGGAATAGGCTTTTATGTCAAAGGGGAAAGGCTTTGCAGGCAAGTGGTTCAGTTCAATCTTTTGTCCAGACGCATCCAAATCGAAATATAGCATTTCCAGCTGGAATTGTTGAAGACTAAAAGTCCTCAGAATCCGTTGCCACCAACTCGAACAAATAGCATCCCAGACGTGCAGAGTGATCGTGCCTCCCCCCTCCCGCTTCTGTTGGGTAGGTTTCACTTTTAAAGCATCCTTCCACTTCACTTGTTTGCTCTTTGGTTTGACCCTAAACCAAGATGTGCAGTTCCCGCTAACCAGCCAAGACTTTGTTTGGTGCATTTGCAGAGTGCCAGTGACCAGCCCTGTCTAGTAAAGCTGTTTTCTTTGGACATGGACCGCGAGCCAAACAGATCTACGGCGCACGCGGACAACGGTGGGTCCAAGCAGCCAAACAGCGAGGGAAGGCCGCAACACCTATTGTTTTCCCTTGTTCCGCCGAGGTGACTCGCGTGGTCGGAATGGCCATATTCCAAGGCACTGAGCCGATCGATGCCTCGCTATCTTGTGCGGTGGGTTCTGGGCCCGTGGCATGTTTGCAGTCCTTGTTCTAGGCAATGGTATGGAGTAACGGTTAGTTGCTCGGATAGTACAAGACCTGGTCGCACCACCCAAGCTGGGCGGGTTTAAATCCCCCCAGGTACCACCATGACCGCTCAAGCCGTCCCGTGGTGAACCTCAAATCCGTGCGACTGCAGTCTTTGTTCTGTTCAATGCACAAAACACGAAAGAATACTCCGGTACGCCCACTTGAACGCATCCCACATTCAACTCGCCAGATGATTTTGACTCTTTATTCTTGTCGACCCCCGAGTAGTGTAAATGAGAAGGGAGCAAATTCAGTTGTGTCAGGAGTGCTTTGAGCATTTTGCTCTTTCAGATTTGTTCAGAGTTTCCACCATTCTTTACAGGCAACTAAGAAAAAGGGCCACTGAGCAAGGTTTGCAGAGCTGAATTCCGCAGCGCGGCCCCAAACCCTGGCCCTGTCCAGGGCCCCGTTATATTTTCGATTTTTGCACACACCAACCATTGCAATTTCATGGCCACTTGAAGGGTTTTCCCTTCAATGCAAAATGTTTTTTAGTGTGATAAAGGGAACGGCTCGGGTGACTTAGTGGCACTAAACCCGACCTTTTGACCTTTGGGAGACTCAAGCAACATATGTTAAGTCATCGCAACACAAATGCATATCAGCTTTCGAAAAAGTCAGGTCTGATTGCAAGTCCGGGATTTACAAGATGCCAAGACCTGAGGATATAGGTCGAGGGTTAATGTGAGCAGGTAGGACATTCACAGACTCCAACCTCTGCGCAGGCCCAGCTGCTTCGCTGCGGATCTGCCGCTCACTTATTGCAACTCCAGCCTAGCGGCTGCCGAGCTCGCGGCGGAAAAATGTAGTCATTTGGCCTCAAGTTCCATCAACACCGTTTGGCATATTATAGCCATAGGTGTCCTTTTTGGTTGGTTTGCTTAGAAAATAGAGGGCCCTGGTTTAGATGAGGTTTATTCCATTTACCATGGCCATCTATTTTTCCCAAAGGCCGCCTATGATTGTAGCGTTTAGCTCAAGAGATGCCAGACGCCGAGAATGACAAGAGGTGACATAGGCCCCTTGGGTGACAAAAAGGCTCAAGCCTACGGTCGGCCTTCAAGCGCGAGCTTTGGCAGCTGCGTAGAATACGGGGCGTCTCACCCTGCTTTCACCCACAGCATGCCAGAAAGTGACCGGCCACCTAAGCCCCCAGTTGTTTATGGAGATGCCGAACGAGGGCAAAGAAGCATGATGGAAGGCCCCAACTTGGACTTATTTTTGGGTCACGGAGTTCTAGTAGATGTTTGCATTAATCAATGCAGAGACCCTGAGCCGAATGCTGCAAGGTTCAATCAAGCCGTTTGAGCTTTTCGCTGGTTGGATGCCAGGTGGCTGGTGTTTCACGTGTCACGTGCAAATGGGCACGTACAAATGCGAGCACGCGCGTCAAGTCGCCCGTTCACACTGGCAATGCGTCTATTGTCACACATTGTCACAACAGATTGCGCAAGTTGGATCTGAGTGGATACTTTCTTGTTGGCCTTTTCCAGTGTGCAGGACCCGGAGCTGATTTTTAGGTTTGGCAGGTGGTGCCCCAAATCACCACAAAAGCCCACCGTAAATCAACACTAAACCCGCCTTAAGCCTTAAGCCACAACTAAACCAGCCTGAAGCCAAATCTGAACCTACCCAACCCCCACACAAACCATGGATCCTTTCTGTGGATGGGTCCAAAGACATGGTGTTTTCGATCGTTTGAAGCCTTGACCAACTGAACCATTGCCTTCCTTCAGATCATTCAACCTGGCCCCTGCTAGTAGTGAGGGGCTGGGAGAGATGGGACGCTAGTTGATGGAGACAGCGGCTTTTTGGGGTGGGGGAAATCCTTGCTGGTCGCCAAGAAGTCGGCTGAAAACCTGAAAACGACACTCTGCCCGCATCACTTTGCATCGCTCCGTATTGCCCGCTAGGGGGAACAGGGTGGGACATGTCGGGAACCAGAGCGCAGGAGATGCAGGCGAGGTATGCAGAATAAATTCTGAGAAATCACAACCGGCGAGAAGCGGGACAATGGCATGCCAGTATCAGACACGCAACGCACACAGAATGTGCGAGTGACTCACCAACAACAGCCACACATCCCAAGAACTACTTAACCTCCAGGATTCATGCAGTTCATGTCATCGCTTACCTATTAGATCCCAAGAATGACTTACTCACATACGGTGCCTCCCTACGTATTTTGAGATACTCTTTGTGTACTCATTTGGGCGTCTATGGTGTTTTGCACCGGGTGCATAGTTGCCATGGCCATGGGATCTCTCGGATGAATGCTTCACCTAAGGCGCAGCGAGCATCGGTAGGGAGCCTGTAGCCTATGGTTCCCTTGGTGAATCTTGGAAACTGGGGTTGATCAATATTAGGGTCAACGTTACATCCCAGACAAAAAATCGAGTATCAAACCCACTCTTTAGCCAGGGTGAGGTTTCTGCACCACATCGTTTCGAAGGTAGTGGAAGGCATCTTTTTGTTTGCCAAGTCTAAGTGAGCAGTGAGCTGTTTTCGGCTCAACTTGTCTTAGGCCAATTCTAACTCGTTGGCAAAACAGTCACCCTTTTCGACCCTTTGCAAAAAGGCTGCGCAGAGTCATTCGCCTTCAAGCGTGTCGCACCTATTTCCAGGCAACACGTACTTGCAACCCTTGCTTCCAGATTATGTGCTAGCAGAGGACACATTTTGTTGGTTTAACAAACTGTGACTGTCCAACACGCATCTCTCTGTGTGTTTGGCCGTGTATGTGTTGTCTTTATTTTGTGGTATTTGTTCGGGCTTTCGGTTTAGGGTTGAACTCGAAATTCATAGCATCACCTGACCCAGTCAACACAAGACGCCTGATGCAAACGGATTGGCTGTTGTCTTTCTCCTACAAATCCAATCCGCTCAGCTTGGAAAGGAGAACATACTTGAGCGTGTGTCCAAGCCATTTGAACCCCGCTTTGCTGTGATTTGGAGTTGCCATATATTATCCTTTGCTAGGACGACCAGACAAAGTGAACATTTTTGGATATTCTGTATTGCATCCTTGAGGCTCTGACTACATCTTTGTTTTTTTGTCTTTTTGCGTGTGTGTTTTTGTGTGGCTGGCTCCCACCTTTTGATCCGTTGGTTTGCTCTACAAGTCCGTTGGCTTGACCTTTGTACCACTATTGTCAAGGAGGTCAAGCAAAAAAACAGCGCTTTTCTTTCCCACTGAGATTTGGTGAAGAGAGTGTTCCAGTTTTTCTTTGGCTCACTGGACCAACCTTTGTCACAATCACCAAACAAGCAAGTTGCGCTGTGCTTGTTCAGAGCCAAGTAAACACCTTAGCTTTGGCGGCAACTTGGGTTGAGACTTCCCTCTTTGCTAGCGGGACAAACACAGCCTTTCGACGCCCCTGAAGTTGCAGGTGCAGGTGCAGGGCAAGCAACACGACCCCTCTGTCAGGGGGCGGAAACAGCTTGCCACGCTAACACCTACAGAAGCCCACTGGAACGGAGTCTTGGGGGCATAGTAGGAGGTTTCTCTATACATTTGCCATTGGGGCGCAACTAGAGGCTGGCTGCTAGCTCATTCTCGAGGATAATTGTCGGCCAATGTTCTAGTTTCGTTAGACCAACGTTTGCACCGCAGGTGCCAGATCTGAGATCTGGCGAGTCGTTGAAAGAGCTGCGCCGGAGCCTTTGAAGCTGGACCGGTGGGTGTCCACAGCTCCTGGCAACCTGTGGCTTCAACGGCCAACTCCTTAATTAAGGTCCTTGTTTGAGGGATACCCACAGAAGACACTTCAACATTCTTCTTTGACCAGACCACATACACGACCTGGATGCTTGGCGTCCAAGCCTGGCAAAGATGTGGCCATGGTTCAGAACCAACTCTACCATTTTGGGATAGGTGCACCACCCAATTTGGCCTATTTTTTACGTGGGATTGGGATGTTCACTGGGGGTACGATTTGGGTTTCGACCCCTGGCCATGTTTGCGCAAGCTCTGGTTAAACACACCTTGTTCGCACATTGCAAAGGAGGGTGGCCAAGCACTCAGGGCGTGGAGGCTCCGTATTTCTGCGTCCTGACAAGAGTGTGGGGAATTTCGAGCTTGCCAATTTGCATCGAAGTGGGATTTGTTGGGCTTCAGTTTTCATTTGGTTTCCCTTAAAGGCAGTCCCTGAAAATGATATGTTTCGGAACGGGGGGTTTCCTGGGGCTTCAGCTTTGATGGGATTTCCCCGAAGAAAAAGCCTCGTCGAATCACGCCACGCACATCGCCATGAGCAATTTTCGCTGGCCAAAGGGATCGAAGCAGAGCGACTGGGCTGAGGTTCCTGCCACTGGCAGTCGGCCTTGGAGCTTTTGCGAGGCCGAGTGGGCGTTCGCGCGCGTTCGGGATTCGGGATTCGGGTGTGTGTTCGGAGGTGGCATACGCCTGTGCCGCCCGGTGATTTCCATTTGAGAACGCAAAAATATTTGACGTTGGGACAGTGTGGATCATGAGCTGTTCATGGAGTGGCCGACAAAGGTGGCAGAAGGACAGTCCCTCAGGTGTCCTTTTGGAAGAAAAGGCTGCCTGGAATCTGATCTAAAGCAAGTTGAAACTAGTCAAACCAAACTGAAGTAAAGGGGCACTCATGAACCTTGCCTGCCCATTTCCCTGAAATTCCTTTTGAGAACAAAAGTGCAGCCCCTTTCTTGGGTGCTACTTTTGGGCACCTTTTTGGTCTGTTTGTTTTTGGCCGGGCGGGACAGCCTCATTTGGGGGGCTGCCAGGCACCACCCACGTGGCCGCCTACAATGTGGTGGCGCCGGCCTCGGGCGGCGAGTACCCAGAAGTGGCGCCCGCAAGGCACTCAAAAGGAAGCTTGGTGGTTCCCAGCCATCCGGTTCCTTAGCTTTTCAGATGCTTTTAGGGTTTGGTGGCAGTTTCCATTTAACCCACTAAAAGTTAGTCACTTTTAGCGGGGGATCCGAAAACGGGCAGCCAAAAAGAAGCCTTGGGGCCAAAGGGAAGCCAACCGCAATCCATTTGAACGTATTACTGCACGGCTATCACATGATTTCTCAAGTGATCTCCTTTGGGCGGAGAGATAGGAGGGTGGGGCCGGGGGGGGGGCGGGTTGGACAGTTTTGTCCTCAAAGGGTGTCCTGGGTCCGGCAAATGCTGCTGGAGCTTGAAGGGCATTCTGCTCAATTCCGCCTTGTCCCGAGTCCAACATTGGAGCTACCTGGTTGTCCTTTTAGTCGATTGGTGAGAACAAAACCAACACAACGGCCACTGCACAAGTGAGTAACTTACGTAAGTGATTGCAATCAGGCGTCTTTCTATTGGTTTCAGGCGATATTGATATCTCATCTGTTACCAGTTTGGAATGTTTAAACATATGGCCATACAAGTCGAGAATCCCCCAAAATGGATTGATCCTGCACTTGTGGAGTTCATCTGAGTTGATACTAGGAGGTTGCTGCTTCCTTGGATAGGCTCGACTGATTGTAATGAGGTCTCATTCGATGTGACTTGTTGCAACACGATACACTCATTTTCCGTGCTCAGCAAAGACAGGTACCAGTCTCCTGACGCAGCATTGGACCCGGAGGGGTCGTTTGCATTAGAAGCTGTTGAACTTCTTCCGAGGTACTGGATGGACGAAATCCATTTCGCACCACCCGAGAAACCCTGGAATGAGTCGATTCTCCTGTAAATTCCTACCTGGAGTCTCCATGACCCTTTAAAAATGGGTCAATGAGCCCATTATTTTGGGTGATGACCAATCATTTTTAAGGGTCATGGAGACCCCAGGTACAAGCAATGGTTTCATCCATGGGTTCAAAGTGGCGCGAAATGGATTTCGACCACAGTATCACCTCACATCCTGAGGTTGGATCCCTCTCTCGCCAGCGACTCTGGCGGGAAGCCTTGTCGCTTTTGCCGCCGCCTCGGTGAGCGATTCGTTTCGAGTACGCTTAATTTCAGAGGCGGTTGATTTCCCCAGCCGGAACCCCTGGGTTGCGGTAAACAAATGGGCACCATGGTTTTCGCGCAGAGATTGGCAGTTTCAGTTGGTCCACATTGTTTTCATGCATCCCGAACAGATTCAAGACGGGTTGGCGCACACTCTTTGAATAGCACATTGTTTGCCTGTCACAGCAGGACTTGCCATGCACACTCGTAGATATACACAGTATAATATGTGAACGCAGTTTGTTTGCCGAAGGTTACGGAGGCCTCTTGTTCAAGATGCAGGGCCCTTCTTGCGAGGAGGCTTCTGGGTCCTCAAAAGCAAGCTATTCTGGTGCTGCCCCCAAATCTGGATCTTATCAGCACTACCCTTTGCGACTGCTACATCCTAAGTACGGTCCAAGCAAAATCCAACTGCAAGGGTTGAAGAGGTGATGTGAAGCAGTTGACACTGCCGACAAAAACTGGGCGGGGCTCGGACTCGATTGCCCTTTCTGGGGTGGTTGAAACATCATCGTGATGAGCCATTGATTCTTGCAAACACATGGTTCCAAATACTGTAAAAGGGGCTGGAGTTCAGGTAAATTACGGAAGAACACGCAATTATTGTACCACTCTTCAGGGTCCGGACAAAAGCAATACGTCTAGCAACAAAAATTAGGAAAAACTCATACTGGAGCTAATCTCATTTTGATGTTCATGGTTTCCTGTTAACCCCTGAAAACTGAAAACAGATACCTTCACGGGGCCCGCTCGATTCTAGCCCTCTAGGTCCCCACGGGCAGTCCCTACGTACCCCCCGAAGGCTTGCCCTGAGGGATCAAATCAAGTTCGCCAAGGACCTCGTGAGGGGCTTCCCTCAAAGTGTAGGCTTCCCTTTTGCTCCGAGCGACGGGGGATGGACGAAATCCATTTCGCACCACATTCAACCCATGGTTGAAACCATTGCTTATTGGTATTGAACCCATGGGAAGCCGTTGTTTGTTGGTATTTTCAGGGGCATCGACTCAATCCAGGGTTTCTTGGGTGGTGCGAAATGGATTTCGTCCATCCACAGTGCCAAAAGGATAGCCTTTCGGTCCATCAACCGCTTTTAGCCGTCTTTCAGGCGACACGTGGTGGATCAGGATCTGAGGCGGGCTGACTTTGGGGCCGGAACCCATGGAGTGTTGAACCACATGTGCGTTGAACACTTTGGCATCCGCATGTCACGGGTTTCAAGGTGACAGGTTGCGACCAGATCATCGCGGGCTTGTGTTCTGCTCCCTATCACTCGTGTGCGTTACACCCCTGGCGCCACCTTATCGCACCTAGCTGCATCAGATTCGATCCACGCCTGCCCCTGGCAGTTTCACTGCAAGCCAAGCGTTGTTGATCAAAGGTGGCATCAGGATTTAGTCAAGTACCTTACTTAGTGCATGGTACTCAGCTTCCTGTGGTCACCTCCAGTTGTTTCTTTCATCGATACTGCTTCCGTTCTTCGCCATGTTGTTTCGAGGGGTGGACACATGTGGACACTACCGCCATCGAAGCGTCAAGAGCTTTCTTTGGGTGGAGTGATGTTTCAAGAGGAACTAGGTCCCCCAGTAGTGCGGGTTTACCTTTTTTTTTGGGGGGGGGTTCCCCTACTCAAATAGGCTACAGAAAAAAAGGGTACCTTTATTCTAGCTTCTCTACTGGAGGACTTAGGGAATGCAGGGAACACCACATTTGCTTCGCAAGCCTCCACCGCACAGCATGAGTCGCAGTAGCTTTGGCAGCTCTAAGTTCACAACAGCCATCCGCAGATTCGTCGAGGTGTTGGGTTCGAGATTGAAGTGAAGCCTACGAGAGTCTAGGTGTTTAACAACAGACAGTGGCTACGCAAGCTATCAACCTCTAACGTGTTGGATTCCATGACCGGCTAATATAATTTGCATTCTGGGTCCTCCATCTCCGGGTTATATATTTCTTTGTTGTTCCGTTCTCCAGGTTATTTCTAGGAGACCCTCTGAAAACTAGGAGATTTAGGTGTTTCAAATGCATGAATCAAAAAGCAGAAATTGGTTGCAAAAAGCAGGAGTGAACAATTCAAAACTAGGAGTGGTTCTTGGGCGAAAAAGTTGGAACCAGTCTTCTTGTCTTTTTCGTAAACTCCACCACTCTTGGAACCACGCAATCTGCGCAACCTCCACCTTTTCTTGATTTGCGGGTTTTTGCGGTAGTTTGCCGGCTTTTTGCGTTCATTTTTATGTTTTTGCGCTGAGTCGCTTTCCGGTTTCGCCGATTTGCGGCCCAAAGGCGCATTTTCTCTGAATAATTTGAATGACGGATTTCGTTTCATGTGAACGATTCTGATTCAACATATTCCTGAATCGGAGGGCTCCTTCGGGCAAATGACGGGGTTTGCGACTCTAGGGGTTTGCGACTCTAGGGTGTGCGAACCAGTGCCAATCAATTTCTAGGAGTTTTACCTCAAAAGCCAGGAGATTGAAAACTCAGTGTTTTTTCACTGAGACCCTTAAAACAACTTTACGTCAAATGTCCATGATTTGGGAGATCCCGGCTAAGTTTTTGTTGGGCAAGAACCGCCTGTGTACGCCTGGGTGAGCACGCAGGCCGAATGTCGCCAGCTATGCGTCAGCGCTGAGCGGGCTGAGGGCGGCACCTTCAGGGGAGGCCTCAAGGGGTAGGGCCAGTTGAGTCCGTTAAGCCCCGTGTTTCCGACAACTTGCAAACAAAGTACACCTGTCGGATTTTCCATGGCGGCAAGCTAAACCTGAGTCTGCTGATGGCAACAGGCGAAAACTTTGCCCAAAGGTCAGATCCATTCTGAGGCGGTCGCATGGATATTCCGAATGTGTGAAAGAAGGCCATCAGCAATCCCACCAATGAGCTGCACCGGGTGCGCTTCAAGTTCAGTAACACTCAAGGACCCGCCCAAAACATGTCCACATGCCTCGGAATGCGCAGGCACCTTGCATTTAGAATGGCAAGACCTAGAGGTAACGAACCCAAACGGTTGCCCATAGGTGGCTTGCCTTGCACTAAGAAAGTAAACAGTTCGAGGGGTTCTTAACATAAATGACTGTTCCAGGTTGTTTCTCTTTGAACCATTTGAACATGAACAGCGTCGCTCGGTGCTGAATTGCCACTTGTTCAATTGTCCCAGAAGGAAGCCAAAAGGGGATGTCCCTGTTTGACACCTGGCCTGTTTATGCGGCTGACAGGCAACATTCACGGCCTTCGGAGCCGAGTTACTTGCCGACGGAGTTGCCTATGTGTCCGGTTTCAACATCTCCACCAAAAGGAAGCTCACTTTTGAAATTGGCAACAAACTCTAGATGGTTCAAACTCAGCAGCAGGGTAATACAGTGAACTCTAAGCCTCGACCAAATTCCCATATCACTTTCAGGCACAATGAACTGTTCAGTAGTACTGTTGGGCGGGTGTGATCAGTGAGGAGTGCACGGGTGCGTCGGCGTGGATGCGTGTTAGTTTTTGCAATTCTATGCTAGAAACCCCGAGAAGGGCACCCTTGACCACAAAACCACACAGACACACACAAGCGGGAAAGCAAAAAACACCAAACAAACATTAATACACACACACCAAAACACAAACACAAAGACACATGAAAGGAACGCCAAATGGACGCCATATTAAGACACACCCATACTGTGGTTTTTTCAACGGGCACCCCGCAGCATGGTTGGGTGACCAAAGCCCCCAGGCTCTAATTGATACTTTTGCGGCACTTGGGGGGGGGGGGCCTGCTATTGACAAGGGTGTTTAGCATTCAGGGCCCTGAAACTAGGTGTCATTGTCTTTTTTCTGTTGGAGGATGGGCGACGGGTACGTTCCATGGACAAATCGAAGTCGTTTTGCAGCACCAAGCCCTGGACCCCAATATCCTAAAGAAGGCGGTTGCACAGTAAACCCCATGAGTCCTCCATACGGGACAGCGGGGTACTGCCCTATGTGCTGCCATTTGCCTCATCATATTTTGTATTGTCCCTTGTTGGTTTTAAAGGGAATCTATCACTGGAAGTATCTTTGTTTTTCCTTTGCTCTTGTTGGTTTTGAAGCGAATCTATCACTGGAAGTAGCTTTTATTTTCCAGTCGGCGAACACGCAAACGTGTGAGCCACAAGTTGCAAGCCAGGCGCTTTGTGCAGAGCTGCTGAAGGAGATGCGGCGCAGGCTGTGAAGCCCGGCGAGGGCGATCGCTTCGTGGAGAATGGGGCCGGGCCACATTCTCACCTGGTGTCTAGCGAAGGACATCCTTCCAAAATGGTCAAGTAATCATTCTGAGCTAGGTCAGCCATGTTATCCTGTGCATAATTAAGAACCATCTCCCATAGGACATCAATAGGAAAGCAGCCAGTGAAAGCAAGATGCACAGGTGAAGGCTCTTCGGGTGACAAACTACTAGAAGGATGTTTGGACTACCAAAGTCCTTCCTTTTCTGACATGTCTTGATTAACTTCTAGCCATGGTTGTCAGAAGGCGAGAATATCCTTCATTTCAGGTCATGCGGACAGCCGAAAGTAGAACCCGCAAATGAACGTCTCAATCACCGTAAGTTGAGGCATCCGCGCGTGCAATGTCAAATGGTATGTGTATCTTGCTTAAAGACGCTAGATGGGTTTCGCCTGCTACTCAGCTGGTTCTGCCCTTTCTGCTCCTGAACATATTCCACAGCTCCATTTTGACCTCCCTTCCGAGATTTGTCGGTTGATATTTGGCCCGAGTACCCGCCAGCAAACACGGATGTGCATTCGGTTGGTATTTGACCCAAGGAAAGCGGTCGCGGCTGGTCGGGAGTTCCAGGCAACTGCGGCCCAACTTGGTGGCCCTGGACTCGGAGTGTCGGGTGCAAAGCCAGGTTGCTCTGCCGGTGAGATGTGCGATAATGATTATTAAAGGGAAACCAGAAGGACAACCACCTTTTTTAGGGTCCTCGTATTTTGGGACATATCTATTTTTTATTCACACGTATAGAAAGATACATGTTCAAGAAGGGCGTAGTTACCCCTGATATGCGTCAGTAAGGTGGGAATCGTCCGCTCCCTTTGCTCGTAGTGCTTGGAATCCTAAAAAGTCAAAACCTGTTGCCGTGACCGTTTTGGTGCCGTTGCGGGTGCAAGGGATATATGTGGAGGAGGCTTTACGCAACACGTTTTCCGGCTGGGGATGATGATTTAGACCAAGGAAGTTGCGATATGAGGCCTTGCCAGTTGACAGTGGTGGGTCTTTTGGTCCCTGAATAGCCTTTGAGCCTTGAACCCTCAGCTGGTTGGTTGAAAAAGGATGCGTTCGCCGTGAAATTGGTTCGCCCAGTTGCCCAGTAATGCCCTCTTTTCCCCTTTTTTTGGGGAAGGGTTCCCTTTAAACTCAACCAACCAACAAAAGGATGTCCTTTTTTTTTCCCCTGGCCACTGGGCATCTGAGTTAGTCAACGGGCAATAGCCACCCAGCTGGATCTTTCGGGACGCGGGACTCGGGAGCGTACGCCTTACCAGCTCAGGGGTCTGGGACAGACGGTGAATTCTGGAGAACCATATTCAAGGGGTAACGTTACAGGAAAATCTACAGGACATGGCCCCAAAACACCGAATAGGCTGTTTTCCTGTAGAATTTCCTGTAACCAGGGCGCCGAGTCCAGCCAAGTCTGCGCCCAGGCAGCAAGCTCCAGCTCGGGAGCAACCCTTTGAAATATGCGAGGCTTATGTTTGATTTGTGCGTCGTTTGTTGACAGTTGAAGCGAGCGACGGGATTCTGAACAAACTACAACAAGCTCTCCAATCGTTCGCTTCTGACATAGGCGCTAGAGATATGGATGGAATTTGTTTCAGGAGTGTTCAGGACTGCAAACTGGTTCCCGTCGACGCGGGAACCTCGCAAATTGAGAAGAGAATCACATTGGAATGATTCAATGGAACGCCATTGGGTTTCGGCTGGAAGTAGACGTCAACTTGTCCGGGGGGGGGGGTCAATTGGGTTTCGACTGGAAGACTTCCACTTTTCTGCGGGCTCAGCCATGTACCCATAGGTGTTCTTTTTTGTTTTTTTCTTCGCAAAATAATCGATGGCCCTTGTTTACCAGGTGATTTACTCATCTACCAGGGCCATCTATTCCCCCCAACAGGACACCTAGCATGTACCGCTCTTTTTTGAGCGACCGAGCGGACACGTCTGCAGCGCGGCGAAGGTCTACAGCGCAGCGATCAACGTGGCCGGCGTCCGCGGCTGAGAATGAATCCATCCGAGCTCCAGCCTCTTTCGGTGGGTTCCACCCTCTTTCGGGTTCGGTTCATTGGAAGATGGGGGGTTTCTCAGCCCGTTGGATCGAATACCGCGCAGCCCCTTTTACAGACAAGGCAGTGGAAAACAAGCTGCCTGCAAGCCCACAAGGATGGAAACCTAAAGTGGAAACCTAAGGGAAAACCACCTACCTGGAGGGGTGCACAACATTTTGAGAACACCCATATGTTAAACCAGTCGATCAGCGGCACCATTGATGTGTTGCTTCCCTTTTTTGTTGGGTAGGCTTACCTCTAAAAATTGTCAATCCCAGACAGGGTTCCATGTTTCTACCAGGGTCATTGGGCAACCGGGAGAGGCTGTAAGCTGAGAGGCTGAGAGGCTGAGACAACTTGCCTTCAGTGTTGTTGGGGTCCTTTGATTCCCTTGCCAGGATTCTGGACTTCATACCTTGGGCAAGCTCATACCAATGCGAAGCATCAAACTGGAAGTACGCCGTTGATCTTCCGAGTGGCTTCCCGTCAAAGGAAACCAGGCAGGTGCCCAGCTCGGTGATGCCACTGAAAGACCTTTTTAAATGATTAATTCTTCACTTAAAGCGGGGAGGCTTCTTGGTACTGTTGACAGAGGTGTTACCCCAAAAATAAAAGGATCTCCTTTCAAAGTGCACAGACCACTACAAATAGCGCTTTCCAAAACATCATCCAAAGGTTTGACTACTCCTGGGTTCCCATCTCAGTTTCCCTCCAAATGGGGCACCCACAACACGTTGGATTTTCCTTTGCTCTCCCTTTTTCTTGAGTCCCAAAGAATACCTTCCACCTTGACTGCTATTGCGTTGGATCTTTAGACTTTAACTTTTTGGGGAATAAAGGTGTTTTCCGCTAAACCCACAAAAAGTTATGCTTTTTGAAGTTTTGCAGGGGGTCTTCTATTGCAACCAAGCAATGGAAAGACATCTAGCTCATCCCTGAGGCCAGTGGGGCCTGGCAACAGGCGCTGGCCTACCACTCAGAAGTGGAGGCAGTTGCGCCGAAACGGGGTCTCCGTGGGTTTCTACTGCGTGGGTGGGCAGCCACGTGACATCCTGAGCAGCCAGCTCAAAATGGGGAGGGACACCTCGAAAGGACCTCCATGTTTCCCGTTTAAGTGAGCCGCGAACAAGCGCCCTAAGCTAAACTCAGGGGTGGGAGGTGAGTAGGGAAGCCAGAGAATGATAGTTCCTCCCCTTGTTTAACAAAAACAATTTCAATACATGCTAAGTGAGCCATGGTTAGAGCTCTGCCCTCAAAGGTTGTTTGTGTTTTGATTAGAAGGAAGAGGCGAACTCCGGCATTGCGCAGAACGTTTCCACTGCCCACACATCTTGCACCATGAGCTTGCATTTGCGAATGCGATGTTCAGTTGTTTGTTTTGCCTTAGCAGGACATGGTGAGCCTGCCACTTTGAGAAGTATCCGAAGAGAAAAGAAGTTAAATCGCCGGGTTGCTTGAGGAGGTTATTGGCCAAAAACCCTCGAGCAGGGGGTTTAGACCAATATTGCCATTGAAGGGAAACGATGACCATGGCCCGCATGCTGGGAGTTGTTGGTCCTTGGATAGAGCATCCCTCTCTTGTGGTATTCCTTCCATTGCAACTTATTGCAACACCGCAATCTGGCATTTCTATGAAAACGAACTTACTAAGCTACCGGGTTTCGTGCATGGTTTCGTGAACCTTGTCCCCCAAACAAGGTCCGTTTGCCACAGAGGCAACTAGGATTTCAGTTTGTGTTGAGTAATGTTGGCCGATTGATAGGGGAGGTGTTGCCCCCCCCCCCGCACCCAACCAGGTATTCAGGTTCCCTTTAGAATGATTTGCACCCTCTTTCGACTGGGCTGTTCAACGGGAATCCTCAATCCTTACCTTCGGTTAGGCACCGGTCCCTGTTGTGGCTTCACCTATGGGGACTACGGATCCGGATTGGCCAACCCTCGATTTCGAACAGCCCAGTTTGATCAAGCATGGTGAACAAATCGCACCTGGGTTTTCTTTAGCCAAGCAGTCGAAACTGCCTGACAAATGAACCATGTTGATCCTCAGTTCCCATTCCGCAAAGGCTGAATCTGAGTTTGTCAGTCCTGAGTTTCCAAAACTGGATTGATCCCTAAACACCTCCGAACTATTCATCAGGCTGAAGTCTGCTGATTTCGAGCCAGCCAGACGCGGAAGCTGAAGAAAGACTTGGTCCTACTGAGTACAAGGCTCGGCAGGGTTCCACGTGTGCCGGGCCCCTTTGCTCTAACATACTAACATGTATTGGACAAGGTTTACCTACATGAGCGAGAAAAGAAAGCGGCAGAGACATGTATGCAGTTGTATATAGCATATATTGCAAAAACATACTTGTTTACTTCTGAATGACCAGTGGCAAGTAAGATTGGGAAACCCACAATGATGTTCGTACAGTTCCAACCAGTTTCTGGCTGTACTTAATGTACTGGTTGGGAATTTGATGTTGGCGGAAATCAACAAGCTCTTGTTGTCTGCTTGTTTAAGCTTATCCCAATCAGGAAGTGAGTTACGGCATTTCGTGACACGCGTGTTGCGCGTATGTACCAATGCAGTTTGCCAAACACACCTGCGTCGTCAAGCATCCCAGAATGCGTGTGCAAAATGAGTTGTTGTGCAAGAATTGACACGCATGCATCCAATATTGTTTGTCACTTGGCGGGTAGGAAGACGCGCGGACTTGGTTTTCAAGAGCAATGTGGCTATACACTTAGATGGGGACGCAGCAAAATTATTGATGAGCATCAATCCTCAGGCAAATGATGTCTAGGTAAACGATGTCCACCAAAGGTTGCCAACTCCTACCCATGCTAGTTATCTCATTCCAGGCACACTTGTACACCATGAGTGGTGTGCCGACCTGAAATTTTGAGCATAGCCTACGCCATGTTCACTGGCGCCACTTTGCGCTTCAAGAAGCCGAAGCCATCTGAAGACTTGAGCAAATTGTCTAAAGCTCCCACCTCAAAAGCACCCCTTGGGGTGCCAAATCCCAACCGACCCGCACTGAGGTTCGACCATGACGGCCTGTACCAAGGGCTTGTCCTGGGGCAAAGCCTTGGAGCCACTTGGAAACCGAAGAGAGAGCGGTTCGTGCGGGGTTTTTGGCTGGGTTTTGTTTTGTTGTTCAGAGGAGTTCGTTTTCGAATCGCATGTGGCGCAGATTGATCCTCTTAGCCGTTCAGAAGAAGATGTTTTAAATTTCTAGCGGAACTTCCACCCATCATGGTTTCATCCTGTGCCGTCTACTTTCACCCTAGTGGGTGAGGCAAAAGCTGCGGCACTTGGAATGCGTTGCCATGGAGCCTGACTTGAGATGCCTGCACCAGTTTCCTAGCAGAAGGTTCGAGCGGGTATCGTTTTCAGTGGCGAAAACCTTATTGGAGTCTGGTTGCAGAGCCATATTTGAGAGGACTCCCTATGTGCTTCCTTCGGGTGGTTTTAAGCATCGGCTTTTGGGCCAATTCAAAGTGAGTTTCCTTTTGGGTGGGGTGATGTTCCAAGGGGAAATATGGGGCACCTTGTTTCAGAGGCTCAGACGTGGGGAGAAGGGGAAGCTTCTGCAGACGCAAAACAAATCCCGTCGTGGGAGTTTGCCGTCGGATTGGTCAGCATGTGAAGTAGTTCGTAGGCAGAGCCAGCTTGGAAGGGTATGCCTTCGGCAAGAAATGAATTCTGTCTGCGTTCTCGGGGCAGTGGCGCAGTTCCTGGCAAGGAGAGCGTGAAGTGTGCTAGGGTAGCGTACACGCTGTTTTTTTGGGTTGCTGAAAGGCTTGCAAAGTTTGGCAAGTTCCTAGTACGCGTGGAGTGGCCGATAGCTTCCATGTCCCAGAGAAAGCTTAATTTGGACACGGTTGCAACAACAGCTCATGTTTGGCTGACGCTTCAAGCAAGTGGACGGTTCGGTCAGGGTGCCCCTACATAGCCATCCGATTCAGCTTATCCATTAGGAGGGATGTTCTGTTCAAAGGGCCACGTATTGAACGAGGATTAAACCGAGGCCCCCAAGAAGTCTAATGTTGACCCCGGATTAACAAACCCCTTTAAATGAATATGGGGGTGTTGTTGGGTTTAGTTGTAATTCAGACGACTTTTGGAGGGGGACACCCCCACCCCCATAGCAGGGGTTTATTTGCCAGTTGTGGTTCCCATCTTAGCCATCCCCTTAGCCTTTTAGCTTTATATTGTTTGGTGCTGGCTTTCCAGGCTGGGGTTGCTTTCTGTAGTCACGTGGGGTTTCCTGAGCCTGTTGTGCGTGCGTGTGCCCAGCGTCTGAATGAGGCTCTACCACCGTGAGCTGCATCCCAACACCGCCCGGCTCTCAGAAATCGCAGCGTCAGCGTGGCCTTCGTCCCCAAGTCCCGAAAATCCAGTTCCAACCAGAAGGGTTTCGAACAGCCTTGGAGCCAGCCGTACGCTTTTTTCCCATGCTCAACCCGCTGACCAAACATCCAGCTTCCGGAGATCAAGATGCAAGTAGCAAGGCTTTGTTTGGGTGGGGGGGGCTGGGTGAACATCATGCGTGTTCCATTTGCTGAAGGTATTGATTGCTCTTTTCCTGGTTGGTAAGTTTAGATGGATATGGCTACTACTGGTTTAATGGTCTTCCAACAGGCCCTCAAGTGTCAAGCTGCATTTATTCATAGGTGGATACCGCATAGTCGTATATTAGTCCGAGCTTCGGCAAGCACAGGCTTGCATCTTCCCCCTCCATCCCCCTCCCCATCGGTAATGGGACATGAACTGCGGCACCCTCAGATAGATCATCACTGGTGGATTGTGTTTGCGAGCAGCTTCTCATATGGCTTCAAAACAAATCCTGTTTTCGACCGAGTCTAAAATGAGTTTGCACGAGTGCTGTTCCAAGAAATGTAGGAACCTCTGGTCCCTGCTGTGTGAGGTGTGTCGGGGACCAAATCGGGTAACCCGAGGCCACCAGCAATGCTGCGCTCAGTGCCTGTGCAGCTGGCGGCCACTGGCAGGCCAGACACGGACCAAAACCGGAGGAAGGACTGCTGCGTTGGCGACATGCGAAGACCTACCCTTTCTCCATGGCATTTGTGGGAGGGCGCCTGGAAGATCCGTTTTTTTTTTGGAGGGACCGCCTGTCAGGTGCCATGTTAGTGGGAGAGAGGGTATCGCTTTCTGCCAGACATGGTCGTTCAATCCCTAGTAGGGAGTTTGGACAGCCATTTGTAAAACGGTCTTCTTGTACGGGACGCGTGCTGATGATTTTTGCGGACACTTGAAGTGCTTGGCATGGGATTTCAAGCATTCGGCAAGGGTGGTGCTTGTTCTGGATGTTGGGTGAACATTTGATACCTGGTCGTCCCCTTTGCCTAGTCGTAAGTCATACAGGCATACCTCAAAGTCAGAGGAGGGCCTGAAAGGGACACAAATATGGGTCGATCACGTTGAGGACCATTTCGGGCCAATGCTACGCAGGAAGTAGGGAAGGCTGTCCGCTTGGACCCGCTACCTTGAGAAAGCGCAATCTTTGCAATGTCTCATTGCAAATGGGCCAGGGTTGCGTCCAACATGTTAATGTTGACCCCATATTAATCAACCCCTGTTTATTTTTAGGGGAAGGACATTCCTCGGTTTAGTGGGCAATAATTACTGTTGGAGGGGAACACCCCCTATTGATTAACATGAGGTCAACATTTCTCATGCTGATCCATGTGCTGGGGAGTCTAAGTAGATGGCAGAAGCTATGCTTATGCTGTGACGCCGAAGCCTTCTCGAAGGCGTTTTTGTTTGAAGCAGTGTTCCACTGAGACAGCTGGGCATTGCATTGTTTCCAGCAGGGTTCTTTGAAGCCAACTGGCAGGCCGCTGGAAGGGCAAGCACTATGTACAGATCGGGGGTCGGCATCCTCGAGATCCGGACGCACGTGTGGTGTTCGCTGGCCGCTCTTGAGACCGACCACGCTACGACCAATCCGTGAAGGCAACACGGAGGACGAGGTCCTGATTCAGGGCCGAAGGTTGGGGGGTTCACACTAAGAAAGTGGGCGGAAAGTTGAGAGGCGAATTCGGGAGGGCATTTGTTCCCTCCAAAAAGGTCCAGCTCAAGGGCCGACAAGGCTTAGACATGCGGTAGTCAAGTGTTATTCAATTTGTCATTAAGGTTTGCTTCCACTATGGCGTTCTGACCACTTCAGGGATATTTGCTCTGCAGATATTAAACACGCATCCATAACCTGTTACACTGCTACGACATGCTTGAAGAACTCACGGATGGATCGTTGTGGGGCTTCTTTTTGGCATAGGCAAACCACACGCTGCTGCGTGGTATGTGTGAGATTCTTGCAGCACCCCTTTTTGGCTGACAGGGCGTCATTTGGCTTCGTGAAACAGTAGGGAAGCCTGCAAACTGACGTCTGGAACGGGATACCAATTTCACGTCAGCATTCAGAACGGTCCAGTAGTCTAGTATTTCTTTTTGCCATTCATTTGGGATGATCAATACCCCAGAAGTGATAACTTTCTACAGGACACCAAGGTTTGGGAAGGGGAAGTCTTGAAGTTTGTCAGAACCCTTTTGTAGCGCGGTCAGTTTTGATGGGACGTTTGTAACTTGTGTCCAGCGCCTCCGCAAAGCGCCAGGGCGCTCTGCACATTTTGTCCACCATGGACCGGGATGAAATCTCGTGCGCCCGGTGGTTTGTGGTGTCCACTTCGCCCAGTTGCTTGAGTCTGGAGAACGAGCTAGGAATAGAACGTGGTGTAGTGGTGCCATGTCTGCCCGACTTGTACGGGCCCAAACCTTATGCGCTAGTACGCTAGATCTAGAATCTACAAGTCGCAAGGCTGCTCGATGGCTTTCTGGGGGAAAGGTCGATTTTCGCCAGCAAACTAAACTAGGGCTTGCCCATAGCCAGTGTCACTGTTTTCGCTTCACAGCTATCAAGAAGTTGTGTCGCCGACCGACCGAGGCGAAGTAAATTTCCAGGCAGTCCAGCGGCCAAGCAGAGCAAGCCATCCGCCAGCCCAGAGCCAAGCAAGCAGCGAAGGAACTGCGCAAGCAAGCAAGACATCAAGCAAGGCGGGCAAGCAAGCAAGCAAGCTAGCTAGGCAAGCCGTCACACCCAGCTTTGCTTTGGAAAAGCCAGGTACGTGGCGGCCATTAGCCAGGCTCTCAGCTTCCTGAAGTTCGCAGGAGAGACGGCCACCAGCTCACTCCGGGGGCAACCCAGGATGAAAGTGGCTTACAGCCAGTGGTTTGGCGCCACAGGGTGACGGCCAACAGAGACGATTGTTGCTAATGATAGGGGCAAACCAGATGTCCAATGGCACTTCATCATGTTTTTCTGTGGAGGGTTTCCTCGTCAACTGCACCACGCACAAAAGGCGGCCTTTTTTCCTGATAGGGTCGCCTTGGGCGAGAGGCAGGATTGGGCCAGCTTTCACACTCTTTTTATGGCACACCCAACGCATGCTTTTTAAACAATAGTTGCTCAAACATGTTTCGTTGTTAAACCCAAAGTGTGTTGTTTCAACAAAATAAGTTGCTCAAACATGTATGTTTTACAAGGGGCAGGCCCAGTAAATTTCGACAATTCTAGGGGTACCTTCCAACCATTCTTTCCAGGGATCCGAATCTTTCTAGAAAACCTCCGGAAACCCAGGGAAAACGGATCCGGTTTTTGGAAAGAACGATGGTTGAACAGAATGGGGATTGAGCCCCTAGAATTGTGGGAGCTCCACACATGTTGAAAGAAGGGATTTTGGGGGCCCCCCAAAATGTCGATTTTCGGGGACCCCACAAAACTGGTTCAGATCCCCAGAATGCGAAGGGCTACTGCACTTTCAGCTGAGGCGCCTGCCGTGCGAGCCGGCAGTGGCAGGTGGCTTTGTGCCTTCTCTCAGGCGGGTTTTTGGGCTTTGGGAAGCAGGAGAGGGGAACTGGGGGAGACGGGATATGTGGGTGTGTCTCTTTGGGACGGCCTTGTTGGCATGTGTCTCAAAGGGCAACCAATCAATTTGGAACCCAATTTAAAATCAGTTGCAGAGGAAGATCCTGTTTGGGGAGTGATTCCGTCGTTTTTCCGGACCTCATTTTGGGAGCTTCCGGGCAGTTTTCAAAGGAGGTGGCAGTAGAGGCTGTGAGGCTGTCCTTGTAAGACTGTTTATCGGAAAGATAATTGGATTTAAGCTAAAAGCAATCACTTTTCCTTGTCAATGCCGATCTTTGCGACCACAGGCAAAAGGACTTCCCTCACGGCAAGCAATGTTTACACCTGGTGGATTGCCTGGGGGCGTATTCCCCAAAACGAGATCAAGGCCATCTCCAGGTCCTCTCTAAATTGGGTTGCCCCAACCAGGAATTTCGATCCTGAGTGCCCATTAAAGCCGACATTTTAATGAATGGTGTTCTATGCTTGGCCCACTTACCAAAATTACTGCAGAGGGACGTTCTCCTGGTTCATAGCCGAAAGGTCGCATTGCCTAAAGGATACGCACCCTTTTCAGCCAGCGGTCACCACGGAAGCCACAAAACTAGGGGTGTCCCCTAGTTTCACACTGGCCACATGGAGCCTCGAATGTGGATCCGCTGGGTTTTTAGATGTATGTGTCTAGCTGTATGTTTTCCTCCACAGATCCTTCTTGCCAGCAAATGACCAAATGCTCAAAAGAACGAGTGAACAAAACCTTTGGAATCTTTTGGCCTTCATTCCTTAATTTGTTTGAGCTATATTTTGAAACTGTTCGATGTTCAATCCCGGTCTAAGAACGCACTAACTCCATGTAATATGTTTTTTTTTGGAGGGTGCCCCATGTTTGTGTTGCTTTCGCCAGACAGAAGAAGACGGATTCCTTAGACTGTCATCTCAAAAAGGGCCCTTGTCTACTTCCATGACTGGGCGAATACATTCTGCGAAGAAAGAAGCAGGATGACCTCTTGGGGGTGGTTCTCCGAGTCGCCTCAGATCGCTATCTTCGGATTCCCCTTTGGGCCAATCGCTTCCAGGCGCTCGGAGCGTGGTCAGCTTCAGCGCTGCTGTGGCCGTCTTGGAGGCGAAGGGTTTTCCGGTCGGTCCAAAAACCGTCATGGGGTGGGTTTGGTTTTCCGGCTTCTTTGTTGTTGTTTGTTGCTTTTCCGGTAACAGGTCTTTGGTGACGTTGCTTTAGAGGCCGTGAACGTCCCTTCGTCGTTATGTCATAACTAGAGTTCTTTAGATTGCTTTAGATTGGAGGGGTGTGATGGTGTGATGGCAAGCCCGGGTTACCACCCGATGACTGCTTTTGGAGCAATATTCCAAAATCCAAGTATTGTTCAAAACGAGCATTTGGTTTGGGTCGAACATGGGAATAAAGGGAGTCGTTAGGTACTTTTAATCGAAGCTAACTACGGGGACATGTCTACGTAGCCAGTCAGACGCGTCGTATTTTGTACTGTGGTTGTGGTTGCCAGCGTTTTCTACCCAGGTGAGCTCTGGAGAGATCTGGATTTGGAGCGAGTAGGAGTGGAGATCGGCCACAAAACAGAAGGGTTGGCCTTTGATACAACATCTTCAGCCCCGTTTTGGCGAAATGTTGCTCTTGCAAGTGAACCTTTCTGCTTATTTACGGGGGGTTGCGACTCAGGGATTTAAATTTATGTTGAAGCCACTAGCTACGAAGGTGAGGCCCTTTGAAGGCGTGCTGGAACCCCACGTCATCCCCATCTCGTCATGCTTCCTTCCTTGTTGTCGCAACCATGGAATGCGACAAGAGATCAGAACACTGCGGGCATCCCCTGCCTGTCTGATTCCACAAGCAACCCACCGTACGTGTTTCTGCTGGGTGGACTGACGCTTGGCGTTGCAGAAGCACGCTCATGACACGGTGGTGACACTAGGTTGGCAGGTTGATCAAGATTAATCCTGAATCCTGCCAGACGGCAGTGGTTCGTTTGTAGTCGTGCGCCACTGCTACATTTCCCCAGAACAAAACGACCATGTACACCACTGCATGCTATTTTTGTTTCTCCTAGTTTCCCTTGGTTGGTTAAATTCAAAGGACATTCATGTCAACCAAACGTGCCTATGAAGTTGGATAAGGAACCACCTCCAAAGCGGTTGGTGGTTCCCTATCCCCACCGAAATGATGTCCACCAAAGGGTCCCCAAGTAAGATTCATACCCATACTGTGGATGGACGAAATCCCGCACCAGTTGGTAAGTGGTTTATCGCATTACTTCTAGGGTTTTGTCTATCCCAAGTGGTGCAGGATTTTGTGCATCCACAGTATGGCCACCCATATGGCCATGGGTCAAAATCCAAATCGTACCCCCCCCCCCACTAAAATAGGTTCTAAAATAGGATGGTGCATTCACCTACCAACCAAAATGGGATCAACCAAAACGGTTTTGACAACCACAGCATGGCCTACATGAGTTACAGAACCCATGCACTCAGCTGCCTTCAGGCGGAGGGTCGGTGGCGCGAAGCTCTTGCGCTGCTGGAAGTCATGTGCAGGCCAGGGGGTGTTTTCCAAAGCGAAGTGATCTTTCAGCGTTTAGGGGCTTCCTTGTCCAGGTGCCCAAAGGTGAACCCTTTGTTTGCTTTTTCTGGGTTTCCTGGGTTTGGCGAAAAATGTTTCAAAACATCTAACTCCTTGGTCATTTGTGAAGGGATATCAAGGTGTGAAAAGCAAGGCATGGCTTATCATGCAACGGGGGCTTACCTGAAGCAGTCATGGTGGCGGACAAGTCAAGGCTCCGATCACTTGGCCACGCTCCCTTGAAATTTGCCTTGGATCTTGTTGGTTTTACATATTACTCTTTCTCAAAATTGGGGACCCATCCAGGTAGGTGGTTTCCTTTTGGTTTCCCTTTAGAACCATCCAAAAAGGGGTCACACATGTTGAGAAACCCACATATGCCCCGTACTGTTCCAACATGTTGCAGTATTTGTTCCCTTTGTCCGGGCGATCCTGCCGTCTGACTGACCAGCCTCCCTCGGCCGACTACTCTGTGGCTGGACTTTGTGCAGCTCGAGGGGCTGCACAGCGAGCTGGGCAGGAAATCACGGCAACCTTTGCGAGACGCAGCCGGAAGTTTTGACCACTTGACAGGCCAAAGACGCAGCCGGGGCAGTAAATCACGTTGAAGTCTTGCAGCTTTGGCCACTTCAACGTGGCCTTGGAGCTGGTCTTGGGGCTTGTTCGGCAGCGGTTGGCGCAGAGAAGGCACAAGGCAACTCCTTGCTTCTGACATGGGAGACGGGTCTCGGTTGCATTCGGCTGCGCGTGGCTGCGGCGTAGGGTGAGCCATCAGTCAGGACGCGTCATTGTGAGAAGATGGGCCTGCAAGAAATGAGCCCAGACCCTTGGCCCTGATTGCGGGATTTGTAATGGAATCCCTTGAAAGTGACAAAGTACGTAGTCATGGGGACAGCCCAGTCACACAAAGGATCATGTCATGGCATTTGCCTTCAGGGGGGGCATTTCCAGCCATACTGTAAATAGAAGCCGCTTCAGGACTCTTGTATATTGCGTTTTTATTGTTTTGGGGCCTTTGTTCTCAGCTTTCCCTTTAGTTGTCCAATGCAAATCAGGCTGTTCACCTTTTGGTGCTCCCGTTCTGGTCGAGTTGTAGCCAGGGCTTCAACCTCCTTAAGCTATGTATCATATTAAGAACACACAAGTGCGACTTTCTTCATTTGCAACAGCGCATGCTCCATGCTTCCCATTTTTGTTCGGCTTTCCATGTTCACAAGAAAGACACTAGCAACACAAAGGGTATCCTTTTCCCCGTGACAAGAGGGCAAGAACGCCCGGCTGGGAAGGACTGGACCGGCACCCAACCTGGTGAGCTACAATGCAGCGATCAGTGCCTGTGGCAAGGCGCGGAGGTTTCGCATCGTTTCTTCGGGGCGGCTGGAGATTTGGACAAGTTAGAGGGAGCTCGCTTAGGGCAAAATGAGCTCACCCATGGCGGTGCGTTAGATGTTGTGTCTTTGTTCCCGGTATGGAAATCACTATTCACAGGCTGATTGAGATTTGTTGTTTGTTTGTGTAAACAAAACAAGTTGAGCGCCAACGCCAAAGCTTTCATGCATTGTGCATTTTTGCTTGGGGAATGTCGTATGGTGGACCCTATGTTTGGCCTTGGGCGGGCAATCAGACGCTTGGCTTTGGCAGGAGACCCAAAAGGAACACGGTTTGTTGGGTGTTCCCTTGATCATGTCGCGTAGGCACCCCTTTTTGGGTGGTTGAAATGTTGTCTTTGGCAGGGCCAAGTTCACGAGGTGATGATTGAAGCTGAAAGGTTTGGTCCAGGGTTTTCGCTCTGACCATTTTCTTTCGATGGCACTCTTTAGGGTGGGCCTCTTGAGATTTCAACTGCAAAGGAGGCCAATTGGTGAACCCTGACCCGAAAAGCGTTTGATCGTGAGATCGTTCAGTTTGAGCGGCTCCGCATGTCCCGAACCGTTTACTTTTCCAGCTGCACAGAAGGGACCCACCTTTGGGCAACCCTCTTGAACATCATGTTTGCCTATTGTGAGAGCAGGCATGGGCCAGTTAGCTTAGTACTTGCTGAGCGACGAGGTCAGGTTGTGCCAAGATGTTAGGAAGCCAAGGAGCTTGGGGGACATTAACCCACCACGTCGCGCGACCTTTTCTCATGGCGGGGTAGCAAGCCGCCTTGCTTCGGTCCGGTTTTTTGGTTTTCCAGGGGAGGTCCAGGGTCTCCAGTATCGAGTCCTGTGACCTGTCTAGATCTTGTCTGCCGGATACAAAAGATCAGCTGCATGAGACAACTAGGCCGAGCCTGGGCATGTGTCTTCTGCCAGCATGCCAGCTGGGCGCTTGGCAGCCGAGATCAGGTCTCTTGGTGGCCTAGGCCTTGAGCTATACACAAGGAGTTGTCATGTGAGAGCGGCCTAGGAACACCTCCCAGGAGTCCAGCCAGATGTGGGTGGGGGCTGTGTAGGGTATGATTTGGATGACAAAATGGAAGCCAAGATTGAACTGCATGCGGTTCATGTTGCTTTCTGGGTTAAGCCGGTGAACTAACAAGGTAAATGGGATGGAGCCATTGAGGCCCCAGCATACTAGGCTCAATTTGGCTGCGATCGGGATGTCAAAGGCAGAACACTTGTTTTCCTTCACACGTACCACTTCCGGCAAGGCCAGAAATGTGAAGGTTCGGGCAGCGCGATCTGCATAATATCCAGATGAACCCATTCATGTGAGCGGGACGTCTTCAAGCAGATGCTAGTGCAGTTCAAACAAATGCTGGAGGCGTTGCCGCCGCCGGCATCGCCGAAAGACGCATTCCCGTTGGGAGGAATTCCCTTCACGCTTAAAACAAGGCGAACGGCGTGATTTGCCATGGTTATGAGTTATGCCCTGCTGGCTGGATCCAAGCGAAATCGCACGAGTTTCCGCTTACTAGCACTACCCAATGGCAGCTGGGGTTGAAGATGTAAATCAGTGGTCGTTGGTCTTGGAACAGAATTCCGTATTCCATCAAATGTCGTATATTTTTCAAGAGGAGCTTCAGCGCAGTTTTCTTTTCCCCTGGATAAGCCCAGGACAAGCCAAGGATAAGCCCGTAGTAGGCTCTTGTTACAGGGGTACCTGGTGATAGCCCTCCCACCACAAAGCCCCCCTTAAAGGTCCATGAAGAAAGTGCCACTCAGTTGACCGCAGGGTCAGCAGTGGCAGCGCGGTTTGCAGCTCCTGGGTGATTTGTGACTCGGCTTGGCTTGGTGTGTTTGTGCTGATGGAGGGATTAAGATAAGCTGCAATCAAAACTCGGCGAACTGGGTGCAGCCGTGCTTTTGGTTCTATACATGGGGACCACTACAAGACCAAGCTTTGACTATAACATAGATGAGCAGCCCAAAACAAATGTCAATTGACAACACTGAGTTGATCAAATCCAAGGGTTGAAAGTTGATGTCTTACTCATGTATATATATATATGTTGGTATATAGATGAAAACACCGAGTTAAGTATTTGAACTGGCATGAACTCAGTGTGATTTGTGAATTACCGTTCTTGGCTTCCATTGAAAACGCCTATGCCTAGCACATGAAAGACTGAGTCGAATTGGCTGTCTGCCCGGCTAGGACGCACGGTCCAGTGCCACAATTGTGGTACTTCTCAGCTGGGCAGATTGCAGGAGTTATACATCCCTTGACTGTTCAATATTATGGTGTCCTTTTGTTTTGTATTCATGTTTTGTTTGTTTTTTGGGCCGAGGGGGGACTTGTTCCAATCCAGGACTGTATATACCCCCTGGGGAGACGAAACACCCTCTATTACTCCGCGGGGGGGATCAATCCGCGATCAACATTACAGCGGTAGATGTCCTTGATTGACAGCCGTGTGAGAAGCATGACCACGCATGACGGCCCGTATCATTGGATGTGCGACTATAGCCTTGGCGCAAATATCACGCTATCTCACCCTAGGAATGATGACTGAATATTCTTGACTTAGAGAATCACTGGTGTCCAGCTGTTTAGCTTGAGTTTCCGCCTCATGTTTGCACGGGTTTCCTTTGCCAAAAGCGTGCCCCCTTTTTTCATGGCCACTGACCGATGTGGCTCGTGTGAGGCAAACATTGCAGATGGAGCGGGGGGACTCAGCCACTTTGTGCGAAGGTTCCCGAACACCGTCGTTTGAGTTGAGTTGTTTCGGGAATTCCCGTGTATTGGAATCCGAATACCTGATTTCTTTGTCACAATGGTGGCTTTCCGCCACCTCTCAACCGAGGTGTTTTTCCTGGCTCACAGCTGGAACGATTGTTGTTGCTTAGCACGCTGGGCCAGGCACTAGTGGGTCGGTTGGTCGGAGGGTGGGTGGATCGGTCGGTCGGTCGGTTGTTGGGTTAATAGGTTGGCTGGCTGGTTGGTTTGTTGCTTGGTTGATAGGTTGGCTGGGTGGCTGGTTGGTTGGTTGGATTTGCTTGGTCGGATTTGGTTGGGTGGGACAGTTGTCAGGTGGGGCTGGCAAGCTGGCTGGCAGACAGGCAGAGTGGTAACGTGCAGGTGGTGCGTTGCAGCGCATTGTTGAGGGCTGGTGTTGGGTTGGTGCGGGGCTTTCTTTGCAGGGTGCCGCAAACTGACTTGGCAACATCCCCTTACACATGCCCCGATGTTTGTTTGGCCTGGCAGGTGTGTTGGCTGTTTCCAGGTTGGACTTTGGGCTGCAAACCTACCAGGCGCTAAAATAAAATGGAATAAATCTATGCCACATAGTTGAACTTCTGATTCAATGGCAAGTTGGAGTGAATAGGGCGTTGGGCCCCAAGCAGTGGTCGAAGAAACTACAAGCCAACAGCTCATGGGACCCTCAATCGCTTAGCGTGAGTCTTCTGAATCGACCTTTGGACCTTTGGGTTTCCAGTTGTTTTGTCATGGCTCCGTCAAGATGAATCGCTTTAGCCCGGGTCCTTCCAGGCCAGTGTGAGTCATTGGCTCGCTGCCAACTCTGACAACAGGACCACTTTGAACCCCGGATCAATCCATCGACCTGCCCTTTCAGGCTGGGACACCTCAAAAAGTGACCGCCAAGATTGCCAGTGATTCCACACCGATTTTGGCCCCAACTGGGCAGAGGCTTGCAGTTTTCCTTCCTCATGCTCCCCAGGTGTTTGTGGGAGAGGCAGTGACCGTTGGATCTGGAGAAGGAGTTCCCGCGGTAGCAGAAAATCAATCCTCAACCCAGCCAGGATCAACCTTGCCACCCCACAAGCCCAGAACATATCAGAACATGTTCGGGAAACGCTATGACTTACAAGTGCAGACAAAGACTCGAACTCAGAAATCGATCGACACCAGGTGTTCTCTTGTACTTAGCAAGTCACCCTGCAAGTTGGTTGGTGTTGATGTGTCTTGCAACAAGGAGAATCCCGAATTCCCTCAAACAGGGTCCTTTTCTCTGTGGATGGACAAAATCCTGCAGCACCCAAGAACTCCTGGAATGACAATTCTCCTGTAAATACCAACAAATTATGGCTTCCCATGGTTTCAAAGCGGTGCGAACGGATTTCGTCCATCCACAGTCTCCATCGGTTTCCCGTTCAAACCGACTCCGAGTCTCCCGCAAGCCATTTCCGCAAGCCGAGGCCCGGGATCATCGCCTGGAACGCAGCCACGAGCGGATGTGAAAAAGGCGATCGGTCGGATGGTTTCAGGCATATTTTCCGAATTCAACGGACACGTCTTGGCTGACACTTTTGACTTGCTGTTCATTCGCGCACCTTTTCCACAGCTCATAAGATTGGAAAGGCCAGAGAGGATGCAAGTCTCTATGATTTCTGACCCCCGAAGCAGGCTCAAAATAAAGTAGGGGTTGGTCGGACCCGAAAATAAGTCATCTATTTTATTTTAGTCCAACCCCTTTTTTGATGCGAATTCATGTTGGCCTCTGTGAAAAACTCTCAAAGTAGGACTGAACTCATTTCAAATTAACATGAGGTAATCTGTGACTTCCCTAGGAAGTGCCGTTTTTTCAAGTCCATTCAAGGCCTGGGAACTGTTGGACTGCGGCAATTATATTTTTGGATGTACCCCCTTTTTTGATTGGTTTAAAGAAAAACTAGAAGGGACACCGTTGCCATTTTGTGGGTACACTAAAAAAATACAGGCCCATTTTTCTTGGTCACTGTAGAAAGGGGTGGTGAGATGCGGGATGCTGCCGCCAGCCCTTTCGAACATCAGTGTGTATACCAAATTGCGCCGCGACAAACGGCGCTCATGGCGCTCCTGACGTGGCTATCGTGGCTGATTCTGACATCCTATTCTGCAGCATGTTCGGATTGTGTCTTTGATGTCATGATTCTTGATGAACCTCCCACTGGCCTGGTGCTCGGTGTGCTCAGAATGTGATTTTTGAAGTTGTACCTTCCGAGTTGAACCCCCCCCGACTTTATTTTGTGAGAAAAGCGGATATGCAAAATAAACATGAGTTGGACTCCCCTCGACTTTATTTTCAAAGGAAATAAAATAAAATACGTTTTATCCAACTCGGACTATTCAAACCAACACCCAACATGAGGTCAAAATAAATCGTGGTTTTTCAATTTTATTTGCTGGTAGGGTTGGACTATTTTATTTTATTTTCCAACAAGGTTGGACTGACCCTATTTTATCTGATAAAATGGGGGGGGATCCAACCCTGTTTGGAACCTCTAACGGGGATATTTCTGCTTCTCAGCAGTGCAGCAAAGACAACGCCTCAGCCACTGGGCAGTTGGATCTGCTGGCCAGGCAAGTTATTTTTGTTCAACCTGCTCTTTCTTGAGGGAATGCATTTTCTTTCTAGGAATTGATTCCCCATTCTTTTCATCCATCGTTCTTTTCAAAAACCGGCTGTTTCCCCTGGGTTTTTGACGGTCTCCTGAAAATAAGCATCCCTGGAAAGAATGGGGAAGGTACCTTTAGATTCTTCCCCTTTTCTCCGCGTTCAGTGTTTATTGCTTGGGGAATGAGACTCAGTCGGATGGAGTGGGCCAGGCCGGCAGTGGGAGGTGGCAGAGCAGCTCCTGATGGACGCGGAGGCCTTTTTTTTGATGCCGCCAGTTTCATCCGTTTGACGTGTTTTGGGAGGGGAAATTTGATTTTCACAGAAGTTGCCCAATTTTCCCAAACATGACAACCTTAAAAATATATATATGGATTTTTGGATTTCCCCGTTGAAATGAACAGAAGCTGCCCATTTTTCCCAACAATAACGTGCCCAGGTTTTCTCCACTACTGAGCTTGGGAGAACCGAGGGCGTGTCTGACTAGAGAAAAGGCGAGACAGGGAGAGCCCAAAGCCACCCGAGCGCAGGTACCCTCAAGAAAGACGCGCCCATGGGTGTTTCTCGAAGTTTGTTGGACGATGGCAGATTGCCTTTAAAGTTCATCCCGTTCTAGCCAGAAAGACGTTCTCAAGTTTGAGAGTCTTTTTGGAGTTGGGTCCCAAAGCCGGATCAACTAAGGGCCCATGCCGCCAATTCGGAAACCTGCCATTCGCGACTGGTTTAGTTAAGCCCTGCGTTGGTTGCAAGTGCCACTCTTTGGGGGTCTTGGGGCGGTCCAACGAAAACCAAGCTCCAACAATTCCCTTCACACGTGGCAACCAACTTCATTTGGAGCCAAAAAGGACAGCATGGTTTAAGCTCCCTTAGAATTTATACTCTCGAATCTCCTTTCACGCCTTCTATCTTTCACGGCTGTCCTGTTGCCTCAAACATCAATCCTACAACTTTCCAAGTGCCATGCATTTCCTAAAACGTATGACGAAGATTGCCCAGCAACAGCCCAATGATGCGTTTTAAGTGCTTCGGGCGCTTGCATTTTGTAGGCGGTGCGCGTGGAACGGCAGACATGTCGGGCTTCAAAAAACGAGCCCGCCAAGCATAGTCAACTGGACACGTGCATATACTGCACATGAGAAACACACGGTCGATTGCACACGCTCACGACTGGACACACACACACACAAGCGAACGAGCGCACACACAATCGCAAGCACACAAGCGTTTGCTAGCAGCGTGCATATTATGATATATTGTGGGATATTGTGGGATTGGAGGTTTGTCTAAAGAGTACTTTGCATTCAAGATGTACAACATTCCAGCAGCAGGACATTATGTCAATGATTCCCTGCGATTTCCTTTCATTAGCAGTTTCTGCTCTCAAGCTCTTTGGAGGAACGCTGAAACACGGCCCCGATCTGTTTACTTCTGGCAGACACATATTGTCCAGATTTCTGGGACTGGGCGCCGCATATTTTAACTCCATGGATCCTCGTCTTTTTTTTTGACAATGAATCAACACGGTGCCCGGAGCTTGGGTTTTCATAGATCCTCGTTTTGCTTTGCATTTTTTAAGGGTGGTCTATGCTTACAACCAGCAAAACGGGTGCCCAGAGGGCGGGCTTTGCCGGAAGGAATGCGTTGTCCTCGTGCATTCGCGGGCGGTGAGGCGAGTGATTTGCCGGTGGACTCCGTGACCTTTAGCGCAGCCGTGTCGGCGTGTGAGAAGGGCTGGCCGGGCACTCAGGATGGCCTCGGGGGGGCTGGGATGGCTTGCGGTTGGGTTGGGGGGGGGGGTTGGGATGGTGGAGAGTTGTTTAGGGGGTTGGGAGGCTTTCAGTTGTTTGGAAAGTTGGGATGGCTTTCAGTTGTTTGGGGGGTGGCGTGAGCCCGAAACTGCGAATGCTTCCGCATGGGGAAATTGGGCTGGGCCCCCTCCTTCTAGTCCTCTCCAAACTAAAAAATACTCCCAGGGTTTTTGTTGCTTGCTGAGATAGTTGGCAGAGAGAAGAGAAGGGCGTTTGTTTCCTTTTGCCGAGCAAGCAAGGACGTGGAGGATTCCCAATCAAAAGCCAGTGTGCTCAGTTGCTCAGAGCAGACCTTCTGATCTCTTGACCTTTGGGTTTTGCTGAGTTTGTGAATTTCCAGTCGTAGCCGCAAATGGTTGAACTTAATTCAAGTACGTATTATTTAAACTTTAGGCAAGTGGGTCCTAGTGTGTGCAGTTGTTTTCAATGGCTTAGAGAATAGAGAATAATGTTGGTCCGAGTGTTGTTTCTTTTAATGACTGGTTGAAAATGGCACATACCATGGCATCTTGTGTGTCATTAAAACACTCTTGGCGCCGTTTGGCTTGATCGAACGAACAGTGTTAGCTCCAGCACGCTGCTTAGTGTTATGCTGTTGGCAAAAGCACAGGGCCCAACAGTGGAGCGAGTCGAAATGTTTATCTAGGTCCCCCAGTAGTGCCCTTTTACCCTTTTTTGGGGGAGGGTTCCCCTACTAAAATAGACTACAGAAAAAAACAGGTACCCTTATTCTAACCTCTCTACTGGAGGACCTAGTTATATATACTGGTCGCAATTATGCTCCTTCGAGCATCCCACGAAACGGTAAATATGTGCACTGTATAACAGTTTACACACCGAACAAGTTCACTCCCGGAGAGCCCTCAAAAAAAGGAGTCTGGTTTTTTCAGGCATCCGTAAGGCAAGTTCCATGTGTTTTTTTTGGAGGCTTGGTACTTAGTTGTTTGACATTCGGTCGTTAAGACGAAGGCTCGCAGAAGGGCCACCAGTGAGTTGTTGGTGACACCAACTAGCTGAATGTATTGTATTTCTGTTGGTGCGAAAGCAAAAGGGTTGTGACTGGCCAGCATGCATGTTTTGTCTAAACCGCAAAAGCCGTTGGCCCATTTCGCCTCAGGCTTATGGTTTTGATGGGGATGGGGAGGAGGGAGGTCGTAAATCCTTGTTTTCCATGTGCTTAAGAATATGTTTATTCTCTCGTGTTGGTTTTAAAAGGAATTTATCACTACTGTAAATATTATTTATTTCTTTATTGTTTCCCACCGGTCTTAACCAAATGGAAGTTGTCCAGGTGGGTTCCGTTTGTTTCTGATGAACCCTATCCGGCAACGCCCCCAACGGCTGTCAAATCGTATGTTCGGTCATTCTTGTGGGCACAGAAGGCGGCTGTTTGGAACCACTGGGTATGTGTCTTAAAATCGGGGTCCCCCAAACAAAAGATTGTTTTCCTGCTGTCAACCCCTCTATACCAACCCCAAAAAGGGTGCCATCCAAAACCACACACACACACACACACACGCACGCACGCACGCACGCACGCACGCACGCACAAACCCATTTGCCTGCTTTGCGTTTTTTTTGGGGGGCGGGGCTGGGTTGGGGATTCCCCACGCTTTTGGCAGCCGCGAAGGCAATGGTCCCGCAGCCTGCAGCTCTTGTGGTCCATGCGTTCCCGCCGGCTCTTGGAGGTGCTTCCACGTCGATCTGCAAGTAAAGCCTCGGTGGATTATTGGGAGGTGTCCTGTTTTATGTAGAATCCTTAACTTGAGTTGGGGAATACCCCCCAAACCATTTGTCAGGTATGTTTATAAATGCGGGGGTCAGCAGTACTTGCCCATGAGCTGATTGCCCTGTGATCTGAGCCTTTTGGTCTTCCCCTGGTCCGGCCCCCAAGGCAAGAGAGGCCAGCTTGATCAGTTGGCGATGTGACAAGGCTGTTTAAATGCAACGACCAGGGAAAGGTTTGTAAAGAAGGCCAAGGTGAAGCATCATTGAACAGATTCACCTGAAGCTTTGCTGGCTCATTGAAGGCAACCAACTGGACACCATTGCCTGGGCACGACGAAGTTTTGAAGTTCTCGGGCTTCTGCCTTGTTTCACAAGCAGTTTTCCACATCCTTGGATTTTGGCAAGCGTCCTTGGATTGTGGCAAGCCGTGGATTGGGGACGATTAAAGCATGGTCAAAACTGGGTGAGCAAGAGGCATTGGTAGTCGAGTGGCACTATTTCCGTCTTGACTTGGGCTTCTGACGAGCGGCCAGAGCAGATGCAACAAAGTCAGTACTTGGTGAGTTTTGAAGATCTGGCTGCACTATTAAATCTCCCTTATATCCACTAAAGAAGGGAGGGGCATCTTTTAAGTCATGTGCTGGTGGTTCTTTAGTGTTGACCCCAAATTTCAGGGTTTTTCCTCCAAAAGTGACGATTGCCCCTTATGAATCATTATGAATCAATCAGGCAATGATTCATCCCGGTTCAAACTTATTATACGTTCCGACCCTGTTTGCATTCTGGCGATCATTCCCATCAGTTGGGAATGCGCCACATCGATCACTGTGCACTTGAAAGCCAAGTTTATCCCCGGGCCCTTTGGCTGTGTATCACAAATATGGGTGTGTCTTTTTTGGAAGGTACCTTTGTTTTAAAGGAAAACCAAAAGGACAGCCAGAATTTTGGGGGGACCTCTCAAAAGGGACCCCCTATGGGCTCCTGTTTCAATAGTGTGGGGGCCTGCTGAAAGGAAAGTAACGTTTAACGTGACATCTTAGTTGGACCGGGGTCGTGATTTCGACGCGCTCCGTGTTTTTGTTTTCTCTGTTTTTTTTCTTATCTGTTTTTTCGTGCTTGCTTAGTGTACTTTTGCTGGTACCATTTTGGTTTTGCTCGCAAGGGAGGCAACTGGACAAGCCGCCCTCAGTTCTGCCAGCCGTCCGCGCCACTTGCAAATCTCCGTTGGCCAAATATTAATTTGACGGAAAGACGAAGACTCCTCCAGTGTTGCCCGTTGTGCCTTGCCTTACGATGGGGTACCCTAAAGGGCAAAAGCCTCAAGAGAAGTCCCGCAAGAGGCTTCAGCCCTGTCGTAACTCTGCTGGGTCCGTCGCCAAGTTGTTCAGGCAGTGGCGTGCAATGCTGCTCTCAGCGCCAGAGCCCTGGAGACCAGAGCCGGTTCGTGCCGTTCACGCTGTAATCAGCGCGCCAGAGAGCATCCATGGGAAACTCGCCCAGACCCTTGCTTTTTGGGCGGTGTGTTTTTTAACTGTTTTACTTTTTGGCAAGGAGCAGATGCGCAGAAGATGGCATGTGTATATACCACGAACGAACAGATGGGGCTTGATGTTCATTAGCCCCCCATACTGTATAACATCTCGGTCCAAAGTTGGTGTGGCTTTGGAGCCAACCAATCATCCTAAATAAAGGCAGCTGGCGAGAGCAATGCGTTATTTCCGTGTTTGGTACTGATATGGATTGCAGGCTAAGATGGATTACATGTCATGCGGGTATTTGTTTACACTGTGTTTTGGCCTGGTACAACGTTGCAAACCTCTACGGTTAAAGACAACCACACAAAACGAGCTAAGCTGGTGTACACAGGCAACCATTATAAGGTTGGTTTAAAGCGACACATGATGATATTGTTTGAGCAATGGCGCTTTAAACATGTATGCCATTTGTTTGATATGTAGTTTGCCCACTGCCCACCCCCGCGCTTTGCGATTTGGAACTCTGAATGATGTGTCGATTAATTATTATATCGCCCCAGGAGCGGGATGTCAATCCCAGAGCAAAAACAAGCAGATTCCCCCCCCCCCCCCGCCCCACCCGCCCCAGGGCGATAGCTCCCTGGATGAACACCAGCCCAGTTCAGAATTTAGACGAGAAGGCCCAACCCCCAGGGCCGAGAAAATATCGGAGAGCCCGGTCTTCCTCTCAAGTTGTCAAGAGGGTTATACTAACAAAGAAATCCAAATGAATCCACCCAAAAGGGGGGGGGGCAAGAGGCACAAAGTCGGTGAAACGAAGGGGTCCAACTTTCAACCAACGGTGAACCCCGGTGCCAGAATCTTTCCGAGGCCTGCGGTCAATGCAACGAGGTAGCGAATGCGCTGACACTTTTTCACGAGATGGTGGAGGCGCCGACGTGTTATGGAGAGGGTTAGTTGGAACGGGAACCAGGTTCTAGTTTCGCTGGCAGATAGCGCATATCGCATGATTCCCCGTGAAAATGAATTGCACGTGGAATGGTCATGGTTCAACTTTGCAGACCTTATGTTTATCGTCCATTGGTGTTTCTGGCACTCAGGCACCTTTGCCATCATTGGCAGAGCAGTAAGCGTCGGGCGTTGGCGGTGCAGATGTTTGGTTTCCTCTAGGCATCCTTCACAACTGTCCAATGGATTGTTTTTGTTGACAACCCCGCCCTCCTGCTTCCAGCGTCATGTGCGCTTACATGTGGGTGAGTCTTTTGTGTTGTGGGTCCCTTTTCGCGGCTTAGTTAGAAGGGCAACCAAAGGGGAACGATCTCACGAGCCCTTTCAGTGGTGAAGCCCTATTGCCACTTGTGGGCCGTTCCTTCTAGTTCGGTCATCGCAAATAACCGTTAACTTTTCGAGCCCAAAGTCTGTGGATAGTTCAGTGGCCAGTCGGCTTACTATCATCTATCAGAGGGGCCAACTCAATTGACCTTTCTGACTACGTAGGTTCTGGCTGCGTAGCGTTGCGGTGCTTATCACTCGTCATGGCAGCACGATCATCGTCAACTTGTGTCACCTATGTCTTCCAGGTCGTTGAGGCTAACAAAGCCACCCAGTTGATGATTGGGTACTGGCGTTGAAGGGCGCCCAATTGTTTTTCTCCTTGGGAGAAAACCACTCATTTTTAAGGTTCCTGGATCCATTCAAGTGACACGCGCACAACCCTCGATGGTAGTTTGAAGGGGGTTCCCTTCCCCCCATGTTTTTTTGTGTTTTTGCCGAGGCCTCAACACTCAAATCCACTTTTGGGACCCCTCCCAGTCAGGACCATCCCCGTGTTTCTCAGGAGCGCTTGGCCAACGAGGCGTGGATCGATGGCGCGACACCTTCCGTGCGCATCGCGGGGGTTTTGGAGACACAGGTGGCCGGTTGCTGGGTGCTGTGCCGAGGATTTCTGGTTTCTCTTTAAGGGCACCCGGTGAGGGACTCTTGGTGAGGGACATCGGACAACTGTTTTGCCTGCGATTATGGTCCCTGGAGCACGAATTCGAGGGCCCTCCGAAAATGATCCGGGAAACCCGCGCCACGATGCAAGAGCTGGGATCATGTGCAAGACGGTGTTGTTTTCAGTGGCTTCTGAGACCCTTGAACAACCAACAGTGCAGAAGCCATTTGTCCAAAAAGGATTGAGCGTAACAGTACCACAACAACAGGAGTCCTTGAAGAAGCTTTGCTAAGATGCTGGTTGGATTTGGGCTGCCTGGCTTCCAGGGATAAGAGACCAACGAGGATCACATTCATTTTACTTTTGGAAGATGCTGGCGTAGTGGCTGTTTGTCCGTCTACAATAGTTTTGATTGAGCAACCGCCGATCTTCACCGTCAATCATTTGCGGCAGTAACGGGGATGACTCCGACCATTGGCATACTTACCAAGGTCCATTGCAGGCAAGAGTCATGTCGAACGTGGCGTCCAGTCCAACAGTGCAGATCCTGTGGTGAATGACGACCCCGAAGTGCCTGCCCCACCCGCTGAATTCATTACACACACGGTGCTGGACTGATGTCGGCTGATGCGTGCTGGCATGTTCTCGTGCCCAGGACTTTTGTCAATTTTCACATCCCCCATATTCCCAAACTCGGCCTGCCCGGCAGTGGTCGAAACATCGGGTCAGAACTACAAAGGTCGGGTGGTCGCTTGTGACCGTCAAATTGGAGTCGCTTGTGACCGTCAAACAAAAAAGGGTGCGGGGTCGCTTGTGACCGTCTCCAAGGGCTTGGGGGATCTTGCGCTTCGCTCATGGGGATCGTGACCTCTCACATGATCAAACACATGGCCACCTACTTCTACGAAGATTGGCTGCGGGACCCATTTGACCACGGATGCAATCTAGTGCTCAGGGCTGCAGGGCTCACGCATTGGCCCCTTTTTGGGGTGAGATTGAGGAGGCCCCTTGAGCGCGTAGCAAAAAACGAGCCCTTTCCCAGGGCCGCCAACTTTGCTTGGGACGTTCTCAAACTGCTGTTGAAAGAACCATCCTTTGGGCTGACCATTTAATTAATTGTTCGCTTCGACTGGCTCGGAGTCCGTGATTAGCCATGGAGGGCGACGCAGTCAAGGCATGATAAATGATACCTTTGCGAGTTGGAACGTGGAGAAAACGGTGTGCAAATTCAATCGGAATGCAACGCGCTATGGCAAGGAGCACTCCTTGTCACCACGCTGCAATGCTACCCTTGGCGTTGAATAGCTTTTGAAACTGCATTCCTGGCAGGTCTCCTGCAATGCGGCCATTGCGGCCTGTTCTGCAGGCAGGACTGCAGATTGGCAAGTTTCAGCGAGCTCACAAGGAAGGAACATGAGATCACCCACATGATGAAGGTGCCTTTCTCTAGGAGGTCTTCCTTGTTTCCGGTGCGTCAAATTTAGAGTATTGCCCATACTGTCTGGACCCATATTATTAACATATGCAATTTACGTATACTCACGAACCATTGCCCCTTTGTGACCCATATGGTGGGTGGGTGGACATACTTAATCCACAGTCAATGGTTCATTGACCCATAAACTAGAGGTTCATAGCAGGGCTTTATATGATGTTTACCCTTGGATTCTACCTCAAGTTGTATATTCCTGTGTGGTCAAATAGTCAGATCTCACCAACCGAAAGGTACACCAGGCAATTCCGTGCCACTTGTTTTCAGGGTGTGTTCAGTTATGGTTTTTGAAGCTATGGCAAGTATCAACGGAGGTTATATACCACCATACTGGCTCAAAAGGACCAGTATCCTTAAGCCGAAAAGGAAATATTGCGCCAAGGCTGCATTTACAGGGGTGCTTTGCTTCATAGAGTCTCACTTGCCCAGTGGCATTTAGAATTGCATTTCTGTTTGGGGGGTATTGGGAAGCCACTGGGCAAGTGAGTTAGGATGAGAGGTTTTACACATTTAGCTTGCACTCCTCTATATTCTTCTGGTGTCAGGATTGCAAAAGAACAACAAAGTCATGGATTGTTCGGGCACTAATTCTTGCCAATCAAACAGCTTGATCTTCGAGAATACCAAACTAGCTCCAGCTTCAGGGTGTTTTTCTCAGGGAACAAACTACTATCAATTGGGTGACTCCTACGCGTCCCGTTTGTGGGTCAAAGGTATTGAAACAACGGATGTCTTACTTCGGGGCGCTGAGTCGTTTCACAACTTGCGCTTGGAAGCCGAAGTCAAAGCTCGTGTTTGATCCCACCGGCCTCGTTTCGCATGACCATCAGGTTGGTGCATTGCCCTTGACGCTTGTATTTGTTTCTTAGGTATTCCTGGCATCTATTGTTGTGTTGTGTGTGTTGCTTGATTCTGTTCATTCTAGTTGGGGGTTGCCACAAACGGAGTGTGGCTTTCTAACATTCTAGCATTCCGAAGGTTGGACACCATGTATATTACGTATACAAGTAACCCATATGTATATATATATGGAGATATTCCAGGTTCTGTATGCGCACTGTGTTTCAGGCATGGGTGCTCAAGTAAAAAACTGGAGGGTCGTGAAGGGCACGTTCAACTTCAGGGGAGGGCGCAAACCGGGTTTTGGTCATAGCTTACATTTGAAAAAAAAACACATAAAACAAACACAACAAAACACTCAACATGTCATGCTCGTTTCCAGCTGGATTCTGGGAAGAACCAGTCAGAGAAAGCTGCCTAGTGCGACGTTGTCTTTCCAGCTGGGTCACTCTGTCCCAATCGGCGCCTGAGGAAAGTTGCTAATTGCTCTTCAATGTTGTGGCCACAATAATCACATTGATTGCCGTCATTCCAACAATCCCGAAAGATGATGGTACTCTCGTAAATCCAATCTGTTTGCATGCCACCGGATGTGACGATAGTCCTCTCAATTCAACATTTAATCCCCAAGAAGGGTAGTCCGGGTTTCATGGTGCTTTCTTTCAGTGGCGTAGCTGCTAGCATCTGTTTTGCAGATCCCCTTGGTTCCAGCCCAGGTTCCTTCCTTTTGGGACTCGGATCTTGGAAGGAAACCCGTTGCACTCCCTTTCCCTAATGCACCCCTGTGCACCAGTTCCGTTCCACATCTTACTTGTTGTTCGCGTTCAATTCCCCAGTAGAAATGGATTGCAGCCCGCAAGCAGGTGTCTAACTCTGCTTTTTGGTGGATTCCGCAGTAGTGGAAACCTCACAAAAGGGCTTCAACTCGGTTTCTGCCTTTCGGGTCACTGGTTCCCGACCGCCGGCCGTCCAGGCGGTTTGTGGCAAGACGCCTTGCAGCTCCTGACGCGCATGGCTGCTGCCAACCACCAGCCGCCGCCCGCCACGTGCCTCGGCGGTGAATGTTTAGTAATGTTCTTGGTGGTTCCCAGCCATCCCCCTTCTCCTTGTAGCTTTTTAGGGCTTAGTGGGGGGGTTCCATTTAACCCACTAGAAGTTAAACTTTTAGCAGGGGGGATCTGAGGACAGCCCAGTTTTGAAACGATTCTGCACTTCAAGGCTCATTAGATAATGAAGTTCATGTCAATATGCACGATAATCAAGAACGGTGTTGGGTGGTCATGCAGGAAGGGGGAAGCTGAAGTAGTAAGAGAGGCTGAAGCAAAGACATGATGTCTCGTTTCAATCGTTTCAGCCGACTCCTGCACGCTTCGCAGAGCCTAAAAGCCCAGATTGTTTTCTCACCTCCCCACTTCCTGTATTAAACACTGTTCAGGAAAACTTGTTTTTATACGTTAAAAGGGATTCTGCCTGGTCACATGGGGTGAAGATAAGATGGTTTTGTATGTCCATTTTAGTATAGCCAAACATCCATGGGTTTTGGGCGCTACTCACATGGAATTCCAGCCTGGTTAATTGGGTTCCATGGCTGGCTGGTTGGTTGGCTGAGTGGCCGGTTGGCTGGCTGGCTGGCTGGCTGGCTGGCTGGCTGGCTGGGTGGCTGGTTGGTTGGTGGGTGGGTTCGTGGGTTGGTGGGTTGGTGGGTTGGTCGGTTGGTGGGTGGGTTGGTTGGTCGGTTGGTTCATTGGGTTCCATGGTCCATGTGAATATGCAGAGGGTGGTTCTGCACTAATTATAACGAGCCCACCGGTAACATGCAGTCACCCGTTATGAAGCTCGATCATCATGACAAAGTAGTTTAATAACTTGTGCAGATTGTGGGTGGGATGCTCCTGTTTTGCTGACTATACTCATACTCCCGACATTGGAAGGTATCCAACAGTTGCCATGATGGCAGGTGTCCTGATTTGTTCGATAGGAAATGGAATCGAACGGACTCCAACTGTTCGTGGTGTGTTTGTTTAGTGGAGGTTGGAGGCAACGTCAAGTTTGACAGGGGGGTAACACAACTTAGCTGTCATTATATATATATATATATATATCCATGCCTATACCAATACAAAATGTAAAAACTCGTCCAATGCTTTATGGGGTTTTTGAGGTATGGAGGCTTTGTATACCGTCAACGCAAGCTTGCAATGCGTGACACAACCCTTGTCATCCTCGTACAAAGCTACAGAACCTACAGGATACCTTTCGCAACTTTAGGGCTCCAACTGCACTTGCAGACTATAATATAGTACGCCAGCATTGGCTGGGCTGTCCCTGGTTGGACCCTGGACAAGGTCAATGCCCATTTCCGGCATGAGGGTTGGAGGTATCAGGAGGGGGCTTTTCTATTGGTGTTTCAACTAGCTTTCCCTTTGGCTGGCTGGGCACATTATATGACAATCGGGCAAAGCGGGTCGGAGCTCGGGGGTATATACGCCTGGGATACCTGCTGCCAATATACCCGTCACGTATGCAGCCTGGTCCCGCAGTGTCTGCATTGGGAGCTTTTCAGATTGCTTCATACAGGGGAAGTGCAAACGTTTGTCGCGTAAAGGTGGCCCGTATGTTTGGACACACTCATGTATGCCTTTCATACCGAGTCAAAGGCTTCAACCTAGCCCGGCCTGAGGTATAATGCGGTTGCGAATGCCTGCGGCAGGCAGGCAGATCACAAACAGGTGTTGATTTTCACTGGGTACACAGGCGACGGCCTACGCCTGTTGAAGATGATATGATATAGCCGCCTTTGGGCGCTAAAACCAAGCCTGTGTGGGGTAGGGTAGGGTGGTTTGGAGGTTAGGGGGTGGCTTTCCATGTGATGCGAATTGGTTCAAGCCACAAATCACAACCCCCGATTTCGAATAAGGGTTTGCCTTTTCAACCCCAAGCAAATACCTCCCCGCACTGAGTAGAAACCCTACTCAAGAGATACCTTTGTCCTAGAGGATATCAAAAGACACTTCCGACCACATAGCGCCTTGGGGCCCAAATGTAGTTTCTCGCATTGTCTTGAACAATGAGCTTTTTGGCCGCGTTTGTAATTTGCGCATTTTTTGTTGGCTTTGGATGGGTTTCAATTTGATGCCAGGTGTGAAGAGGAGCACCCTCCCTGAGAAACGTGAGACCCAGAAAAGTTGGCTGCCGTTAAAAGGTCGAAGCACTGGGCCACGCCTCATGTGAGCATCGCTTTGTCCACCATCTTGCACGCGGACAATCCCAAACTGTTCCATTGAATCAGCAGATTCACAACCGGCGTTGGGTGTCAGAGTTTAAACTCAATGTGTACCTTTACATGTCTGTTGATACAGGACATTGTTTTGTGGGTTGTGGGCGCCGCTCAAGTGAACAGAGCCTTTCTTCTTTGCTACCGCGCGGCCACATCTGCCAGACTGGGCGCGCCAAGCACGCCCATCTCTCTCAAAACATAGAATCGGCTCAACCACTTCCTTTCATGGTTCGGGCAGGTTTATGCTCTCATTTGTTTCACTTGAGCGAGATATGTCTTCGGTGATTTAGTGAAACCTCGAAGACAAGTGTCAGAAACCTTCAGGAACGCTGCAGTGAGGACCACAAAAAAGAGAACTTCCCATTCGAAATCGCCCAATGTAGTCTTAGGTTTTGCCGCTCGCTCACGTCTTCATTCTGAAAGGTTCCAACAGGGGATACATGATATCACATGACTGGCGCACGTCCCGTTCAGAGCCCACGTCGCTGCTCGCTCACAACTTGCACAGGGCTGGCGAGCCCCGGGCTGAGTCTGGGGGATGGGTTGGTGCAAAGGCCGGCACGTAAGTCATCGCTTGCTTGGTTTGTATCTTGTTCGAGGTGTCTAAGACCAAGCTTCCGATCGTTTAAAGTGTTTGTCTACTGGCAGGTTGCCCAACGTAGAAGGTCTTACTTCGAAGTACGGACGAGCGTGCCTCACAGAACCTGATGGAAGGATCAATGATTCAGGCATGCTGACAAACTTCAAGCTAGCTCGGGCCTGATAATGTAGGTCTCTCTGTTGGGTGATCCCGTAATTACTTCAGGTTGCGAATTTATGGTAAGATTTGCAAGTGAGCTTGCAACATTGCATTTAGACCTTCGTTTGCAAGATGGAGCTGTTGCCGCGCACGCTCGATTTGTTTTGGATCATGGCAAGCCCTCGTGCAACTTGGGATTTCAGAGACAATCAGATCTGGTGAGCGGCTTTTATACTGGCAGTTGGTTGCTTTTCGGTTTGACTGCCCTTCGAATGTGTCGCAAAATAGTTTCACTTTGCGGAAATTCCTTGGGCATGATCTGCTCCACGTGGCGCGCTCCAAGCAAGGAGACGTCGCCCAAATGCCGCGTCCGCGCTTCGAGGCCGAGTGGAACAGTGTTTGCCGCGCGTGGTGCGCTGCAGAAGTCTAGGCCACTGAAGTCGAACGTCTGCACAAGTTCGGGGGCTTGGCGCGCGACACAGTGGAGCACCACAAGTTCTGCGACGCGGCGATGACCTCCCAAGGATCGTTGTCCTGCTTGATAGCAGCCAGGCGCAAGGGTCGTGGAAGCTGCAGGTCTTCTCCAGAAGTCCTGTGGAGGGCACCCTTTCGAAGTTTAGACGGATTTTTGCCGAAGCTTGAGCCCCCAAAGTCTCAAACCAAATGGGCTTGTCTCAAAAGAGGGGGCCTACACCAAATGCTTGCTTGCCCTTCTTTTCTTTTGAAATCGACCCAAAACGGGAACTTTGATCAAATACTGAGTCCGTTTTGGGAAAATCAATTGGCTTGGAGAAAAAATGGCCGTAATACCAACCTCTGAGAATTCATCCCCGAACTTCTTTGTCAGGGGGTCCTTTTTGATTGAGACTCTTCAAGGTGGAACCCGAATCATAAGCTGAATGATCATGGGGGCCGTTTATCAGGTGTCAACATACTTTGAGTTGTTTACTTCCGTGGGAGTTTGACTTGCCAATCTCAGCAAGGAATGAGGGAATGACCCTTATCAGCCATCCCTTGTGGATAATTTAAGGGGATCCTCTTCCAGTTCATTCCTAAGCCCCCCTCAAACGATTTCCTGCTGAGAACCAGCCAATTGAAGCGGCTGTTTTTTGCCCAACAGGCCGTGGTTCTTTCGCGTGACCGAAAGCTCAGGCTGGGGTATGCCCTGGACCTTGCCAGTGGCGATTGCCTGGGCCTTTTGGCCGGGACCTGAGCCCGGGGAATACCATTTGTTTTCTGTAAATCCAGTAATGTTGGACCCTCTTTAATGCTTCCCCCCCTGAATTACGAAAAAAACTTTACACAATAGAGGACCCTATCATTGAAGGAGGTGTAACATTACTGATGGACAAAACCCTCGCCAGTCCCAGTTGGGATGAACGCAACATGTGTGGGTCCATGGGTTTGTCCCATGAACGCTGAACAGGCCCAGGGACCCGAGGTCCCTGCTAGGGGGCCCCGAGCAAGAAAAGCCCATGCCTCATTTTGGAGCCATAATTCACGGCAAGACCAAACAGAGGCCTGTGGATTAACAAGTTCCACTTCGCAGCAGCAGGCGGCTTTGGCGGCTTAAGGTTTCCCGAGAAGTGGATGTTGAGCGCATTCGGGTGGATGTGTGCCCCGCGTTCCAAGAATGATGGCCAAGGATGTATTCTTCGCTCCCACATTCCACCTGTCGAGGTGGATGATGGTCGAAATAAGTTGTCCAGAACCCTGGTGTAGGGTTTGACACTAGGTTGAAGGGACCGAATTTGCCTGACAGGTGCATTCGGTCTTGTTTTCTTTTCAATTCGGCCCATGAAAAAGGGTGTGCTTTGTCCTGCGGCCACTAGTCAAGTAGCTTGGGCACTGCAGCACGCCGTCCAAGCGAGTGTCTACACCTGTTTCAGGGCCCTCCGCAGTCCTGGGCCTGGTTGTTTGACTTTTTACGTGGGCAATGATTGCTTCTCCGGCGTCGTGCAAACGGGTACAGGGCGTTCCAGAGTGAAGTACCTACATGACTACATGGCTGGTCTTTGGTGGATCCTTAGGCCCTTAGATCAGTTGGAAGAGCTCTTTTTTTTTGCTTTGAACGTGCATACAAGAAGGATGCATGTGTCTCCAATGGGGAGGGTTCTAATCCGAAACAAGAGGTTGGACAATGGCTTTATGGTCTTTGACGCATATTTTACTAGACCATTGCGATACAGAGCTGAGCTTGAAGTTATTCTTGCTGTTTGCAGACGTACCGGGACAATCGGGATCATCAGCGTGGTAGTGAAAGAACAATTCCTGGGACTGGGCCAAATGCCAGTCTCTGCCCACAGCTCGGCGGTCGTGCAGCGATTGAATACACATACTGCTTGTTGACTGTTGTCAAAATGAACTCAATGTCATGGCAGAACAGCCTCAGGAGAGATTGGCAAACGCGGTCTTTCCACCTTCCATGCCTTGGTGTACTAGGGTTTAGAGTACTGGGTTATGTCATGCACGCCATCGTCCACCTTTGCGGAATTCTGACCTGAGCTTCCCTTTTTGTGTGATTTAAGTATCGCCTTTTCGGAAATGGGGTAATGTTCAAAGGGGATATATGGGAGTTGCTTTCTGAGGATGCCTTTTTGGGGTGGTTTGAACGGGAAGCCAAAAGGACCGCCCACTAGGGGCGGGCCGAATCCGCATGCATTCGGAGCCCAGCAAATTGTCAACCGTAGGGCATCCGTCGCAGGCTTTGGCGGCCGCATTTGGGGGCAGCAGCAGCCGGGAGCCGGGGGTCTCGGGGCAAGCTGAGGCAACGCTGGCTGGGGGTTGACGCCCGTTCGTTGCAACCGTCATCTTTTTAGCAACCGGCCGTGTCCCGTTTTGTTTGCTCTATGTGCTCAGGAAAGAAGGCCTCTGGAAGGCAGGGGGAAGTTACCCATAGAATGGCGGCGAACCGGCAGGCATAGAGTGAATGCTGTTCATTCACATCTGGAGGGGTCTCAGAATTGGCAGCCGCAAGATGGGAAAAGCAAAAGAAACAAACCACTGGAGCCAGTGAAACATCCATCGGATGTATCTCTGGCTTCTTTGTCTATTAAGCCTAGACCCTTCCGTTTCGAATGAACAATGAACACGCGAGCTGGATTCTCGCTGATATCCCCAGTTGCTTTGTTCGAGGGGATCTTGGTTACACCTGCCCCAATTCAGAGTCCGGCTTGATCATTTTGTTGGCGCCCTTTTTGCGAGTCAATGTGTATGGACAAAGTGTCGGGCAATGTGTTTCCAACACCTTTTGATCTGCAAATCCTGTATTATATAGCCCGTCACCAATAATTTCCTGAACTATGAATATGCAGCAAATTGGAAACCTGCTTATAAGACACCCAAGTAGGGCTCTACTCAGTATGCTATTGGCAAAGTTCCTGCGATGTTGCGGGAGTTTATATTATAGTTTCTCAAATACCGATCCCACGCTGAAGTTGCGATGCTCAAAAAGAGACACCGCAGCAAATGTTGTGGATGGACGACTAAACCACCAATCCCGTTCGTGCGAAGTGGGTTGTAAATGCACAACATCACACCCAGTGCTTCAACTTACCTATAAAGCAGTTTTTTTGGCCGCAGGATTTTACATTGGTTTTCGCCTAGCTTGCCACAATGGTATTTGGAATCACTCCAACAGATCAGCATGTGTGTTTGCAAATGTCATGACCTTTTCGGAGATTTCCTTTGACGGCAGCAAGGGAGCAAGTTGAGGCAGGCCCCTTTTTTTTGGAAGCCCAATATGCAGATGTTTGGTCAAAGTCACGCGCCAGTCCTCTTTGTTTTGCTTTGGGTTTTCCTGTCAAAGCCAGCCCGAAAGGGGTCCATTCCCCCCCCCCCCGTTTTAAGACAACCCCACATGCATGATAAATGTACCCAGCGCTTCATTACCAGTACAGTGGCATCCCGGAAAGTCACCATGGAAAACCTATAGGTAAAAACTGCCTGGTGACTTGCAGTAGAAACTGGAAACACTGGGTATGTATATATATATATAATATATATATATATATATATGTTCCCGTCGCCCGCGTCCCCAGCCCCCCCCCCCCCCCAATGGTATGGGTCCATCCAGGGGGGGGGGACCCTGGCCCCCCCCGCCCCCCACAGGGGGGGGGGGCTTGTGGGGCGGCTTGCTCCAGTGTGCGCGCGACGTTGTGGGCACTTTACTTGCTACCCCAGCGGGCGGTGTGGGAACCATGGTCGCGGGGGGCTTTGCGGTCACACTGTGCCACCATTCTCCCCACCCCCCATTCCCACAGGGGGGCGGGGGGGGTGGGAACCATGGACCCCCCACCCATCCCACAGGGGGGCGGGGGGCTTGTAGGGTCACACTGTGCTACCTTCCCGACTGAGCATGACCATTGGGGGGGGGGGTGGGGGGGGGGGGCCAAGGAAGCCTGGAACATATATATATATATATACACAGGTATACACATATGTAAAAGTCTGCACAAATAAACAAGCTCATCCATGAGCTTCTTTGGGGATTCCTCATTTCGGCATGAATTGGATGACTTTGCACAGCTAAAATGGACTCATGTGTAAGAACCTATGAAAGTTGCTTGGATTTTGTCCATCCATGTCTACAGCGGAGTGTTAATTTGCAGAAGGGCCTAAATTAGAGCAGGTTTTTACTTAGAAGCCAACTCTAGTCAGCATGGCAGGAAACTATTTGTAACTAGTAGATGTGTGTGTGTCTCCCAGCGGCCACCGATACAGTTTGTGCTGCTTTGGTGTCGTTTCCTGAGGTTGTACACTAAGGCATTTTGGATGTGGACGGCTGCCCTGCGGAGCGTGTGAGTGAGTGAGTATATGTGTGTAGCATGTGTATATATATATATATATAAAAGCATATGTGTATGGTCAAGGGTTCGCAAGGGGTTCCCTAGACCTATTATAACCCGCCACCCATCCGTTTGTAGAAACAGCAAGCTGATTGCTCAGCAGAGGTTTCAACACTCGCCCCGCGATTCAGGCAGCTCCGAAGGCTCTTGGGCGCCTTGCATGCGCCGGAGGCGGGCGGTGCCGAAGGTGAAAAACCGCATCGGACGAGCTTCAAAACTGAGACGTTTTGGAGGCCACCCTTTTCCCCGGAGCCAGAGTTTTGTTACTAGCCCCGGCTCGGGTCGGGGTCCCTGGCTAGCCCGGCTGGGGGGCTGGTTGGTTGGTTGATTGGTTGGTTGGTCGGTTGGTCGGTTAGTTGCTTGGTTTATTGGTTGGCTTTTTGGCCTATTTGGGTATGGGTCAAAATTAAACGGGGTAAAACTGGAAGCTTTAGTCCTTGGTTTCATTTAGCAGGGCAACCCATTTTGGCTACCCATTTTTGACGGGACCCTCTTTGGGGACGTGAACAGTCTTAGGTGTTCGACTAGCTTGGTGGTAGGAACAAGTGCATTCCACAGGTTGAGGGTTGTGAACCTTTAGGGACCAATATTTTGTCACTCTCAAAGTCCTGCCAATAAACCAGCTGCGCCCGCAGAGGTTTCGTGCAAAATTGAGTGAGTGTGAGTGTGGGCCCCGTGCGAGTTCAACCGCATATTACTTTGAGTGAACCTGGTAAATCTGGTTGATTAGGGGCAAGTTCCCCTCGACAGTGAAGGATTGTCTCTATACTGTGACACCCCTGCTGTGAGTCAACCAGTGGTCTATTAATCCTCTGTTAGCCAATCCAGACCATACTCCGAGTTCACCCTTTGAAATAGTTCACGAAAAGGGGAACCAGTGGGTACTATGGTCCTCCACATTGAACTGAAGGTCTCGGCACCTGGGGATTTCTTTTGAAGCTTAAAATGTAAGTTCAGCGTGGATAGCCATATGCAGTGGCTGGCAAAATCATCTCTCGATCATCCGCACCCAATGTGGCTCCTGGGACCAGTCTTTCTTACTCGAGGGCCCGAGGGCGGCAGCTGCCATACCGTGAGCTGATTGCTCCGAACCTCAACATGAGCAAGCCACAAGGCGAAGGAGTTGGCATTCGGTAGTTTGGTTTTCTGTTGCGGGGATCACCTGGCCATGGGTCAAAAGCCCGTACCCCCAGTGAACATCCCAATCCCCACTAAAATAGGTTCTAACAGGGTTGTGCATGGGGGGTGCACCTACCCCAAAATGGTACCATTGGTTTTGACCCACAGCCACCTGTCTCCCCTTATGAAAGGATCTTTGAAGCGACCCTGCTTAGCTTACAACGGGTGATGTCAAGAAAGGCATAGACGAAACATGAGCAACCCGGTGGTCGTAGACATCCTGAAAAACCAACCGAAGCTGATTCATGGCTCCTGGCCCTGGGGCCATTTCCAAGGACCTTCCTATACGGTTCCATGCAGGCAAGGAAAAAAATGTTTGCTTATCCACCTTCACACTGATATGACACCCACCAGAAACCGAGGACAAAAGCAATCAGCGCTTCTCAATAACTGTTTGTTGCATGTGTTTCTCACGCTCGAAGCCTCAAGTACTGCCCAAACAGCATCCCTTAAGGGTTCGAATCCGTTGTGTTTTCCCTCCCCCCAAGCAAGGCCGCGCTGGTTCCGCGAGACGAAGGCGCGGCAATGAAAGGCCAGCCGCTGGAAGACGATCCTTAAGGCCTATGTACCCACGCATGGTTTGCAGCCTCAACGGACCTTGAAAGGTGCCTTGGAGATGAGTTTGTGGTTGAAGCATGTCTGACCTCTTGGTTCCAACCAGTAGGGTCTATCCATGGTAAGCCAGAAGGTGAGCCTGTTGTTCCATAGCATTTTCTTGCGAACTGGTTGCATTTCCAGCCCAACTTGCTGGGAACTTTGGGCAGCTTTTGGCCGTCTGGTTTCAAAGTCCCCCCTCATTGGGGTCAGTTCCTTTCTAAGAAACTTCCGATATTTTTTGGAGGGTGCATGGACAGTTGTTTGCTGTTTTTCAACCAATCCAGTGCTTCCAGGCAAGCCACTAAAGTAGGTATCCAGCTATTTTTACCTCTAGAGTGTCCGCATGGATGGTTTATTGTGGCTACCAAAAATGGCTGGCAATCGCATGGCCAGGCCTGACCAATGCGCTGGGACCGCCGCTGGCACTCGCAGAGGCGGTCAGGATTGCATTTGTTCCAAAGGCGCCATGGCCTTTGGTTCCCTTGAGCTCAGTGCATTCCTCTCTTTGTCTTTCGGAGTCAGTTTCCCAACTGTTGTCGCAACCGCTTCTCGGCTCCAAAAAACCTTTTCTGGCCCGCAGCCGCAGCCTGTAAGCGACAAAGGAGTTTCGCCTGAAACAAGGGTTAGCCATTGGTGCATGGTTTGTCTTTTTTGGGGGACCCCCCAAAATAGTGGTGCTCCTTTTAACTGTTAAAAAAAACACCAAAGACGCGGGGCACAACAATGACACAAAAATGGGTGTTGGCACTCTGCTCAGGGCGTCCTTGTCGCTTGCGCTTGGCGAGAGGCTTTGTCCCAAGAAGGGCTTTGGGGCGCCTGGGGCGCTGAATTCCTCCGGAAGAGGCGCCTAGAGAAATCGATCCGGGGGATGCGTTTTTGTCGCGCCGGGAGTGGCCCGGTTCCTTTGGTGACGAGCAAAGGGGAACAAAATTTCACGGGAACATGTGCCAATACCGTCTCCCAGAGCAGTTTCCTGGGTGAAGCTCTCGCAAAGAAGCTTTCAAGCTGCACATTCCAACCAGTGGTATAATGGAGGTCTGAGCTGATGTTTTTTCTTGCATTCATGTTTATCAAGGTTCATTCGGGGGAGGGCGGGTAAACGAGCTCAGCCATACACAAGCTTCTTGTGCGGATCCCTCGGTTCATGCATTTGTTTGGTTTTGCCAGGTTGTTCAACATGCTTGTTCAACAAAACTGCTGCGCGGGCTCCTGTGCATACAGTTAATTGGTTTTACTTGTTTTGCTAGAAAGCTGGAGGCGTATGACATGCACATGTTTGGCCTAGGTTTGGGACACTGGTGCGGGTTTGCTCAAAAACCTGTTGTTTGAACGTGCGACGGTCTGAGCAAGCAAATGCAACTTACTTCCCCATGCAATCTTTTCTTGGAAGCGTTTTCTTAATTGAGCTGCGTGCAGCATGACGGGAACGTATCTAACCGAAAGTCCCAACAGACCACTAGTCGCATGAACGCGCACCCTGACCCATTTGGAGACCAGGGCTTATGTAGGTCTGTCTCACTTTGTTTTGGGAGGGGTTGTTAAGATCTACCCCTATTAACATGAGTCTAAGAAGAATACCCCTTTCACATGGAAACGCCCTTCTGGGGCACGTGTTTGTGTGAGGTGTCGGGCCTCCTTCCAGCGCCTGAGCCTTCTCTCCGCGATTCCTTTGAGGCGTGCGCGCTTTTCGTTTGTTTTGATGATGCTGGGTTTGGGATAGGGTTGAAGTGAAACCAAAGAAACGGCCCACAATTTTTAGATCAGATGCTTCCTGATTTGAGATAAAATTTACAGAGGGGTGCAACACCTACAGACTGTCAGACAGAGATCATTGTGTAGCTAGATCCAGGCGACAATGAGAAGCTTTGCAGACGGATGATGAATGCTCTGAAAGACCGCGCCATGGGGCTGATGTGTTTGAATAAATTCTATATGGCTCAATTCTATGGCTCTTCCCAAAACTACTTTTCGTTTCAATTATGTTTAATTGTCAAGTTTTTTGGGCATGTGCGTGGGAGGGAGTTGTCTTAGCAAAGAGAGGTTTAAAGTTTTTTGGGCGATGCAGCCGGAGACTCCGCCTGGTGCTCGTGATGGCTCTTGCCTTCCCTCTAAAATGGCCATGGGTCCAAAGCGAGTACCAACCAAAATGGTACCATTGGTTTTGACCCACAGCCAAATGGGTTGATCAACATCATGGGCCAGAGGTGCAGTCGTCTGGGTTTTTCATGAGTCGAAACCCTCGACTCAAAGACCGAGCTCACAGTACGAAGCCCTAGAATCGGTGCCTCGCTTCCACGAGTCATGGAGCCAATCATGGGCAAGAAGAGCGCCGGCAAGCCTGAGCGCAAAAAGGTGCAGACCAGGAGGCCCAAACAAACCCTGGACTTCGGAGTTTAAGTGTTTAAGCGTCCCGCTCTGCCTGAGTATACCGGTGCCAATGGGCGGGAAGGGGGTGGGGGTGGTGCTCGCTGTTAAGAAAGCTCCAACGGCTCAGCAAAAACGATGCTTGTCCAGGACGCATGACCATCGGTTGGACATCAACTAGGCCCCCCAGTAAGGCCCTTTTACCTTTTTTTTGGGGAGAGTTCCCCTTATTCTAACCTCTCTACTGGAGAACCTGGTTAACATACTAAGTAGGTGCACGTTTCCAGAGTCCTTGGTCGAGGGGCCGTGATCTCACGAACCCCAGGGATGCTTTGGGGTACTTTGACAGTTTGCGGGCGGGGCTTGCCGTGCAACACCAGGATAAGGTTTATCCGTATGGCTCCACGAGGTTAGCGCCGCAAATCTTGATCGAGCCCTAAATCGCGGGCATGTCTCCCCCACAAGTGAAGGATTCCCTTCCCGCCCTGGATCATTCAACTAATGAACATCTTCCATTTGCTTGAGAATATGATTATTTTCCCTTGTTGGTTTTACATAAAGGGAAGCTGTCGCTGCTGGAAATGTTTGTTCTAGTGGGCTTAAGCAAAGGACGACTTAGATCAAACCTTGTTGACCGACCAGTTGGGGGTGTTGCGCCAGGCAAGCACGCGACCCCGTGCTAGAGCAGCAGAACAGCCTAGGCGTGGCGGGGGCCACCTCGCAGGGTGCGACTCGAGGTCGATTTCAGCGCATGCTGGGATCTCAGATAGATCTAAGAATCGGTGCACAGGGTGCCTAAGAATCCAGGGATTTGTGTTTGGGTGTTTGGGTGTGTGGGTGTGGCAGTTTCTCTCTCTGTTTGTTTGTTTGCTTGCTTGCTTGCTTGCTTGTTTGTTTGTTTGTTTGTTTGTTTGTTTGTTTGTTTGCCTGCCCGCCTGCCCGCCTGCCCGCCTGCCTGCCTGCCTGCCTGCCTGCCTGCCTGTTTGTCGGTGAGTGTGTGTGTGTGTGTGTTCAAGTATGCCAAAAAAACAACAATGCATGACGCCCTAGGATTATATCCTCAGAAACCGACCCAGCATGGTCCAAATAACCAGGTTGCATGTGGAGGTTCAGGGGCATATTGGTAGTCCCAGGCAACCCTCAGAACGCGAGTACCAGAAAGGGGTAAACAAGTACAAGCTTACCCACGACGAGGGATCCTCTCTTGGTGATGTCTTAGCTTTGAGGTGTGAGTTTCTTTGCCCACATGCTTTTGTCAGTGGAAGTCAGACGCTGGCCCCAGAGCAAATCTAAGGTTTCCTCTACCCCCAAACCACCCCCAAGAGAAAGTGGATACATGTACCTTTGTGAATCTGCAAGGTTGCATGCCCTATTTCCTTTTGGCCTGCTAGCGTGGAGGAAGCTTGAACCCCTAATTTCCAATCTACTTGGTCGTGAAAGGATTCCGCCTGAACAACAGCCTGCCTTTCACGGTCATTTAGCAGGGCTATGTTGGGGGGGGGGTTGAACAGCACCTTTAGAATCCTTTAGACAACGCGCAGCACGGAACTCCCCCCTCAAGTCCACTGGGCATATCGTTTTATTTTGGCTGAATCCCTGGTGGAATCCTTCGAAGATGTGAAGCTGTTTCCCCCGAATCATATATGACACGGGGCAAGGCATCTACCCGACATATAAAAGGCCTCAGCCGCCTGCGTTGGTCGGGATAATCATCCATTGCCCCTCGCTTCAAGAGGACATGGAGTTGCCAGCGTACCTGCCCACAGGTGCTATGTCGGTGGAGCTGTAAGCCCAAACACGGGCTCTCATGTTTTGGGGTTCTCAAAGCAATATGGATTTGCACAACTGGGAAAATGGTATCACCAACAAAAGGACACCCACATGCACGTGTGGCTGCAAGCCAATATGAAGAAAGCCAACCAAAAGTCCCTATCCAGTTCGGCTGCTATAAACAACCCTGGTTTGGGTTGATGGTGGCTCCGAGCCTGTCAAAGATGACCAAGCCACAGGTAGACAATTGGTTTGGTGTTGTTTCGTCTTTCCTTTGCTGCCAAATATGTATCCTTATGCATGTTTGTTTTGGAGCAAGCCTGTGACTTGCTGGTGCGACAAGTAGGGAATGAGAAATGGAATGAGCCCAGGCTTTCCCCGGTCCCCTGAAACCAGCCGAAACCAGCAAGGTGAAGCATCGTTTCGACTCTTCGACAGGTGCTTTCTTCACCCAAAAGGCCTTGCGACACCTCAGGCGCGCGAAATGGAGATAAGCGCTCACCGAACAGCTCTCACCTGGGTATGTGCTAAAAAATGCGGGGACTGGGACCCAACATGGTGACCCAACATAGTGGCTTTCCTTTGAGTTTCAATCCAAGGTGAAAAGGGAACTCGCCCATGGGTGTGTCCCTTCCATATTCGTTCGGGCCGTGGCTCGTATGGCGAGCTCACCCTAAAGGAGGCTCAAATGAGGCTTTTCCCATCAAGCATCACATGGGAGTTCCTAAAGTGAAGGTCCTGAGTCTTGCAGAATCAAACCTTTCAATTCCAGTTGCAGGCCGTTCTAGTGGGTAGCCAGAGGAAACCATGATCTAGAACCTGGAGGCAAAAATACCTGGAGGTCTACAGGGGTGTGCGGAAGGATGGGAAACAGAAGGCATAGATAGGGAACTTTGTGGGTGGCAGCTGAGCTAGACGTATTGGCTCAAGGTTGGCCCTGAATGTGGGCTTTTCAAGTCAGGGTGGGTCAAGGTTGGGTCACAAACGACAATTCTGAACGACAATTCTGACAATCGGCTTTCATGTTTACTATTCGTTAGGGGTCGAAAAGCAAAGCATCACCTTGGGAAGCTCGGAACGATTCAGTCCATGAGTTTTACAATTCGCATTTGCAATGGTGTTGGTGTATTCCGTGCTTTGGCTAACGTCAAGTTCAGAATAACCACGTTGCAAGTGCTGTCCCTTTCAGCAAGTCAGTGATTCATGTCCCAGTTGTTTAATCGCGCCCTCTCCTGCTGTTTGGAAGCGAGCCACTTTCCTTTGCAGCTTTGCAGACAAGCGAGAGTGGAACGTTTAACTTTACAATAGTAGGAGTCAATAGTAAGAGGGCGACACACAACCAATTTTGTGTTTGAACAAGCATGATCGGCCCCCTTTTTGTTTTATGGGAAATCCGCAACAAACAGATGGACGCTGAGGGTCAGTGTTGGTTTTTAGAATTGGCCTGCGTCCATTGCCCGGCCCCTACTCTTTATGGTTTGTTTACGGCGCGCTGCCCAAATCACCTGCTCCAGGTATAGCAGCGATGAAATGCGCTTCGGCCGGAGCCCCATTCTGCTCAAATTCTAAACCGAAATCCTTTTGGACGACGAATCCATATAGAAGTTTTAATTGTTAATTGACTTTATGGGTGAAGTCTTTCCATTCGAAATTACGCTAAAACACTATTAACATGAAATTCATGTTTGGAAATGAATCCCTGATTCACAATCGAACTTCTAACACGAGTCCCAACGTTATTAAACTCTACTCACGTTTTATTTGGATTTAATCGAAGTCCTTTTGGAAAAGGAGATCCTACTTAAGTTCTATGTTTAAATGGGAACTCTGAGTAACACTTGTTCCTCTTAATTCAAACTAAAATAACATATCAACAGCAAAATTATGGTTGGACTGAATTTCCTGGTTAGTCGAATTGATTGTTTCTTTAAATTATGGTCAAGTGTCTAATCAACATCCTATTTGATATAGGGAGCCTTGGAAGGATCTTTCAAGGAGCTGTATTCAGGAGCTTCATGCGAGGCGCTAGAAGGAGCTTTGCAAGCAGCGAAAGAAGGATTTGCATCAGGACAAGGAGCCTTTAACTTGCCCTCAAGGAGCTTTGTACAGAGCCATAAGGAGCTTGAAAGGGAGCCTTGGAAGAGCTTTGTAAAGAGCGTTGTAAAGAGCTTTTTAATGAGCCTTATAAGGAGCCTTACGAGGCTTGTAGTGAAGCCAACTGTTGAATTCTGTTTTAAACTCGAAGTGCTACTTCAACACTGTCCTGATTGAACTATTGTTTGATTCTATTATCTGGTTAGTCAAAGTCCTAGTTCGTAGGAATGTCCTTTTTCTGTCTATCTAGGCTGAGGTCGCTGACTGCGCTGGTAAAGTGTTCAGCAAAGATGTCAATGCATGTCGAAGCAAGGCGCCAAAAAGCCACGCCTTGATTTGGTTTTTGAGAGGGGTTATGCCAAACAAGAAAACACAAGTGAAGGAAGCCCAAAGAACAAAAGACCACGAGAAACCCAACAAAAACAACAAGAACAATCATGGGGAGGAATCGTTGGCTTCACCTTCCTTTTCGTCGTTTTTCTCCATTTGTTTTGGTCCCGCAGCTGTTGTCTTCTGGCAGCCTTCTTAAAAAAAACAAAAACATGTGTTTGTTTCTGCGAGGGATAATGTCAAACAAAAGCACACAAACTGGGGAAGCCAAATTAACAACTCGGAACACCTACACCAAAGATTATCCCCCAATATTTGTTTGGTTTGTTTGGTTTTCTCGAGCTTTTTTTTTTCCGTTTGGTTCTCCATGTCATATGTTGGTTTTCTTTTGAAATGAGTAATTTCTTTATTAAATTCACTTGCATGCACGGAGGGCACCAGTCCTAAACAGTGCAAACAACATAAACATGGTGGACGAGGAAGGCCGCGAAGATGACTAGGAAGCCATTCCGCAGAGGGGCGAACCAGAAGAACACGCCAAGCGCTAGGTGGGGTTGAGAAACAGGAGGTAAAGACGAAGAAGGCAAGGAGGACACTTCAAACGGCGGAGAGAGCTGTACATGTACACTAACGTCCCGGGGCCACACGGCGCGAGCGCCAGAGGTTCCCCCGAGTGTAGCAGCCAAGTCGAATTGTTTGCTTATCGAGTGCAGGAGCTCGAGTGCCGAGCAGAAAACAAATCAGTCAAATGCATAAACTTGTTTGATCTGAATTGTTAGGGCTCAACACACCCCTAGTATGAATCGTTTGTTTGGCCTTCTTTGGCCTCACTTGGAAGTCTGCGAGCTGTAAGTGGCTCGTACATTGCCCAGTTCCATGGCCGCAGTTTCGACTGGTTTTTGTTGTTTCCTCTTCGAACCCCGCAAGAAATGCGCCAACCAAAGAGCCGACAGAACCCCCGCAGCTCTGCCACGCTCAGGCTGGCTGGGAGCTCCGCAGGAAACCCAGGGATCAGCGCAAAAGGCCCGACTTCTTTGAAATTGGTTGTTCGTCTTTTGGTGTTGGTCGGTCCGTTTGTTTGTTGCTTGGTCTGTTGTGCTTTGCTTTGGTTTGGTTTGTTTCTTTGTTGAACGTTTGCTTGGTTGGCTGGTTGGTTGGTTGGTTGGTTTGTTCCTTTGCTAGTTTGGTTCGTTAGTCTGTTTTGTTGGTTGGTTTGTGGGTTTGCGTGGTTCTGTTCGTTTTTTCTGCAAAGAGCTGCAACACAGTTCTTGGCTTGTCTTGTTTAGATGGAGCTACTTGACCTTGGCCTCAGGCAGGCTTGAAAGGTCCAAGCCGTTTGCCGACTCACTTTATTCGTGGTGCTGGCCTAATATGTTGAATACGAACTTCGGAGACGGAACATGTTGGACTCTATTCAACTGCAAGTACCCACCGCAAACGGAAAACTCAGTGTTCGAACGTACAGCCGACTTGAGATCCTTGGCTTTCCGTGCAGCTTTGGTGTTGGTCAACAGACACCGCGGCTTCCGGGGTTTGAGACTCTGGCGGTAGATACCAATTCAGCTGTGGCTATGAAAGGTCGCTTGGGCACCCTACCACAGGCACGAACTTTGATGAAGTGGCCCTGCTGGAAAAATCGGTATGTTGTGCAGGGCAACAGTGCACTCATTACTGGCGTCCTTTGAGAGCTCTGTTTGTTTGAACATACATTTCAGTTGGGTTCGTGTTATGTACTGGTGCCATCTATTTCACCCAGGGCAATCCTATGTTTTAAATATGTGGGGGTTGCGATCTTGCCCATGAAAGTTGTGTTTCACAGGAATCTCGTTCTTTTCGGTGGGTGAACTACTTTATGACTCACCCAGAAGCATGGACTGGGCATTGTTTGACCGGTATCACATGTACCTTGGCCTGTGTCATGCTTGAGCCGAGAAAAGTGGAAACGAGATCCATCACAGGTCACAAAAGGAATACCATGCCCCAGAAACATGTACTTGTGTTTTACCAGTGGGGTATGTTTCAGACATGTTGCAACAAGAAAAAAACAGTTGCTCTTTTGTCGCGTGCCTGGGCCCTGAGGCGTGCACAGTGCCGGAGAGAGCTGCAGAAGCTAGGCGGATCTCAAAGAGAAGCCATCCAAATGTCAGTATTCTCTGTGTTTGCCATGTAAACATCACCTTTTCAACATATGCCGTGTTCTGATTTGTTATATGTGTCTGTCGTGGGAGATATTTTCTTATGGTTTTAATGGTGTCCTTTTAGTCCGTTTATGGTGTCCTTGTTGTTTTCTTGTGGTCTCTTGTTGGTTTGTTTTATCGCATCTTTGTTGTTTTCTGGTTTCCTCCTGATGTCCTTGTGATTTCAGTTTGGTGTTCCTGTTCCTGCGGTTGGCTGCTGGCTTCTTGTGGTTTCTGCGTACAAGCTTGCCGCTCTTTGGGGTCATAAGAAAGCTATGGACGAGCATTGTAGAAGTGAAGAGGTTCCTGGATTTGACACACGGTCTACGTCGTTTACGTTGCTTTTTCCTGCTTCAGGTTGTGGAATGATTGTAGGATTGGTAGATGAGATCAAGTAGGTCAATGTGATTCCCCTTGTGTTCGGCAGGTTTTCAAGGTCACTTCAGAGTGAACCATCCCGCATGTGTTCATTTTTTTCACAAGCCAGGAGAGGATAGGATTTGTATTTCTTTTGCAGGTCCTAAATAGTTCACCCCCAATGTTGTTTAGGGCAGGGCAACCATAAGTCGGCCTGGTGATCTTAAACACGAAGATGAGGAGGGTTTCCAAGCTCCGCCTGTACCAAATCCCTGCCAACTCGCCCATGTGAGGCTGCCAAAGAGGGGGTGCCTTTTTGGCGGCTCGCTTCTTCTTTCCCCATTCGGGCCCATAGATGGGGGGCAGCTTCTGCTGTTTGAGTCTTGACTGCACCCCACTTGCCCTTCTGAAGCTTCTCGCACACCTGGAGAAAAAGCTTGGGGGCGGCAACAAAAAAGAAAACCCTGAGCTGAGCTGTACCTGTGTTTTCTTTCGCCGACTCGGGTGCAACCAAAGCGACTCACTTCCGGCCTGTTAGTATCCATTCTATATTTCGTGAGGTTGGACCAAATCACCAGCAGTCTATGGTCCATTTGGGGGAAACTCAAGTACAACTGTAAATGGATTTTTCACAACAGCCAGAGGACTTGCAAAATGTTCCACGTCCTTTTGGGTAAGCATGTATCTTGTTTATTGTGCCTCTGGAAACCCTCAGGGGCCCGACGAGTTTCTGGCGCATGGAGCCTTTTTCGATGCCCAGGTGTAGAGACCTCTCTGAAGCTCAAGGTCAAAGACTGGGAAGGAGAACCCAAGAGAAGGTTACCAAAGTTACTCGTGTGACTTTCGTTCCAGGAACCGTTTTGGGGGAGCATCCCTGACACGTCTGGATCCCAGGGATCCGAACTTTTTCGTCCCAATGTTTTCCAAGAAGCGCAGCGACCCAGTCCAGTGCCCTCAACTTGGCGTTGATTGCCGTTGTTTTTGGCAGACGAAGCGAGCCTTTCCCAGAAAAGAAACAGGGGACGCAACCCCCAATTCTCCCATATTCGCGGGAGGGAAGCACCTGTGAACAGGCCTGGGCAGAAGGATGGGCTCGCTGGTTTTTTTGACCCTTGGGCCATCAACGGACCCCCTACGTGACGAACATCGCTCGCAGGACATCCCTTGAAAAAAGTATCCTAAAGTGAATCAACCGGCAACTTCTACAATCAGGATTCCGAGGGGACGAATGACCACGGCCCAAACTTGAAGCTGGTAACCCGCCATTTTGAATTTTTGCAGTTTGATGCTTCAGGCCTGCCGATCTACAGCAACGAGCCTGCTGCGCAGCACTTGCTAAGGGCCAAGCATCCAGGGAGTGATACAAACCCCCGAGGGGCCAGTCTTAGGCGCCGTGCCTGTGGTATTGACCATGACGATTTGTTCACTTAGTGGATAGGAATTTGAGAGCCGAGAAGGTCCAACAACACAATTGTGCCTTACACTATTAAATATAGAAAGATACACCCTTGAAGCCTAACAATTGTTCAATTTGCTCGGCTTATGCTCGGCTTATAGCTAAATGTCCAGCTTTGAGGCCGTGATCAGCTTATTCTCGTAGCTATTGTAAATGCTGTGAGCCAAGCGACCCTTATTGCTAAACATAAGCAAAGCCACGCTTTCCCTCCGTCCGTTCTCAGAAGGGGAGGGGAGGGGTCGGCTCATTTCTAGATACGTGGAGAGCTCGCTGGAATTTGGATTTTGACATCAATCCTGATAGCTGAAAGCGTCTTTCCCCAGGTAGCTGAAAGCTGTAAGGGCTTCTTATTTCTAATGAGGCGCTGGCTCTTTTGGGAGTTCCCAGGTTGGTGCTGCAAGTGCTGGTCAGGGGGCTGTTGCCATCTCCCGTGCTTTCTGATTTCTATGCTGGTGTATTTTTCTCTTTTTTTTTTCCGGGAAGTCCCACTGCAAATCAGGGATTCATCGAGAGTGGGAAAACGAAACTCATTGAAGCGAAACAACAGTGCTTTGGCCTAAGGGCTTGAATAGCCCTCTTTTGATCCCCACTCCGAAGTGGGGTCCTCACATGAGTCATAATCAACACCCGGTATTAAAATGGTCTACCCAGAACCATGCAAAGAATTAAGAAGGCGGATATCCGCAGCTATTTATGGCCAGGGGATTGTCCCTAACCGGATCATCTACCCGGGTTTTGATTGTGACACATGTTTAACCCAGAAAAGCTACAGGTTTCAGGATCCGATCCCCCGACGTCTCAGGCCGGCCTGGGCCTCGTCTCCCTTTACCCGGGGGCAAACCGCCGGGGAACCGAGGCCATCGCTGCTCGGATCCCTGACTCTTAACTTTGTGCAGCACCCTTGGCGTTTCCTCTGAATGGACCTGTGAGGTCTCTGTAAAAGTTATGTGAAATAGAATGATCCTCAGAATGGTAAGTTTTTCTCATGAACCTTCCAAAGGGCTAGATGTGTTGCTTGGAGGGAAGACCAAGTGAGCAATCCTGCAATTTGGCTTTGTTCCCGAAAGGTTTTGATCCGGCCCAACGTGGCTGGCAGTAGGAAGCTGACTAGCAGACATATGGGTACCCATTTGTTTCCTTTGCGGGGCAGAATCTCAGCTGCCATCTGGACGACGGATTGCTTGAGGGTCAGTCGCTTGGTATGTCCCACGTCGCACTCATCCGGCTCAGTTTGGCAGCGAGGGCGGTGAGGACGGGGAAGCTGACTCGGCAGGGAGCTCAGGGCACGAGCAGAAAGTGGCGGAGCTGGATCAAGCAAAGTCTTGCCCCGGGAGGCACGCTAATTTTACTGGAAGGCTAAAACAACTCATCATTAGAAGGCGAGAATGTGACAGATAGTGTTGAGAAATGCGGTGAGTAAGCGCTGAAACAGGCGCGCTGTGTAGTATTTTGGCCTTTTGTCGTATTCCCTTGCCCCTGCCCAGCTCCGACGTTGTGACCTTTCGGTTGTGTTGAGCCATTCACAATGATCGTGCAAGCATTTCGGAGGAGTCTCCGACGAAGCAACTAAGAAAACTTCAGCCCGACGGCAGAGGCGATTCTGGCGGTCTACGTGGACCACGACCGGTCTTCCCATGCGGAGAGGCGAAATGTGGCGGGGGCACTCATAACATACTCACTTCCATGAATACTGTACCTTAACAAGCTACACAACTACCTATCTAATGCCTACATACCTGCACACACGCCTACACGCCTGCATACATAGGTACCTCCGTACCTACAGACCTACATACCCACCTACTTGCGCACCTACCTATCTCCGAATCTCCGTTCCTACGCACCGACGCACGTACGCAGCTACGCACCTACATACCTGAACAGCTGCACCCCTACATGACTTACCTGCACACGTACATGCCTACATACATGCATATATTTGCACACCATACGTACGTACGTACCTTCCTACATGCATACGTATATACATACGTGCCTTACGTCCGTAAAAGCGGTAGAATCATGGACCTTCTTAAGCCCTAGTACATGCTATCGCCTTCTGTTTTGGACCAGCCCCGCTGAAGGTGAGTGTTTAAGATGTGCTATGTAATCTTGATCTTTTGAAGGAATTACGCGACAAGTTGAATATGTCCTGTGCAAGTTCTGAGCTGTAGCATAATTATCTAGCATTGCACCACCACTTGAGGACCACCCATTGAAGCCTTGGTTCGACTGCATGATCCGACCCTCCACGGGGCCAAATTGGCTGAGGCCTGTTTCCAGTCACGGCAAACCGTTTCCTTCACCCAATTAGTGAGGTTCCGCCCTTGCTTGTCTAATTTTGCTGGGGGGATCCCTTTCAACGAATCCTCTGGTTGGAGACACGCCTTTGTTGCGGATGGTTGCAGTTTGTTTGGCATGGACATGTGGAGTCTCGCCTCCGAATCGATGCCTGCTTCAATTGGGCCTTCAAGTGCTTTGGCCAGCGTTCCTGAAGGGACTCTAAAGATTCCACGTTTACTCTTTCTGAGGTAGGGAAGACACAAGGCGGTGGATAGGTTTTGTTAAAAGTCATCCATGCCACTATTGAGCAGCCGAGATGACGTGGGAATGTTGTAAATTCACTAGGAACCCTTGCTTGAGGATTGTGACGATTTGGGGCTCCAGCACTCGTGACTCAAGGTCAAATTGAAGGCTTCAAATATCCAGAGCACTTACACATTGGGACTTGACATTCTGTTCAGGGAAGTGGTGCCAGTCATTTTGCCACAGCATGGGCAAGGAACATGTCTTGCTCAGAAATTCCAAGAGTCACTGCCTGTGCCGGACTGCCTTGTTAGAAGGGACACCACGCGTGTTGGAGGTTACTACGGAGCAAAAACAACTATATATATATATATGATGTTCCGAAGAAATAGACAGGAATGTTGGCGAAGGGTTTGGGCCCCCGCAAGAAGCAGAAACACCCTTTCGAGGTACTCAGATTCTTGCTGCACTGTACTTTCTCGTCAGTCAATAGAGGGCAAGCATGCCTCAGGTTTGACAAATATTGCTGAAAACGCGAAAGAACTGAATCCTTTCTGAAAGAAACACGGGCATCCCGGAATCCCCCTGATCCAACACTGCAGAGACTGTGCATCACTATGGCCAGTGTTTGCCAGAAAGTGGGCCCGTGCGGCCTGTTCACTCGCACCAGACCTTGTTTCGCAGTGAACCATCAAACCCAAGCGGCCTGTTTGGGGGCCTGCGCTCAGTCTGTGCCGGAACTTTCCAGACATCGCCACCCCACACAACTTTGTTACATCACAAAACAACATATTCAGAGTAAACACCAAACAAAGCAAACACAGCAAAACCAACAGCTACAGGCATCACAACTTTGGTGCATCTTGCTTGGATTTCAGGACTTGAGAACTGTTTGCCAACTTTTCTGGGTTTTCCGTATAAAACCACTAAAAGTTGTTTTGACGTTTGGGGCTTCGCAGATTTCGCCACCGAGACACATACCGCAGAACCCGGCGCGAGCATCCGGCCCCATGGACCCGGCACCGGAGACCTTGGGCCGCGAGCGAGAGGAGAGCGAAGACGGGCTGTTGGACCCAGAGGCACGGGGCAAATTTTCGAGGTAAACCGGGAGGCCAGCCGGGTCAGCTTTCGCTCTGCCCGGTGTTGCCAACTTATTCCCTTTTTTTGGGGGAGGGTTCCCCTCTAAACTCAAGCAACAAAAGGTTGCTTTTTTTCCCATGGCCACTGGGCATTTGAGCTAAAACGACCTAAAACAACTCGCATAGGTGTCCTTTTTGGTTGATGTGGTTGGAAAATGGAGGGCGATTCCTGGTTTACCTGGTGATTCAATCAACTACCAGGGCCATCTATCTTCCCAAAAAGGACACCTGTGACAACTCGTTTTCACAACGAAACAGGTTTTGCCTGACAGCACTAGAGGGACAATGTTGAATGATAAGGAGTTGTTGAGGTTTAGATGTACACGTGCTTCCTTCACCGGGCTTAATCAGCTGTTGCCCCCCCCCCAAACCAACAAGTCACATGGTTGCGGGTCAAAACCTAAGATGCCTTGTTGGGGGATGGCTCCACTGTTGTCTTTTTAGAAGGCCTTCTGGGTGTTCACCGGGGCACCGGGGTTTTGACCCATAGCCGTACATCTAATTCTGGTGAGATCGCTGGTTCAGATCCCCGAGGCCACAGGCGAAGATCCTAACGCGTGGCTTGTTGCCGAAACGAAGGTTGACACTCGCCGGTTGCATTCCATTTGCCAGTCATAGATCTCTTTTTTCACGGCAACCGGGAAACACTCAACTCACTGGCGGGGTCACGCTTGATCAAGCCGAATCTGGGGAATTCTGCAAACTAGATTCCTGGGCCTAAGCCCAAGGGTACACCAAGATGATTTCTCAGATCATCCGTATATTTGTCAACCAGAACTTTTCGGCTCCCAGCCATCCGGTTCCTTAGCTTTTTAGCCTTGTGTTTAGTGGCAGTTTCCATCTACTCCACTAAAAGTTGAACTTTTGGCGGGGGATCTGAGGGCGGCCCAGTGAAGTATAACATACAAAAAAGAGGAGATCCTAGGTTCACCCACTTTAAAACAAAGCACTGCCAACGGTGTTTTGCTTGACAACAATGGCTGACCTTGAATGCAACCATCTTTGTTTGAGTAAAAGTCATTCTTATGTGGCTCGTTTTCGGGGATCCGCCAGAAGTCTATGAGGTTGTCTCAAAAACGGGGTACCGAACATGGGTCGTTTTCCTTTGGTTTCCCTTTAAAGCAACCCCAGAAAGGGCAGACGAGTTGGAGGGAACCTCGGTTTTCATCACAAGTTGAAGTTTAGGCATGTCTAAGCCCTTGGAAGCGAAGATCTTGTTGAATGACAAGGATTTGAAGTTCGCTATGTCTAATCATGGGGGCTGGGGGGGAGGGAGGGGGGGGGAGCCCAAATAAGGCCTTAACAACGCCTTAAATCAGGTTTTTTGGGGCTCCCTCCCCCTCTCCCTCCCCCCCAGCCATGATCCAAGACGTTGACTCACAGGATCCAGAGGATCGCCACGTGGCACGTGAGAGGCGAAGGCATGAGGAGATGTTCCGTGAGGCTCGGGAGCGATGTGCGTGGGTCGATGTTTGTAAGGAAGGAAGGTGAGGTGAGCGCCTGGTTTTCCTGGTGGTTCTTCACGGTTGCAGGTGGTTGTAGGTGGTTCTTCCTGGTTGCAGGTGGTTGTAGGTGGTTTTTCCTGGTTGTAGGTGATTTGTAGGTGGTTTTAGGTGGTTCTTGCTGGTTGTAGGTCGCTCTTCCTGGTTGTAGGTGGTTTGTAGGTGGTTCTTCCTAGTTGTACAAAAACCCGCAGGCCTGTATACAACTTGACCCACAATCTAGCTAGCGCCGGTATGAAACTGGTCTACCCGAATCTATGAAGAGGCTCGCGTGTTGACTTGTGGGGCAAGCGTTTTGCTTTGGGTGGTTTCTTTTTTTAAAGGCCGCACACATGAAGCTTGCTGGGTAGCTCGGATCCGCCTTGGGCCATGTGAACTCAATCGATGACGTTGCTTGAATTGAGTGGCCTGGGAATTGCGTGGAGGACCCAAGCCAAGAGGTCATCAAGAGGTCAACTTGCAAGTCACTTTTCGCAAATGCCCGCTATCCAAACCATCCGATCAAATCAACCAACCAACAGAAAACAAAGGAAACAAAGGAAACAAAGGAAACAAACAAACCAACAAAGACGCTAACAAGCAAATAAACAATCAAAAGCACAAACGAACAAGCAAACAAGCAAACAAACAATCTTTTCAGCCAATCCGCAAAACAACCATCCAAGCGACCAGCCAACCAGCCAGCCAACCAGCCAGCCAACCAGCCAGCCAACCAGCCAACCAACAACCAGCCAGCCGGCCAGCCAGCCAAGCAGCCAACCAGCCAAACAAGCAACCAAACAACAAACCAATCAATCAACCAGCCAAGCCAAACCAAATCCAGCCGGTTGTTTTCCCCAAAGCAGAGAAAGAGCCTCTCTAAAAAGGAGTCACTCTCAGCAGCACACGATTTGTTTTTGTCGTGCATTGCTTATGACGTACTTTGTCAACAGCAAGGAGCAAATCAGAACAAAGCCGCCCGCTTATTTTTCAATGGCCTCTCGGCAAGTGAAAGCGGGGTCACACTGCAGACAGGGACTCAAGCCAAGAGCCGAGATGGTTTCAAAGCAAGGGACTCCAATGTCCCATGTTTCAAGGAAAGCCTGAAGCAAATTGGCCCCTACATTGAGTTGAAGCAGAGGAGTCGTCCATTCAGTTGTTCCCTTGAAGAAAAGTTGACTCAATTGGGGTTTTGCTGGTGCTGCTGGTTTTTGGTGCTGGTGTTCAATGTTTGCCCCGTGCCAAGCCCATGGTGCCACACGAATCTGGATACAAACGGGCGCAGCTGGCTTTCCCCTCTTCGAGTCCACAAAACTCGAAGAGCTGTCGTTGGGTTCTGGCTGTGGGTCAAAAATAGGTACCCAAAATGGCACCCAAAATGGCACCCGGTACTAAAAGCTGTGGTCCCCTGGTAGTTTAATTTTGACCCATACCCTTCTGGGAAATGGTGCCCTGTTCTTGCCTTCGCCCCATGCCTTTGACCCCCATAGAGACGTGACCTGACTCAAGCATTGTTTTTTTTTAGTTTTTTTTTTTTTTTTTTTTTTTTATGATATGTTTTTTGTCAAACAACAAATTTCACCAACCCAATGCGGTTATTGGAACAAACAACCCATGCCGGGCCAGTTCTTCCGAATTTCTTTCCTAGGGCGTCAAGCGTCAGGAGCAGGCACAGCCGGAGCGTTCCTGGCTCTCGAGCCTCGGCCGCATCTCGCTCTGGTCCCTTTGCTTGCTTAAAAAATGAGACATGGAATGAACCCGAGATGGCTATGGGTCAAAATTAAACCACCAGGAATTGGACCGCAGGTTTTAGTCATTGTTTCCATTTAACCGGGTGCCATTTTGAGCACCTATTTTTGACCCACAGCCAGATAAACCATCCAACTTTTGTGGTTTCCTTGGGGACCAACGCCTGGGTTCATGTGTCATTCCCGACTTAACTTGTGGCAAGTTTGAAACCCAGCGAAGATGATGGATGGCTTTTGGGGCCTGGCCACTGGTCTGGCGTTTCAGGGGTTCTACGCAAGGAGGGGGTCCAGTCAGTATTCCGCGCCGTCCCCCACAAAAAAAAAAAAAATAACAAACAAACACACAAACACAAACAAACAGGTCTCAGCATCCCAAAACACTGGTGAAACACAGAGTTTTAACGCCTGTCTGAACTGCTTTGCCTCTGATTGTTTGTGCTTTTTTTGTTGGCTTTGGGAAGTCTTCTTCAAGGTCTTAAGACGTTTGAAGATTAATTGTATTGTTGTCAGACGCAACTGCAAACATGTGTTTGAAGGGGATTCGAAGCCGGACGCGCCTGGCATGGAAGAGGCCGGGGGACCTATTTCAACTATTCGTGGTCCCCCTCCAATAATGGGGGTGGTGTGTAGGAGATCCTCCAAAGTTGTGAACATTGGCGAGAGGCAAAACACCTGCCATAGCAAGTATTCCTCATGAGCTTGTGGGTTCGTTTCCCTCAAGGTGCCATCCTGGCTCACAGAATGTGCTTGGAGGCTTGATGTGGGTGTGTCTTGTCAGGGGCACACCCTCGTTGACTTGGACATGGCATTTTGAGGCATGAGGCATACATTTAAGCCCGGCAGTGACCAGGTGTGTGGTTACTCAGAAAGCTCAAGTGCCCAAACTCAACTTGGCAGGTTTGCTTTGCCACGTCTTCACCTGAGTGTGCTTTTATATTTTTTCTTGCAACCCAGAAGGGATAAGCACCAATTAGGCGATCACGTTTCATGTTGGGTCAAGCTTTGCGAACATCTAAGACATATTTCATCCGTCCTTGAGAAGCCTTCCGGTGTATACATCTGAGGGTTGATTCCCCAGTCGTTCCTCTTTTTTTTAGAAAGAAGGATTCTGGGAAATGGGGAAGGTAGCACTAGACTACAGCGGGATGTCCGGGCGCGTCACTTTTTGTTTCTTCCTTGGAACAGGCGGAGCCCGAAGCCCACCTCAGCTTCGCGTCCAATGATCTGCATCTTCACACTGCTGGCAGTGATCTGCGTCCTGGCGCTGCGCCTTTGGCAGGTGGAGAAATCTGCCAGTCAGAAGCCCAGCGAAAGTGGCACCATGCCTGTTTCCTATTTTGGTCAGGGACAAATATGTTTGTCCAACACCAAACAGTTTTTTGTTGTTTTCCTTTGGTCTTTGCGGCCGGAACAAAGATGTTCTCAAGCCCATCCTTTTGGTCTATTCTCCAGTGGCGCCATTTCTTGTTTGTTTGTCGTTTGGGTACCCAAAGCAACCACACTTTTCGCAAAGCAACCAAAGAAGCAACCGAAATGGAACCCGCCAACAGGAATGGTCCCAACAGGAATGGTCCCGATTCTTTCTGTACCAGGATCGCTGGACCGGAAAGAGCCGCCCCCGAAGCTGCTTTGATAGCTCCGGCCGCGCCCAAAGACGGCGCAAGGCTGGGCGATGCAATGCGCTGACCGAGCTCCAATCACATTAGCTTCAGTCATTGGAGTCAAGGGAGCATAGCCCAAGCCATTGAAGATGATTGGAGCTCGGGAGTCCAGGGATCAATCATCAAGTTGCCCCCCCTGAAGCCGTTGATTAACTGGAACTTCGAAGCAGCCCCATATCGAAGCTTTGTCTCAGGTTTCCTCCACTGGAGCAAGTCATCAGCCAGATCGGCTTTTGGACAGTCGATGCTTGCAAAGGTAAGCCTTTGCTTCTGGTTCCCACAGGACGTAACCATGGTTCTGTACATTAGGTTTTTACACTGATGGTTTGCCCCCGCCCCCCTGCCCCCTCCCGGGGGCGGTCTCACAAAGCATCCCTCGGTCATGAGAGACATTCGGACTCTCCACCCCCAAGAAACATTCTAAGAAAGTCTTGTGTGAGACTGTCTTCTGACAAGGTTCCAAGCAATTTTCATTCAGTAATTGACCAGTCCGGGACTGGCTTCTGGCTTTGCAACCCAAGCGAATAATCGACCTCCAATAGCAGTTTGGCTTCGACCAGTTCTGGCCCGACTTGGGTGACAGACACAGGTTCAACGTTAATTGCGGCTTCTTTTGGGCAGTGTGGGATGCTTCAGCCTGTTGTGGATCCAGCAACTGAAACTGTGGAATGAGCTTAATAGTCTCACGAAAAGCCTTGTGGCCAAAGGAGCCTCATTTTCTCGATGTTGTTGATTTTTCTTGATGACTGCGAGAGCTGAATTCTTTACGTGGGGTTTCTCCCCGGAAACACCCCGAGCAAACTCTTTCTCCGAACAGGCTCGTGACTTTGTGAATCATTGTTTATTAGTGCAGGAGATGACAGCAAAGATTTCCCTGCTACGACAAAGACCTTCACTTCCAGAGTTTGTTGGGGGAAGTCAACCACCCCTGTTAAGTCTACCTTGTGATCAAACAAATGGGTGTGTGTGTGTGTGTGTCAAAGCAGGAGAACCCCAAAACATGCTGAATTCGCGGTTGATTTCCCTTTGAACCAAGCTACCCTCCAAAAAACAGTCCTCCAGAGGAATGCCCCTGCAGGCCTTTGCCAGACCCGGTGCTGCTGTTGAACGAAACAAAGGAGGAGCCCTGCGTGCCTTCCATGGAGCAAGCGCGGCAGCCAGTTGCGGTGCGGGGGGCATATCGATACGTGCCCAGCGCCATGGAAAACTCGGCGCGAAATTGGCAGCTTTTGAAGGGACTCAGTTGACCTTAATGGGTTTGTCTCTAAAAAGGGAACCCTTATGGGCGGTTTCGAATTCTCTTCAAACAAGGCTATCCTGAAAAAGGGCTCCCAAATAGAAGAAGCAAACACCTTGCGGTGATGGTCCGTTGGGTTTCCTAGTTTGGTCCAATATTAGTAATAACCCCAAAAGGTTAACCTTCTATTTCCAGGTCCTTTGGGCAAGTGAGGGGAAGTTTTCTAATGTTTTTGGGGAACCCCCCCAAGCTTGTTCATAGTAAAGGCATACCAGGAAGCGAAGTGCTCTTTGGGACCAGTGCGACAAACCCATTTATATTTTTTCAAGTTACTAACATGTTCTTTAGTAGCATGTTTTTTTTGCGCCAAGTTAACATGATGTGATGTTTGGTGGGCCTTGTGTTTGCTTTCTTGCCCGAGTGCTTCCAGCTACCACTATAGCGGATACACCGGGAAAACCGTCACGCAAAACTTGGCAGATGTTACCTACTAAAATGGCAACTTGAAGCACTGGGAACGCCTTTTGACTTGTTTGGCGAACCAAGGCAAGCCACACTTTGCGGGGGTCCATATCCCAAGTTCAGACAAATGCCAAATGCAGGTGCTAAGGATTTGGATTGTTGGTACACCCTCAAAACGAGTTCATATAAGCAAGGTGCCGACCTTTGGCAGGAGTCACTGACCATCAGTTTCCAGCTTGTTTGCAGCTCCAATTCGGCAGTTTGGGAAACCAAAGGGCCGTTGTCTTTCCTTTTGTTTCATCAGTCGATCTTGGAACATCCGAAATGGCCAGTGGTCGTAACGCCTACGTATCTCTGATACCCGTGAAAGCCCCGTTTGAAAGTCATACTCCATCTTATTACCTGAACTGTGTAATCAACAATACTATCTTTTTCATCCGGATTCGTCAGGAACTCTGCTGTTTTCTGGCTTGCTCTTTGGTCTTTGGCATTTGTTTTTTTTGACTCTAACCTATTTGGATCACTGGAGGCCAAGCGCACCTGATGAAAAGCCACATAGGCTACGACGAGTATGATTGAGCCAAGGATGTCCTCAGGCAAATGCCAGGTTATATATATATATATTGTTTGACCATTCGTGGAAGTTGGAAGTGAGGTCGGAGTGTGTGGAGCGACGTTTGAAGGAACATGTCCAGGAACTTTCGAATGTTGGGACCCCCTCCGGGAATCGAAATTTGTAGGAAGCCCTACGGTTTTGTTTCTGACAAGAGCTGGGGCCGGGATTCCGCAGGGGGCCGCAGGTTTTAGTTCTTGTTTCCATTTTCCTGGGTTCCATGTTGGGTATACCATTTTTTTGACCCACACCCAATTGTTGATCTTCAAACATTTTTCCACCTCCAGTTGGCCCTTCAGGCAAACCGCCTGTTCCGTTCATCGCGGGATCTGAGGAACAGGCCTGGACGGACACCAGCCGCGTGGGCCAGATCTGCTCGCTGGCAGCGCAGCAAACTCAGTTGGCCCAAAGGCCGACCGGCGGACCGGCGGGGACTGGTTTCTGAGGATGTGGTGCGTGTTTTGAATGTTGCCTGGGGTAGACGTTGGATACATTTTGCATTTTTCCAGCGACTCAAAGGGAAGCAAACAATAGAATGTACATTCTATAACTGGGCCTAAGTCTAATCATGTTACCGCTGTGATTCGCTATGGTTGACATATCCACAAGATCAAAGGCTCTGTTGCCCAGTGGTGCCCCCTTTTTCCTCTTGTTTTGGGTAAGGGTTCCCCTTAAACTCAAGCAACAAACAAAGGGTGCCCTTTTTTTTCCCTGGCCACTGGGCATCTGAGAACGGGCCTTTTTGGTCATCAACAGATGTATTTTTGGTGTTTGACCCCTTCGCTCGAAAAGCAAACCATGCCCTAGGTGGCTGAACTATTCCTCGGCGGTGTTCTCACCCAAGGGCCAGGTGATTCGCCCGCCCACGGAAAATGAATCGGAGGTGCTCTCGTACTTCGAGCCTGGGCCTGCAAGGTCCCAAACAAAAAAGGGCGTTTGGGGTTCCATGCAGGAGTGTGGATGCCTACAGGTGCGTGTGTGTGTGTGTGTGGTTTAAAGTTTTGTGACTTGTTGCGGCGAGTATCCCTTGTCAAATTGTTTGAGACAACCCCGTTCAAATGTTGTCATCGACCGGCAAATTCTCTACAAGCTAGTGCAAGGGCTTTGATGTTGGAAAAGGTCAAGGATATTAAGCCAGGAATATGCCGATGGCAAGCATTACATCGAACCTCTCATTGGAGTTGCCCGCCATCCAGTGGCGATTTGCAATGGCGATGGACGCAAGCATTTGTTCGACATCAAGTATTTGATCACCGAGAACCACTGCGACCAGCCGAGACCAGAGACGAGCCGCGCGAGGTTCTTTGATCTCGGATGCACCCCAGTCGCTGGTGGGTTCCGGGCGTCGATTTGCTGTTGCAAACATCAATTCAATCAATACAAAAATAGCCCAACTTGTTGTTTTGTTTGTGCTTTCCATTCCTTTCAGTTCAGCCGATGTTGGTTCAGCGTGCTTGCAATTGAGGCACCAACAACGGACAGGATAATATTTTTACGGATTTCGACTACAGCCAGGGCTCCGGTACAGGGCCCTCCATCCCGCTGTTCTTTCACATGTATCGGGATCGGTGCATCGAGTTCGATGACGCTTGCCAAATGACTGTGGGTCACAACCAAGGGTCCCATTTTGGGGTAGGTGCACCACCCATTCTAGTCTATTTGAGTGGGGATTGGGATGTTCACTGGGGCCCATGGCCAAATGGGTGAAGTTTTACAATATGTTTGCTGGGGGCCCACACGTGCACACTCCTTCTGTGGACTGGATCGTCCGCTCAACAAGCAGAGTGGGCTGGACCGAGGTCATGCTTGAACGTGTGCTCAATTTGGGGAAGACGGTTGTAGCGTGAGCCCAGGTGTCTGAAACAACAAAATCGTTGATGGATTCCACGGCTGACAGTTGGCCCTTTGATCCAGAGCCGTGGCACTGGTCATTGTTTTTCTAAACAGGCGATGTGGCGATCAACCCTAGAGTAGCCCCTGCCTGAGTTAATGGGAAGCCACCCACAAACCTCCAGACCGAAAGCCATGGCTGGATGCCCATCCTCAGGAACATGTCATTGAATGGTCCAACCGTAAAACAGCCTAAGAACTATACCATCTCGGGTCGCTTGTTTAAAAGTCTATCTTAGATGTTCAATGGGCCAAGTCATTTTAGTCACCAGTCTGTGGCTGGTATCTCCGATACCACTCCAAAGAATCCAAACTGCGAAGCCAGACCCAATTTGTGGATGCCCTTCTCGAGGATATCTACGGCTGGGAGGCGACATCCCAGAAGCAGACTTCCTGGTGGTCCCCGGTGCCTGACTACCTGCGAGCGCGCCTGCGTTTCTACAATGCATCTTTGGCTCAAGCGGCAAATCCTCCCGTATCTAAGGGGTTCATTGCATGTCACTGCCATTCTTCTCAACCCATCGTGCTTTTCAGACACCAGCTGTTTTTGTTTTTGCGTTTTGTTGTGCTTTTGTTGGGAAGAAGGGTTCCTGGAAAGAATGGGGAAGTTGAACCTACACCATAATCTGGCTTGATGTTGCTAAGAGGAAGCCACGAGAACGGGTAATCATGGTTCCTCATCCTAGATTCCTTTTGAAGTAACATTTCCGAGCAAGTTTCAACGAGTGTCCTGCCTCCAAAACTCCCCCACCGCCCAGTCAAGAGCAGTCAGGTGTACCAGAAAACTGGATCCCCCGAACCTGGATCCCCCAAACCTGGACCTCCAAAGCTGCACTAAGTCCTCCAAGCACTAGGTTTACTTCCATTTGGTTAAGTGTTTTTTCCCTGTTGGTTTTAAAGGGAATCTATCACTACTGGATGTGTTTGTTTCTTCTTCTTTTCTCCAGGGGACTTAAGCAAATGGATGTGTATCAACGCGTCCTCTCGATGTTCATCAATCCCAGCTATGTGGCCTGGTGTTTTGTTGGTCCGGAAACCCGAATCCTTCGGCCGGTAAGCCATCAATAATCAACAAAGCATAGTCACAACCACCGGGTTTGTCTTTTTTTGAGGGTACCAATTGTTTTTTTTTTGTGGGTGTTCAAGGGGAAACCAACAGGAAACGCACTTATTTAGGGGTCCCCGGAAAAGAGAGACCCACCCATATCCGTTTTGTTTTTTTACTATGGGTTTTGGTTTAACTGGGTGCTAACAGCTGAGACTGTTTCATGCAACCAGGGAAAACAAAAGGGGATAAGTATAGTTTCAGTTTCTCCTGGCTCGTTGGTGTTGATTTTGGTCAGGTGCCTGTCGAGGAGATGCCCTGCGTCAAGTCTGTGCAGGGCTCGTATGCACCTCGCGGCAGCTTTCTGCAGATGCTCCTGGCGACTGCAAAGCCGGAGGTGCCGTTTTTCTCTTCAATTCGCTTCGAAACCGACGGAGGGGAACACCTCCGGGTTTGGGCGACGAAGAGAAATGGCTGTGGTTCAAAAAAAAACGGAATTCCAAAATGGGTTGCCCAGAGGGTAAGTGGAAACATGGACCAAAATCTGCGGTTTGCCCCTCCTGTTTAATTTTGAGCCACACCCAAATGGGGTTTGGGGATTTTACTGTTTCGTGGCTGGTCAAGGGGGGGATGTGGAGATTTGATCTTTGCTAATGGTTGGAAGGCCCTCCAAATTGGTGGGCATACACCTCTTACTGGTACAGAATGTCCATCTGAAACGTAGCTTCTCGGTTTCGTTCTGATCACCGGCGTCACTGGGCCACTGGTGTTTTCTTTGGTGGGTGACCAATGTCTGCCTGGACGCACATCCTGTGCAGGACTTCGTGGTGCTTAAGGCGCCTTGGCTTTGGCTTCGGAGGCCAACCGTTCCGATTCCCCACCTGCAAAGCCGCTCGTTTCGGGCCGGGATCTTCACCAGAATGAGCTCCCCTTTTTGCTTTTTTGCTTTTTTTGGGGTTCACTAACCAGGCAAAAAAGATATTTTTTTGCTGGGGTCCTAATTCCAGCCAAGGGATAGTCATGGACATTTTGCAGATCAGCCAGCCCATTTCAGTTGCTCGTACCATCTAAGTGCCTTTCGGTTGAGTGGGTTGCGGTCAAAATGTCCAGTTTCAATAAGGGACTCGCGTCATACCCCCCACCAGAAGCACGTTGGGCACTGACGGGTAGAGTGAGAGCTACGTTTTCTTTTTGCATCCCTCTTCTGTGCTATTAGAACCAAACACTTTTGGTTTGGCTGCGGGTTGAACTGGTTGTGTGTGGGTTTGTTCTGTTTTTTTTTTTTGCTTTCTTGAGAAGCAAACAGCACCGATGCTGGCAACCCACAATACATCACGCCTCCTCAAATTGGTCAGTGGTTACAACTCTTTATGAACATGGTGTCCACCTGCACGGGCCCCCAAATTAAATCTATACCCGCGCACAATGCAGCATGAGGGCTAGATGATTGTGGACAGTTTGCTCGTGGTCATTGACTTATTCTAGCTTCGAAGTACCCGTCTTTCCCATTTAGCGTAGTCTCGCAAAGTACCCGCACCCAGGCAGTCAAAAACTGTGTACAGAAAGGAGGGACACTCCCAACTATGAATAGGTGCAGATATCCGCCTGTTTGATTCGTTGCATGGCTTCGGGTAGACATGGTAGACCTCGTTTGCATTTGACTCCATTTTGTCCGATGTTGCCAGGGTCTCCGTCTCCAGCATGCCAGTTGTTTCAAATGCTCCAAGGTCTGGTGTGTTACCATTTTGACTTCTGACTCAGTGTTACCATTTTGCCTATGTGTTTGTGTGTTTCTTTTTTTTAGGACATCCCCAACAGGACTTCACCCGACTGAAGCGAGACGCCGAGGGTTCCTTTCTTTTGACTATCTTGGGGTAGACTTAAACCCAGAGTTTCCCTTTCGGGGGAATCAACCACCCCTGGGTTTAAGGCTGCCTTGGGGTAGTCAAAAAAACTCCATAGACTCTATGGGTTGATTCCCCATTCTTTTCAAGCATCGTTCTTTCCAAGAACCGGATCCGTTTTCCCTGGTAGAAAGATTCGGATCCTGGAAAGAATGGAACTGGAAGGTACCCTAGAAAAAGGTCACAATGTCGGAGCTGGGCAGGGGCAAGGGAATACGACGAAAGGCCTCCGGAAAAAAAAACGGAAGGATCCCTGAAGACACCGAGGAAGCTAGAAAAACGGGTTTCCCTGTCAAAAAAACGGAACCCCGGAGACACCGAGGTGGACATCGATGGGGGCCCGGAGCTGGAGATCGTCGAAGCGATCGCCGAGCGGCCTGAGCTGAGCATTCTGGTGGACGAGCTCTTCTTCGAGCGCCTTCGCTCGCTTCCTTGATTCGCTCAACTAGGTTCCCTTGCTAAGTGCCCTTTTACCGTTACTTTTTGGGGGGAGGGTTCCCTACTAAAATAGACTACAGCAAAAATCGGGTACCCCTATTCTCACCTCTCTACCTGAGTTCGTGAGGTCCTGAACTTTACCTCTTTTTTTGGGGGGAGGACCACTTTAGTGGTAAGTATTATAAAGTTTGGACTGTTTTTGGCCCATGCACTCAGCAAGTGAGTTCAGCTTCGCGGAACAAAACGGTTTGGATTTTGTGTTTCGGGCGTGGTTCGTGAGTTGGTTGGTTTACGGGGTGGTTATGGTTACAGTGCTGCGATTTTTTCGGGCGCGATTCAATCTGGTTGGTTTGTGGGCGCTGGTTTGGAGGTTGGTTTAGGGGGTGGTTGTGGCTACAGCGCTGCTTTCGGGAGGGCTTGGAATTCGCTTTTGCGAGTTTAGAGTTGGTACAAGGGTTTGTTTGGGATTAGGTTCAGCTCGGTTAAGGTCAGTTTAGGTTTAGGGCTGGTTTAGGAGGCTCTTTTGCCCAGTGTGCCCTTTTTCCTTTTTTTGGGTAAGGGTTCCCCTTCAAGCTCAAGCAACCATTTTCCCATGGCTGGGCATTTGAGAAGGGGTTACGGGCTTGGGTTTGTGGTGCCTTCGGGCGGGATTCGGCAAGCCCAAGTTTGCGCTGAACAACCGAGTGTAGGTATCACTTCTACTTCGACGGCATTCAGTTTGGCTGGGCGCGCGTCAGCATGGCTCGGAACGTGGACACGGCCATCAATTTGATGTCTCGGTTAAGACAAGCTGGAGTTCGCTCGCATTTCTGGATCTAATTAACCTGACAGCAAGGTTTCGCGGAAGTGACTTGTGGCTGCCCGTCTTCTGACTGCGATGAATCCCAGGTCATTTGCATATTGTTGGTACACTGACCCATGGGACTACTGCCAAACATGGATTGTTGTCTACTCTTGGTGGCTCCCAGCCATCCCCTTAGCCTTTTAGCTTTTTAGTGTTTAGTGGCAGTTTCCATTTAACCCACTAAAAGTTAGTCACTTTTAGCAGGGTTCTGGGGGCAGCCCAGTAGTACCTTTTTTTTGAATTGGAGAGAGGGTAATTCGGAAAGCAGGTGCACGTCATGTTGAATCCAGTGACTGGCCAGCGGAAGCCATGTTTATTAACCGCATGACTCGGGCGGTTAAAAAGGCTGCTGTTGCTTGCAGATGTTATGTGTTGAATCCTGTTCTATGTGGCGGGTGTCGATGTCGCATCCTGATCCACTGTCGTTAAACTGCCTAGCAGTTATGCCACTTTCAAATGGGTATGTGCCAAAAGTGGAGGACCCAAAATGGTAGTTTGCCTTTTGACATTCTTCAAACTAGGCTTTAGAAGAGTTCCCAAAAAATACGCACACGCACACATTGCGCCGAAAGAAAAAAGAAAAGACAGTATATGTATCTCTCTCTCTCTCTCTATATATATATATATATGCACCCGAGTCATCCCCCCCCCCACACATTTTGTTTTTTTTGTTATCTTTATATATACATAGACAGAAACGCCTTGAACTGCTCTTGGGTCCCGCGGAATGGGTGGACGGCTCATTCCCATCCGTCAAGCGATGCAGTCAAGGTACTTTCGGCAGGGGGTTGCATTGTACTCCCGGTTTGGGAAGAAAAAAAACTCAACCCCATCAAAAGAGGTTTTAGAGACTAGTGGGAGTTAGCATGTGTTTGTATTTCCCAACCCTGACTTGTTTGCGAAGGTGGGTATGGATGATCTTGTTGTATTCCTCAACTGTACGATGACTTCGTCTTGAGCGCCGGAATTGGATCCCAAGAGAGCCACTTTTGATGCCAAGAGGCATCTAAGCCGTGATGTTTTGTTTTTCCTTCAGCGGGGGTCAGAGCTTGAGTTGGGACAGGCTGCCAGCAGCAAAGAACAAATGGGTTGAAGATGATTTGTAATGGGAAAGAAGCAGTTTGGACGCTTTCCCCTGAAACATGCCTTTTCGCACACCTTCCACATTCAGAACATGAGCAACAACGCCAAAAACCACGGGAACGCCAGGTCCAGAGCTATGGGGTGGGGGGTCAAAGCTGAAACACACCTCAAGCAGTGACTCAACAAAGCTGTTGAGTGGTGAGCCAGAACCAGCCTTTGAACCCGGAACGAAGGGACTTGCAAGAGGTTTATTCCCAAAGGGCCCCCTGCCCTTGGATGTTGCTCAAAAGGAACCAATAGTGAAATCACATTTCGTTGGGGGAGGTCCCTTCTTAGGAAACACCCGGTCTCATGCAAGTTCCATGTTTTTTTTTGGGCGCATGCCTACAGAAAGGTGCCTGGGCGAAACTGTTCTGCAGGTAGGGTATTCCGCATGTCTCGGAAAGTGCAGCAATGATCGTATGCACTGTCGAACATCCTTTCCGACCACCGTTAGTGCTTGGGCTACACCAAAAAAACGCGCGTCGACCAAATGGAATATCAGCAAGAGAGATATTGTCCGTTGCTCAGGTACCGCACAGCCAGGTACCCTTGGTTGTAAGCCTTCTATTTCAGAGCCTCAACCACAAAACACGCATACATATTTGTATGTCAAGCCTGAGACACTTAGAAGGCTGTTCCCAGAAGTGTCCTCTTTGGTTTGCTTTTGTTGCCTGGACCAGGGTGTACAGTGATGGTAGCTGCGCCAACCATTCCGGTTCCTTGCAAGGCAGCAACGATGACAAAACGGAATTTCCAGCCTGCCACATACTTTTCTTGGAGCGTCCTGTTTCCTCGTTGACGGCGGGGTTCCCTTGAACATCAATTATCAACATAAGGGCGAGTGGTGCCTTATTGCTTCTTGTTCTTAGGGCGGTCCTGTTTAGATCAAACGAGTGTGTCCCTTTTTGAGGCATTTCCGCTTAACATCAACTAAAAGTGTCCCTTTTGGAAGGGATATTTGTATATATATATATATATGTTGTTGTTTTCAAGTTAAATACTGAAAAAGGGGTGGGTGGTGCCATGCGTTGTTCTTTTGTAAGATTGGTTTCCCTTGAAATCAACCAGGCAAAGGGGTGAGAACCGGCTGTCAGCAGCTTTGCGTGAGGCATCTGCTTTTGGCCGCAATGAGAATGGCATCCAAATCGCTTCAGGCCAATGAGAGCATCAAGTCGCTGCCGGGGGGGGGGGGTGGAAGGGGGCGGGGGGAGGGGGGGGGGAAGGGGGAAGGGGGGAAGGGGGAAGGGGGGAAGGGGGGGAAGGGGGAGAAGGGGGAGGGGGGTAAGGGGAAGTGTGGAAGGGGGGGGGAAGGGGAAGGCGGGAAGGGGGGGGGAGGAGGGGGGGTACTCGTGAAATTCAACAAACACGGGAGTCCTGCAGAGCTCATGTTGGGGTTCTATGTGTTTGGTTTATTTGTTCCTTTCCTTGGGGAGGGAAGTAGACGGGCCCCATGATGAAGTCTGCCATGTCTGCCTAAGTTGTAACAAGAACACCTAGGGCTAAACACGGGCTCATCCATTCATGAGGGACTTCGTTGTGTGGGATGTCTATGGAGTCTCGGTCAAGTTTTTTGCTGGCCCATGTTCAAGTTGGGGTTTGGGACATGGGTAATCCCTCACTAAAGGGGACCGACGGAGCCTAGCTTTCCCACGTCCCACTACGGGTACGGGCTTATTGTTACATTTGCTTGCTTGCTTGCTTGCTTGCTTGCTGGCTTGCTGGCTTGCTTGATTGCTTGCTTGCTGGCTTGCTTGATTGCTTGCTTGCTTGCTTGCTTGCTTGCTTGCTTGCTTGCTTGCTTGCTTGCTGTTTTTCCATTCGGTACGCGTAGCTTGGCAGCCAGGACCGCGCGGACACCAGGACGGCAGCGAAAAGAGGGAGCGCGCCCGCGCGGCGTAGATGGATTTCCGTGTGACCATGGGTCCTTTGTGGTTAGCGTGGCAAATTGCCACCATCATGTCTTCAACAACATGGACGCCTAAGCGGAAGCGTGTGACTCAACAAGTCTGCTTAAAATTACCGGAGGTTGAACATGTGTATCAACCAAACTACAACGGTCTTCCAATTTGTGGTGGCTGTTGGGGTGTGGGGGCAAGGTCCGCGTTTGGCACCGCTTTCCTCTGCGCAGAAGGTTTCCTCCCGCCATTTGGCTCGAAGCATGGTGTGCGAGTGGGCCCACAGCCAGCCGCGGTCCCAGATCTGTGGACCCTTTAACACGGGTCTGAGTCTGAGGAAACAACAACCAAAGGTCACACAAAGCGGGTTGAAAGAGTTTGGTCTTTGGTCTGATCTCAAAGCTGGGCTCGGCCCATGATGAATGCTTCTTACTGTAATTACTTTGGTCATGCTTGGAGCCGCGGGGAATCGGTTATAGTCGCCCGCTTCCATGGGTAAACCCCCACAAATCCATATTTTGTTGTAGCCACACCGTGATGGCTTTGATTTCCCCAGTGAGTTACCGAGCACTCAACAGCACGGTTCATGGTTCGTCGGATTTTCCGCCAAGTGGCACTGGTTTGTGTCAGTGCGCTGGAAGTGCTTCAGCCAAACTTGGAAATTGTGATGTCGGAGGTTGCTTTAACACTTGCTGCCCTAGCACCGGTACAGGAGGACGTACAGGTAAAAAGGTTGCCAAAGTAACTCCCTGCGAGGTACCACCGCATTGGTTTCCAGGGGCAGACATGCTGCTGAATTGCCGAATTGCGGTTGCTGCTTTTCTGGGTGAGAGAATGAGGCTTTGTTTTTTCCTCAAGCTCTGGTCCAGAGTACGCGCACGTTTGGGTCAATGTCGGAGGAGGAGACTTCCCGAAGGTCAGTGAATCGCTGGGGGCAGTTTCAGGTTTGACCAACTGATATGGCGGAGATCTTAAAGTCCATTTCTACATATTTCAAGTTGGGACAGTACTTCAACATCTGCGATGTGCACAGGCAGTCCAGGTTGCATAGCGTTATGGGTAAGCGTCCATTTTGGTTGCGCAAGTAGGACTTTGGACTATGATGGGGGAGGTCCTGTAAGATGGTGTTCGAACGGGTACCAACAGCAAAGCACCCAGTTGAGGGCCCCCCCCCCCCCCGATTGTGGAAACTTCCATCTTCAGGCGAACCAGCCGTCAGGATGACGCATGGACAGTTGAGTGTGTCAAAATGAGTTCAAGCCCTCCAAAGCCCTAGGCAGCTTGTATATACTCCCTGTGTTTCGGCTCCCTTGTGAATTGCTCCAGTGTGCTAGTGAAACGGGAGCGTTCGTTTTGAGTTGTGTGTGTGTGTTTGCAGACACTAACAGCGCGGTGACCAGCCATGCCCGACTGGCTGCACACGCGCCCACCGATTGATCTGCGACGTGCGCGCAGAGGTCGACTTACGGCTGCGCGCCGCTGGTGCCAGGCCTAAGCTGGACGCTGGATAAAGCCTGCTCGTAGTGCCACGCCAGGCGCGGGTGTCGATGCTGCGCAAGATGCACGGGCTGTCGAGCGAGCGCTGTCAGGCGCGCCTTCTGGAATGTGCGTGCGCTTGGGATGGATGAGATGGGTTGGCCGGCGTTGTGTCCCAGCGAATGGCTACCTCTCCTTTCTCAACAAGTGTGCTTGCAGTCACCCGACCTTGACTGGCGTTCCCGCGTTCCCGCGCGTTCTAATGTGGCGCTGCGCACCAATCTCGCGCTTGCCGGATGAGCAATCAACCATCCGGATCCGAAGTCTTTCCGTCAACGGCGCCTCGCAATTGGTTCCTTTCGGCGCTGGGCGGGGCTCAAACTCTTTTCAGGAGAGTGTGTCTCACTCGCGTAGTTTCGAGCGGGGTGGTGTTGCTTGTGGGGAATGACCAAGAACGCTCCACACAAGTTAACGAGGCAACACGTCTTCTACTTGACAGAGTGCATGGAGCAAAATGCGGAAGCAAGCAACATTATGTTGGCCCACTGCCTGCGCGATTGCAGTGTGAGTAAGGAAGGCTCGCTGCGTGTATGGTCAGACTGCGGCCCGCATTTGCGCCCCGCAGAGAA